AAGTAAGCATCAAGACTTTGAAGTCGATGCGGAATCGGATGGGCAGCCAATGCAGTGCGGCCAGAGTGGGGGAGATATGTTGGTATCTTCTCAGCCCACTGAGTAATCTGGCCACAGCATTCTGCACCACCTGTAGTTTCCGCAGCAGCCTCAAAGGTAGCCCCACGTAGAGCGCATTACAGTGGTCTAATCTTGAGATTACAAGCGCATGCTTCCTATCCTTGGGCCAATCTATGGTTTTTAGTAAATCCTACCTTTCATAGGAGTTGTGTAGAGCAGCCTTGTATATTGACAATGCATATAAATCAAGAAATAATAGCATTTTAATAATGGCATACATGGACTTCCAGTAACATTCTTATGAGGTAGCTGTTATTTTTTTACCCTCAACTTTTACTGATGCCCCCTCCACCTTTCTAGGAATTTATTATGAGCAACACTCTGTCATTGGATTGGCATGAAAGAATACTGGGCGAATTGAGAGAAATTGCCGAAATCAGGGTGAAAACATTTTCTTTAAAGATAAAGATTAGATATTTTATTATTATGAGATAATGTTTTAACTTTCTTTTATTACTAAATAATTTATCTCTTTGTTATATTTTACTCTTTGTGTACGCACATGAACAAACACGCAGAGTGACAATCAAGTGGCACTGCCCATTTCCTAAATCTCCACCTCTAATTAGCTGCTGTTTTATTTCAGTGTTCGGGGTTATACTGTACCAGGGAATGGGATTCTTAGCATTGCTTGAAATTGTTCATATTAGACACCCTCAGTGCTCTCAGAACAGATTTTGAGCTGGGGGGTTCTGGGAGGTATAGTCAGTCTCTGCCGCCTAATGAATACAGATGTCCTAACTGATACAGATGCATTGATTTCCACTGCACATTTATTGAGGTTTTAAGAAATCTTTATCAGAATATCTGAGTAAGAGGTTCACAGAATATTCCAAGAAAAATGCACATAGTTCTTTGAAAAGGACAGTATAATTTCCTTATCATTATTTGAAACTTCCTTGTAGAAATTTAATAATCACAACCATAAGTTTAGTCTCAACAACAAATACTACTACAGTAACAATCATAACAAGTGGAAGTTCCCCATGCAATACTGCCGCCTCCTCTGATTTTCCTTTCCTTAGGATGCCTAGCTAAATTCCCAGTTTCTGAAAGACTGTAGAATTACAGAACTAAACAGTGGAAGGGACATTATTTAGTTACAGTATTTAAAATAATTTTACCACGCCTTTCGCCTTAAAAAGGATGCAAGGCGGCTAACATCCTTGAAAGACAATATTTAAAGCTGAAAACAATTAGTATACAGTGGTGGCTTACATCATTAAAAGACAATACTTAAAGCTAAGAACAATGAGTATAAAGAGGCAGCTTACATCATTAAAAGAAAATATTGATGCTAAAACCAGAAGTATGCAAATCCTAAAAAGGAACAAATACTCTGGTAAACATGAGTAGCACTAAAGACTCAGTTGGAGCAGTAGGGTCATTGATTCCAACTCATGCAAAAACAGGAAATGTAGTAAGAAGGATAAATCAGTTTTGTGTTGGAAAAAAGTTCTTTTTTTGTAATACAGCTCTCATAGTCCTCCAGCACACATTGATTGCTTTCTATGTACTGAAAACAATTTCATTAATTAGTTTCTGTGTACTGTTTGCAGGCAGCAATCTTAAATAACCACAACTGCAAGATTTACCCAGAGTATTTGATTTACATACCTAAAAGATCCTGATAAAGACTGGGTAGCAGCCTCATTAACCAGTTACAAGGAATGGCTTTGTTCCTTGGAAAACAATTGGCCAAAACAGTGACTGCATGATTTGCCTTATGTAGAGAAAAATTTTAGTAGGATGAAATCTTAGAATCCAGACCAGATTGATGGACTAAATTAGAGTAAAATTTGACCAGCTAGGTAATATGACAATCTTAATCCAAAACAAACCTGTTCCAGAGCCATTTTCCTCTTATTTTCTTATTTTATTCTTCTATAATATTTGGAAATTCTTATTACAGGTGCAATTGCTGGTATTGTAGATCAGCCAATGCAAAACTTTCAGAAAACATCAGAGGCCCAGGCTTCAGCTGGACACAAGGCCAAAGGTGTAATCTCTGGTGTAGGAAAAGGAATCATGGGGGTTTTTGCTAAGCCCATTGGAGGAGCAGCTGAGTTGGTGTCACAAACTGGCTATGGTAAGTTTTAATCAAACCATAATTTCAATATGAATTACATCCTAATTCATTGCCAGTTTTATTTCGATTATAGCATGATCTGTGCTTACAAAATGTTAAATCTGCCCTTCTCCCTTTCACTACAGTCCTTTAGTGGGATAATAATCTTACACATTAAGGTTTCTAGATTTTTTGTTACATTCTAATATTTCTTCCAGTGTTTTAGACATATTAGTGATAGAGTGCATGCTGTACATAAGAAAACTAGGATTGCTGCTGAATTTTATGGGAAGTGAAATTAAGAGCAAATGATGTGTCTATATCAAGGCAGGCACTTTTCAAAATTATGTGTATTTTCTTGTATGTGAGGCAACCTGACTATGATCAGTGTATATGGAAGACAGTTCAGTGAGCACAGTGCTTTTTTGTTGCTATTGTCAAAATTGACAGTCCATCCACAAAGCTAGCAGATTCTGCATTACAAATATTCTTGGTGATTTCTTACATTGTTAATAAAATTTCTGTAAAAATATTTTAAAAATCACCATCAAGTGACAGCTTAGTTTTACTCACAAAGAGTTAATCCAAAAAAGGAAATGTAACTTGTCCAGATGCAATTTTAACCATCAGCTCTTTTCTGAGAGAACTGAGATAGTTCTATAACTTTCAAGCAGCTGTACGGAACCAGTCCTTCAGTGCCATGGTAATCTCTGTATATTCTACATACATTTAAAAACGTACTCTTGCCAGTTTAGTCAAAACAGGACCATTGAGGAGATTGTATTTAAGGGGTATTAAATTTAAAATGTTTAGAATTTGGACAAAGTGCTTGGCAGAAATTAATTTTGAATTGCTATGTCTGTGCTTATTTTACAATATTCACAATACCTTCTTCCAAATGGCACAGTTTTCATTATTCACAATGGCTAGCAATAAGTTTAAAAGGTGATACCAATCAAAAATCAAACTACCAACATTCAAACAGCAAAGTAAGAACCCGGAGCTCAAGTTAAAGAATTTTAAAAGGTGCTGAAATGGCAAGGCTTTGTTCAGATGAGAGTTCTGGGACTGGTGGATGACAATTTAGAATACCTGTTTTCTCCTTCCATTCAAACAAATTTTGTGAGGATAGGGGCACACACACATGGTCCACCATTCATCTGAGGGAAGGTTGTTCCTCAGATGCCTTGATCTCAAGCCAAAAAAGCTTTAAAAGCCAACATTGCCAGCTTGAAGGTGTATGCCTGAGCCCCATACTAGGATAATCCTCTATTTGACTATACTACATTTCTCCTCATTAAATCCTGTGCCTAACAGGAGGCCTGCCTGTTGAGGTAACTGTCAAACTCTGCCTGGAAGTTCTTCCACAAGCAGTTGGGCCCTCCCACCGTTATCACACAAAGCTCCCATAGTTGTTAAGTTAAGCTGGAATGTGTTTTCTGCAGGGGAGGACCAGTGTTTAGAGAAGAGTTGAGGACATGTTCTAAATTACCCTTTGTCAGAGGTGGCTGAGTCATGCTGTAGCACGCTAACCACTTATTCTGGTGTAGCCCCGCAGACATCATGATTCCATTACTTGGTGCAGCACAGAATACTTAAATCAAAGCATTTGAGAAGTTGAAAATACTTTTCTTATTACTCACAGAATGTGAAAGACCTCCTTCTTTAACTAGGCCCCAGTTTTCCTGCTTTAAAAAATGAGTCACTTACCTCTTATATTTGCAAGGCACCATTTAAATTGGATAATGGAAATCTGAATGTCTGAAACAGCATTTTACATCCAAAATGTTGTACTGCATCTGACTATAGACCATCTGACCATCATACATCACCTTTGTATGATGCTGGAAGTAATGAACTTGTCCATGCAGTTTATTAAAGGTGATAGGACCCTAGGACCCAGGGTTCACAGTGAACCTATAGGCTCATTCCCACTATGCTTGCTAAGGAAAAAAGAAATGGTTTCCATCCAAAAGTCATTCTAATATAACAGCATCTTTCCCTCCCCTCCACTGTATTCTGTGTCTCATTTCCTGAGAGTCTCGGGACTGTCAGGAAAGCCTGCAACACAGCATAGAATGAATCACTGAAACTCATGCACTGGTACTTCTGTCAACATTCTCCTGCAAGCTGCATCATCCTTTTTTCTCAGTTTACTCCCCACTCTCGATCCCCCACATTGCATCCTAGGCCTTTACTGGAGCTCCAGAGAGGCTTTTGAGGTAACACAAAGGGCTGCAGTTCAGGAGGTCAAGGAAACTGCAGTGCACGAAGGGCTGTCTCACATATTTTGGAGGCAGTGCAGGTGTTTTGCACAGTTTTTTCACCTGCTGAGTGATGAGAAGCAGGCTAGATGGCTTGCACTCACCACTCACCCCCGTAAGCTTGCAACAGCTTGATTTTTGTGAAAACTGAGCCTACAAGGATAAGGGTAGAGATAATAAATCAAGATAAGTGAAAACTAGTTCCTTTGAAGCACTGAAAAAAGTAAGATGCTGGGAGATACAATTTAATAGCTTGTAGATTACAGTAAAGGCTAAACAGAGTGTAATAATGGAGAAATGTGTCCCACTGCCTGTAATAAGTTTGAACCACAGAGCAAGTTAAACAGATTGCAAAGGCTTACAAGCACAGTGAAGTATATTCCACCCCCAAGTTGTTACAGAAAACCCCTCAGTTTGATCATTAGTTTGTACAGTACTGGGTGGAGAAGACTTGGGTACACTGAACTAGTTTCACAGTATGCAGGACACTGTACATTCAGTATCCAATGAACAAGAGAGCAAAAGAAGAATACACAAATCATTTCAAAAATAGATGGCAGCGCAATGGTGAGTATTTTGGTTATAGCTAGATCGCCAGTGCGATTGTGCCTAACAAATGAATAAGAGGGTGTGAGACCACACAGAAGTCAACACATGTTCTCTTTTTCTCCAGCTGCAAATGACATTTTCTTTCACACAATGCTTAAAAACCTCAGTCAGCTAACTGTTACAACAGGAATGCATCTTTTAAGCATTACCATCAACTTCCATCTATTCCATGCTGAATATTAAGACGTGTTTCCCTCCACAAAACCAATGCATTATTTAATTTGGTATCCCTTTATAAATGACTCTTAAGTTGGTTACACCCCAGTGCAGAAACGTCTGCTGTGTCATGGGAGAATGCAACTTGTCAAAGCCATTGCACTGCTTGCATCTTAGCGATCAGCCCTTGGTCTGCTGTAACTCTGCAGCATCAGGCTTAGCCCAGCTTTGAGTAGTCTTGTAAAACTTTTATTGTATCTGTGAAGTTTTTACACCCTGCTAATTCTCAGTCTAATGACCATGCCTTCATTTATAAAAATTTACAAGCCATCAAAAAGCACATATGCCAAGTCACCCCTTTAGCTCTGGCAGTTTTGCTAAGAACAAACAGGAAAAGAAGCAGCTCCACAGAGCTCTACCTTGGCACAAAGAAGTACTCTTCATATTTCCGATACCCCAAGAGAACTCATAAACATTTGGAATCCACGTTTAACAGCTGGATTAAGTAACATATGTTGAAACGCAGTATCTTGCCTTCTAATGTTTACTAATCATGACATATACATGGAAGAATTCATATATGAAGCAAGGACGTTAATAGTACTCTTGATTTTTTCTGTTCATACATTGTTAAATGATGTGTTCAATCCTATTCTGAACTGATGGCCCGCAAGAGCATTACGTTTCTGCTAATTGCTAGTATATGACTAGCATTCAGAGTTTTGTTTATTTCTAGCTAATGCTAAATTCCACTAGGGTTAAGTGCACAATAAGTGCACAGTTACTGCATTCTAATGTTGAATGAATTATCTCCGCTAGACTGTCCAAAGATGTGACATCACTTTGGATCTGCACTATTTTATGGACTGCTCTAAGAAGATGACATCACTGCAACATGTTCCTGTTCTCTCCCCCCCCCCAAAAAAAAACACTAGTAAAAACCCTTGTTTCCTTTACCACAGGTATTTTGCATGGAGCTGGACTTTCTCAGCATCCCAAACAGCGTTATCCTCCAAATGATCAACTTGCTGAGCAGGCACCCAACAGCCACGTCAAATACGTCTGGTAAAATTATCAAGACACCTGATCATTTTTATATTCACATTGTTGCTTAATAGATTCTGGCCTGTGATCAAGTTAACAAGCTATTGTTCTAGGAAAAGTCTGAGTTACAACAGTTTGTTATGCTAAGCACAGCGTTAGTGCACAGAGGCCCAGGCTGCAAACCAGTTGATGATCTCCTTGGAGCTTTGAAACTCTGGTGCTAGTGTATGTTTTGTTTATCAGAGATATTATTCAGTTGCCTTCACCCTGGACCCTAGTGCTCCTTCACATCTCCTGAAATAACAGCAAATTTCTGCTCTCCTGCCACTCTGGGTGGATTCTCTGCTGTCGTGAGAAAAGAGTTGGACAAAAGGAATGTGTTTATGACCATTGATTAGGTCAGCTTGGCTGCAGATGATTAAAAAGTTTTGATCATGTTACAAAATGATGTCCTTTTGATTTAAATGCGAGGTGAAACTTGCAAAATGTTGTGCTGAGTATCATTCCACCTTGGGGGTGGTGTACATACATTCATGTCAATTTCACTGAGCAGTTCAGTGCATTTGACAATATCCTTCCAGTTCAACCTCATCTTGAATTATTCTTTTAACAGGAAAATGCTTCAGTCTCTAGGGAGACCAGAGGTCCATATGGCCTTGGATGTGACCATTGTGAGTGCTTCAGGCCAAGAACACGAAGGATGCTTGCTGCTTACCTCAGAAGTGCTATTTGTGGTTAGCATCAGTGAGGACACACAGCAACAAGCTTTCCCAGTGACAGAAATCGAATGTCTGCAAAACAGGGAGGAAAACAACCTTTTGAAAGTACAACTCAAGCAGCAAAGAGTCCCTTGTGATTCAGAGGTAAATCTAGCTAAGCAATTATTTGTATCCTAAAGGAAATAAGTTATTTTACTGTAGTTCCCCTCCCCCTCTTATTTGAGTTAGCAGCGTGAAATCCCTACCTTTCAATAAATGTGTATTCTCTAATTTCAGGTGGATGGAGGGAGAGAGAGATTATCTGAACAGCAATATGACAGACTCGTGGACTACATCACAAAAGCATCTTACCACTTTGTTCCAAGTACTGTAGCTGTTCAAACTTCAGCACGTGTTGCCACTACAGAACCAATTCATTCAACAGTGAAAACTTACCAATATCTTGTTGATCCTGTTTTTGCCCAAGTATTCATCAGTAAATTTACTATGGTAAAAAATAAAGCTTTGCGGAGGGGGTTTAACTAATAATGTTCCATAGAAGGAGTCGTGTTTTTATTTTCAAAGTAACATCTATGCAATTGTTTAATTTAAATTCTAAGTTTCAATCCCTGTGAAAATAGGCAAGTTTAGATTTGTGGACCTGTGCAGTAAAATAACACAATGTTTTAAACAAGAGTATATGTTCTGCTTAGCCAGTACAGAATATGGTGGTTCTCACCCTCTGTTTGAGGCAAACATTGCAGATGCTCAATAAATTACATTGGATTTTCTTATAAACTAGAGAATGTAACAACCGTACAACAATGAAAATCTCATGCTATTTAACTGAAAATCAGACATAGGGTAGAATGAATTTGGATGTTTCTTATGGGACAGGAACACAAATGTGCCATTTTCCTATCCTCTCATTTAAGGTCTGCCAGTTTCTATTATTAGCAAAGTTTATAGCTCAGCTGTAGAAATTTGCTCAAGGCTGCAATGTTTATTCCAGTTGCTCCATCCTATGGCAGAACATTTCCTCCCACTAAGTCTGAAAGCATTGAAGTGGCTGTTTTAAGTTACTAGTGACAGCTGGGTTTTAGCACTGCTCTAACCTTATAATGGCTTTCATTTTGTGACTGAAATTTTGCAAGACTTTAGTCCTTAATATAAACCAGTGCCTTTGTGTAGTTTGGAGAGCAAAATTGTTGACTACAGCATTAATTTATTTTTGAAGCTTCCTGCCTGTTGTAATCTTATTTGCTCACCAGATTTTTCCTAAGATTTTTGAATGTATATACTGTTGTGAATTGTTTGGCAATATATAATTATGCAAGAAATGTAATTATTTTAACAGTGAGTAACATGCATTGTGTAAAGCTTTAGGACTGATATGCCTCAGTCCAGTGTTCCAAAAAAACACACCATAGTTAAAACTCAGTCTCAGAACCTAGGTATATTTTCTTGTGATCATTCCCACTGAAAATAAGGTTTATATCCATGTACTGTGCTCAGAATTCTTCTGTTGGTCGTATACCAATCAACATTACTATTCTTTCCAGTGTTACCTATAGGGTTGCCTATAGCTATATTGCTGAATCTGTTATCATCTTAATCTGTTAGCTCCTCACACCCACTGGACCTCTTTTGGCACACCTGATTGTCCATAAGGCTCTACCTTTAGGACTTTCATAATGGCTATTTTCAAACAAATGTGATTTGGTTACATTTGTTTCATAGCCTTGGCTTTAGAAGAATCACTGATGCCATAACAAATAACTTTTGTCAAAATTGGATCAGCAGGTTCAATTTGATGATTAAGGCTATTGTTTGTTTCTATTTGAAAACTCTGTCTGAAATTGTTCTCTGACTCAGCTTTCAGAGCAGAAACTCCATGTTAATGTATAGCTTTGCTGTGCCTCAAAAATATCCTTAAATGAGGAAGTGAAATTAAATCAAGTCATCATCTCTAGCTATTATCTACTTTCCTCTGACATTTCTAGTACTTAATTTGCCACAAATACAGAAAGCTTAATAATATACAGATTTCATTATGCTTCTCATGTGCCGTTTTGTTACAAAGCTACTTCTGCATAATCAGAAATGTGACTTCCAGTGTGAAGTGAGCACATGGGCTGCTAAAATTTCATAAGGCCTTGTTTACCTTAAAAAAACACGAACTTAAAATATGTATGCATCATTCCTCAATCTTTTACGAGTAATAAAAAGTTATATTGACAATGTTGCCCAAAGACTGATTCTCTCTCTCTCTCTCTGAGCTTCAGTGCAGCTGCAATCATTGAGTAGATGAGGAGGCCAACAAGGATGATCAGGAACTGGAAATCAAGACCTATGTGCAAAGTCTGAAAGAACTGTGCATGTTTAACTTTGAGAAAAGACTAAGGGGAGATGTAGCACTTTTCAAATACTTAGGAGGACAGGCATATAGCGGAGGGGCAGGATCTGTTCTCAGGATCTGTTCTCAATCATCTCACAGCGCAAGACATGTAATAATGGGCTCAAGCTACAGGAAGCTAAAGACATCAAAATTTCCTGTTAGATTAGTATGACAATGGAGTCCATTACCTTGGGAGGTGCTGAGCACTTGAACACTAGAGACATTCAAGAGAAAAATGGACAACCATCAGTCAGATCTGCTTCGATTTGGATTCCTGCATTTAGCAGGGGGTGGACGTGATGGCCTTATAGACCCCTTCCAATTCATTTATTCTACAATTAACTACACTTTACAGATTAGAAACTACAGATTAGCGCCAGTCACTTGGCTACCAAGGCAGTGCACAAGTTAACTGAGTATTGTGCCAGGAAATACATGGCTCCTGGCTGATGGGGGTAAACATTATAGTTTCTCATATCTAGTGAATGCGCACTCCTCCCCCCAATATATCCCATTATTCACCTTTCTGGTAGTCCAACCTACAAGACCCAGACCCTACAAACACCTAAATTGTGCTCACCTTGAGAAAAGGCCCAGTTGGCTGTCTTCATGTCTTGCATAGGCCTAGCTTCCTGTTTGAAAAAGAAACTGCCCCAAGGGTTGCTGGGAAGTTTCCTTTTCAGACCAGAAATTGACAATATTAGTTTGCCTAAGAGGTTAAAGTGTGTGTATGGCTCTCTTGTATGTGTTGTAATCATTCACACTTTTGCTTCACTATTTCATTAAGTCCAGAACAGCCCTTGAAAATATTTTGGCAAAGATGGACTGCAGCCGCATCCCAGCTGTTCTTGATTCTGCCTTCCTTCCAGCAATGACAGTACATATAGTTCTACATGATGGAAGCTGCTGATGGAATTTGTGTCTTGTGTATATACACTTGAACGTCCAATTTAAAAAGCCAGGAAATTCGTTGAAAAAAAAACCCACTCCAGTTTATGAATGTGGGATATTGTTGAAGTCTTCCAGTCCTGGAACATTAAAGTTTTGTGACTAATATAACTTTTATCTCTCTGCTCAGCTTAACAATGTTGTTATGCTATGAAGCAAAGAATTTCAGAGGTTTTGACATAAGTACTTTATTTCACGAACAATACTATAGTACGTGATGTGCATTAAAGATTTAAAGGTACAGGTCAACCACTGGAACACTTATGTTCAGTTGTCAAGTAACCAAGTCTGAAAGAAAAAACACAAAAATATTAGCATTAAGGTTCTGTTCTTTTCAAGAGACTTTTTTTCTATACTGCTGTTTATACAGTGGCTGAAATCCTGTTTCTTAGCAAAATAAGTTGTGCTAGAGAAAACCCACTAAATTGGTGGGGATTTGGCAAATCAACTCCTCTAAGTTCTACTAATTAAATGGACCTAACTCTTTCTACAATTTACTTTAACACAGTAAGTGCAACTATAGTAGGTCCATCTGAAACAACAGAACTTACAGAGGTTGACACTAAATCTACTCTAGCGCAACAAATCTAGTGCAACATACTATGCTAAGCAACAGGGTATTACCCAGTGTTTTTTTAAATGCTCCATGACTTCTAGTTTATATAATAAAGGTGTCAAAGGTTAAAGCTTAAAATTACTACTTTTTTGTTTATATACAATGAAATGAAATGCAACTGCATGTACAATAAGCTGCACCAGTGCAGCTTAACAAACCTATGCTTTCATCAACTGAGTTTTGAAAAAGGGCTGAAAATACAAATGCAGCAATATAATTCAGAGCTCAAAGAGACCCTACAGATCACTGAGTCCAGCCCCCGTCAAGGAGGAACAATGAATGACCTCTTCCCTAAAAGACTGGCTCTGCAGGTATTGCTTTTCTTGATCTACTTTCCTTTGCTTCTCTTAAGAAAAGACCAAAAATCACGAAGGGACATTATTATTTATTTGCTTGTCTGTTTCTTTCATGTTTATCCCACTTTTTCTATAATGAGCTCAAGGGACCATACATAAGTTTCTCCTCTCCACTTTCACTCTCACAGCAACTCTGTGAGATAAGTAAGTGTTGGAGTCACGAAGTGAGAAGGCTGATGGGCTTTGTGATGATCACCAGATAATTAGGATAGCAAATAGTCTCTTAGAGATAGAAGTTAAAGAAGTAAGCCACACACAGGGATGTCTGCTAGCAGTGCTCCTGATGGGCGACTAGTCTGAGGAAGCAGAGTGAAAAGTCTCCTCTGCCCTGCCCCCAGGAGGACTGTGCTTTTATTAACCTTACAAGCTCACAGATAGTTAACAGAGTTCAGATAGGACAATGGTTACATAATGCCATTATGAGTGGCCCAAGGAAAGGCAATTAAGCAAGCTCTCTATCACCTATGAGAAAGAAGAATGGTGGGCAGCCATGCCCCTCAGAAGCAGCTGTGACATCATCCAGGAGGGTTTGCCCTCTACTGTAGATTAAGCCAACAGTTTAGCAACCTTGGGAATGGTACCCCCACAGGTAAGGCTGAAAATGTGTGACTATGGCCTAATGTCTCCTAGTAAACCCCAAACTTCCTGATTTGTAGTTCAGCACTCTAACCGCTATACAGTACTACACTGGTAATACCCAGAGAAGAGAGAAACAAAAGAACTGATAGTAATCTCAGAAGAGTGAGGCAAAAGAACTCAAGGCAAACTAACTTTCGGCTACTGGTGGTCTGGTGGATGCAAAGCTGAACAGACATCCTGTACACAGTTTGAAAAACGTTTGCTAGACAATATCTATCCCACTTGCTCTATAATTTTATTTTCTGGGCCCAACGTATTTGCCATTGTCACTTTTCCTGTTTGTTTTTTTCACCGACACTGCTTTTCAATACAAAGCATATTACATTATGAAGTGGTGGCATATTGAACACAATTTAAAAAATCAAATTTGATTTATTAAAAAATAGTTAGAACTCAATGTTATATAGAAAAGCTTACTGAAAGATGGCTACCCACTCTGTAGCCACCTGGGTAATACAGCATATTGTACTATCAATCTATTTATTCATTCATTTATTTCATTTACATAGCACCCCACCCCGATAGTGCCACAGCACTAGTCTCGGTGCTTAACAATGCAAAGTAACAAGGCATAACAAAACAAAAATATACTATTATAAAAACAGAGAATAAGCAAATAAGAAAATTAAATCAATATGAAGTCATGATGGTACAGTGTCTCAAATTATGAAGCAGGGCAAGAGGCCAAAAAGTTCATAATTCTTTGTCAAAAAGAAATTTGCATTTACAATAATTAAACATCTTAAATTACTTACACATTATCCAAGGATACCTGCCTATGATCAGTCATCAGGTGGCACGTTCTGAAATACTCCAGCTTTTCTCATTTCCTCAAAATCCTTTTGGGGATCATAGGTCCTATAGAACTCTGCATATACTTTTGCCCTGTTTTCAGCTATAAAATACTGAAACAAATAGATACATACAAATAGATACATACAATTCAACAATTTATCTAAAAGTTGAACCAAATATTCCCCATCAGAGACCTTTATGCTTCAGCCAACATCTGTGCAATCTGAATCATTCAAGAATTGGAGTGCATACAAAATACTATCTGAAGTCATACTGATGCTTTAATGAAATACTGCATCTTCATCAAGGCTGCCATTTTCCAGGCATCTGGACTAAGGAGGTACAGCCTCTCTGAATCCTTTGGAATTTATTTCTAGGCAAGTACAGTGGTGCCACTCGTTACGACATTAATTCATTCCAGCGAAATCGCTGTAGAACGAAAACGTAATGCAAAAAGCAAAAACCCATTGTAATGCATTAAAACCCATTTAATGCATTCCAAAGGACTGTAAACTCACTGTCCAGCGAAGATCCTCCATAAGGCGGCCATTTTCGCTGCCTGTGCAGCGAGGAATCTGTCCCAGAAAACAGCAGGGGCCATTTTGTTTACCCAGCGGCCATTTTGAAACCGCCGATCAGCTGTTGGAAAATTGTCGTTTTGCAAAGAATCGGTTCCCAAAGCAGGGAACTGATCATCGTAAAGCGAAATTCCCCCATAGGAAACATGGTTTTGCGATCACAAAAAGTTCATCGTAATGCGGTTTCGTCATTAAACGGGGCAATCGTAAAGCGAGGCACCACTGTATGCATACCCAATGATACCCAGGGTACTGTAGTGCAGTGGTCCTCAACCCTGGGCCTCCAGATGTTCTTGGACTTCAACTCCCAGAAATCCTGGCCAGCAGAGGTGGTAGTGAAGGCTTCTGGGATTTGTAGTCCAAGAACATCTGGAGGCCCAAGGTTGGGGACCACTGCTGTAGTGGATACAGTGACGGACTAGGATTCAAGTGGTCTGGGTCTGAATGCCCCCTCAGTCACTGAAACTCGCTGGGTGATTGGAACTGGTAAAACCACCCCTTAAATACCTCATTTACCTTGGGAACCCTGTTAGGGTTGCTGTAAGTCGTTTTCAACCTGACAGCCCATAACAATTGTGCATAAAATTACAAATTAATGTTAAAAGAAAGTGATTTCCTAAACACATCTTGTTCCCACCAACATCTTACCCAGTATGAGACTGAAACCAATACAGTAATGGCAGCACCTATGGAGCTAAAGATTCTGGTACGTTTGGCCAAGAGATTTCTCATCTGAGGTTTTGGTAACAAAGCAGACATGGTGGCGTCTTCTCCTAAAAAGCAAAAAATTAAACCAAAACAGGCTTTTTTATCACAATATCTTCATCAAGTACAAAGAAAAACAGAACAATTTTATTCAAAATGGAAGCCTGTGGAATGAATTTTTTTACTCCTTCATGTGCAGAGGAGAAACGGAGGTGACCAATGAAGGGGCCCCCATTTCCTTTACCCTCCCTAAAGGTGTGTGTGTGCACCCATGCGCAGCTTAAAATAAAACCAAGGTCCCCACGGCCTTCTCTAAGGCCATATTGGTTCTGGCTGCAGAGCCGGAGGTTGGGAGCTCGATTCCCCACTGGGCCTCCTTCGCAGGTGCAGGCCTCGGATGATCCACAGGGTCCCTTCCAGCTCTGCAGTTCTAAGGTGATAATGGTAATGATGGTGAACCATTTTTCCTGCTCTTGGACGCTAGTCAAGCCTCTGATGAAGGGAGACCCAGTGAAGGCTGCCAGGCGGTTCACCCTGGGTGGGAAGAGGCAGAGGAATGCCCTCCCGCGGCAGTACTAGAGGAGACGCAACCACACGCCTGGCCCCCGTGCCGGTAGGGCAGAGAGGAGAGGCGCCGCCCGGGCCCAGGACTCGCCCTGCCTGCCCTTCCTCTCCCTTCCGCCTCTCCACGCCCAACCCCCGACCTGAGGGGCGCCCACCTGGCCCTTCAAGGACGCCGAGAAGCCCCAGGAAACAGCCGAGGAGCGACAAGAGGAGGGCCGGCCGGCAGGGCGACGCTCACCTTCCTCGGCCTAGCCCGAAACGGTCCGCCTCTGTCGCCAAAGGAGCGACGTTTGTCCTTCCTCCTTCACCCTCAACAAGCGCAGGCTGGATTGGCGCACGCGCGTCCCGGCGGCTTGCCTCGACTACGGCAAGCGCTCAGGTCAAACTTCCTCAAGAAGCGGAGCTTCCTCCAACCAAGAATGGGAGGAGCACATCGTAGATAAGGGCGAGGGAGGGGCTGTTCTCCTCTCTGCGTCAAGGCGTTATTTCTCTTTCCCGCCCCCCCCCCAAAAGTAGTGGTGTTGGTATGTTTTAGCATGTAATAAAGCAGACCAAAAACCTTGTGATGTCTTGAAGAGTAGTAGATTCATTATAGCATGAGGATTCCTGTATTGCAATCCCACTTCTTCAACCATAAATGGTGCAACATTTCGTCCCCAAGTGCGTCTAGGGTAGTGTAGCTGCTCGCCCGGATGGAAACAAGTGTGCAATGGGGGTATAGAAGATGACAATTGCATTATTTATACTAGTAATTAACCTTTGAAGTGTTGATTACATGAAGACTCTGGCAACGTAATTAACTGTGAGTTGAGGGCTAGCACGCAAGTTAACGCTTTTTTCTTTAAAATGGCTAGGCTTTTTTTAAATCCCTCTGAATTATCGAAGCAAGGAGTAGAGTTTTGAAAAAAAAGAGTCATGCGGTGGCCAGAGTGATTCGGAAAAGGAAACTTTTTTTCCTGTACACAAGATGGTTTTGAAAACCAGTTTCTGGGTATATAGAATCGAGGTACTGTTTAAACCACCAATTGCAGGCTGAAATTTGTGGATATGTCCCAATTCAGTGTCTATCTTTCAAACCACCCCTTGAAACTTCCTTTTTGAGATCAATGAAGCAGGTTCTAGGATGTGTTTTTCAGTCTGACGGTTGCCTGCTCTTATTTCTGGTGTCCATTGATTCTCTTTTGTATAGATTGTTCTGGTCGCCCCTAGACAGAAGGGCACGGCTGAGAGAAGATGGCATTTAGTTATACTAACATATAAAGGAGCTCCTCCTATTGTAGGTAACCACGTTTGGAGCTGTAATGGTCCTGTCACAATAGATGTGGGGACAGAGATGGCATTCTGTTCTACAGCAGGATTTATTTATTTATTTATTTATTTATTTATTTATTTATACATACATACATACCCCGCTCATCTGGTCTAAAAGGCCACTCTTTTAGATCCAGGTTGTGTGACCTCTTATCAGAGGTTAGTTGTTTTAAGATTGAGGGCTGTCTATATATAAGTACCAGCCTGCTGACCAAAACCTGTGGGAGGGAAATATTGTCCAGAAAAAGTTGCAGTGGATATATAGGGATGCAAATGCTTTTATATGAGCCTGCAAGCCCTAATTTGTTTAGGATTATAGCCTAGAAGTGTTAACAGCTCTGGTAGATTCCAATTGTTGTAGTCTTAAAAAATAACTTTTCCAAGTTCAAGGAATAAGCCCTATCAGATCTTTACCACAGCGCCATCCATCATATTGAACATAACATTTTTTTCTCATAGAGCACACATTTTTCTCATTATGGGAATGCTCCTTGGCACAAATTAAACTTGAAATGGCAAAACTGCCATCATCTTTGTTAAACAGCGAACACTGTGCTTTAAGAAATGTAAACACAAGTCCAGCTGCTAGTTTCGTTGGACCTATAGTCAAAACCAGGGTTGCTCCTCTTGTGTGAACAATTTCAGACAAACTTCTATCTTGAGGTTAACATCTGGTCAAATATGCTATAGAATCATTAAGAACAGGTATTTTAAATTGGCAATTAAATAAAATGTGCCCAAAGTAAAAGCATGTTAATTATGATTTTTATTTGTATTGTACTTGATCAATACAGTGCAATAGTAAAAAACAAAATAACACCAATAGGTCACACGTTACTGCAGTTTTATTTATTCTTAATTTTTTTTAAACCAAATGGTTTAACAGTTGGCTCTTTATGGAGTGAACCAAGCCGATTTAAAAATGTTTGCAGGATTTTATCAGAACTACTCACCAGCCTGGCCAATACATCAATAGTTTATGACTGCTTGTCAACTCTGGTTGTACAAACATCAGAAAAATCACTGGTGGTTCATGGTCCAAACGGGAAGAGGTGCATGCTACCTGCACATCTGAAGTACAAACTAGCAGGTTTTTTTAAAGTCCCCAAATTAGGCCAAATGTGTTGAATGGATTAGCCACACTTAGATGTATTAGATTACACTTAGAAATGCTTTTTTACAACCAAATAATAGTAATAACTGCTGCATTTTTCAAAACACAAAAACAGTGGGTGTGCAACTCAGGTTTGCCTCTTGCCTTGGGGGGCAAAAAGTGCTCAAGTACCAAAAAAAACACAATATTTTATTTTCCTTAATGCTCAAGAGCTGATTGTTGTCTACAAGACGGGCAGAAAAAGGCAAAGTGAGATCTGGCCCACCAGTGCTGAAACTACAGTAGATATATCTATATCATCTATATACTGTATCTTTAAAAATAAAAAAGACAAAAACGTTGTAGCACCTTAACAGATACTGTATATCTATATCATCTATATATCTTTAAAAATAAAAAAAGACATAAACGTTGTGGCACCTTAAAGACTAAAGGCTGTATGGACAAGTGAAAGCTCACTAAAATACAGTACAGTATAGCAATTAGTCTTCAAGGTGCCACATTTCTGTCCTCATTTTTTAAATTTTTGTTTTGTTTTTGCCTGATATGCCAGCTCAGCCTGAAGCAGCTATCTCTTCTAAATCTATATCTATATATCTATATTTCTGGTGAGAGTGTTGGTCTTTCAGATTTAGGCAGTTCTTACCTCACGTCAAGGCAAGGGGGGAAAAAGACCTTCCCGTTTACAAACCTCCATAAACTGAAGTTTTTAAAGTTTAGACTAGACTTGGCATCAGTGTTTCCCATTGAAAAATGGCCTGTTTCTACTTTATTGTGTTGTTAGAAAAGAATCTAATTAAGAAATAGTGGATCTCATGTTTCCTCTGCGTTGACATGTTTGAGCTTAGTGATTAACAGAACTGGCAATAGATAACACCATAAACAGTCCCAGTTAAATCTATTTTGATTGAATGAATTTGGTGTACATTTTCCTAAGACTTACGTATATAGCGAGCCTCTGGCTGGTAGAAACTGTATACATAATGGTGAAAAAATTGTGGCTGCTTCTGCTTCCCACTCTGAAGCAGACAGCACGAGATTGCGACAGTCCATAGCCTCCATTCCAGTATTAATTAGCTTGTCTCACCAACCAGAGCTGTAATATATATAAATGAAATTCTAGAAAGGCATCAGTAAGAACAAGATGTGGAAGACAAATGGAAAACATGCACCAATAAAAGGGCTGATCCAGCAAAAGTGCACATGGAGCCTTTGAAGTTGTTTCAAGGACTGCATGTTTTAATTTCTGGAGTAATCACACGACGATGGAAGCAAACAAAAGAATGTCAGATCAGCTTGTGCAACTTCTGGACCAAATGTAGATGATGGGTACCAGTGATTGTCATGGCCATTAAAACCATTACGACTTTTTATATTGGACTTTTAAATCTCTGATGTGAGAAAGAGTTGTGAACATGGAGAACGCAGTGCCAGAGCTTTTTAGTGGGGTTAAAATTCCAAGGCTTACAGAAAGTTCCAAGTGTCACAGAAGGCATGACACAAATAAACCCAAAGGTCTTAGTAATTTGGCAAATAATTGCCCTGAAACTCATCGTTTGAAATGTTTCCATAGTTCATTCTTGTGAGTGGCCTTGTTTGTACTTCAATTACCATGACAGTACATTCATAATGAACACTTATGATACAAACAAGTTAAATTCTTCAGATGGTTGTTGTAAGGTTTTCAGGCTGTTCAGCCATCCGATCCCAGCCGTGAAAGCCTTCATAAATTCTTCAGAATTGCACTTTTGTACTATGTTTCAGGATAATTTTTCTGTATAAATGGTTGGGTCACTATTGTTGTATATACTCCCATAGGAACAGAGGAACACTTAAGAGCATCAGGTTTTAGCTCTGAAATCAAAGCAAACAGGATATTGCTGATCTTTCAGTGCTAGTTGTATTCCAGTTTTTCAAAAGCATGTTTTTTTCTCAAAAGATATTTTATTGTAATGCCATTAACTACTGGATTACTCTGCCCCTCCAAAAGAGCATCAATGTTTTAAATGTGTAGGGTCAGGAAACACAAGTACTGTATTGTTATGTGTATAAGCTTTAAAATATATCACATGTTTGTTTTTTGAAGAAGACTATTACTCTGCCTATAACTGGATTAATTTTGGTTTGTCTAATGAAGGATTTTTCATCTACTAAAGAAACAAGCAGGTGCCATTTTATATTAAAACACTTATCTGTTTTGCCAGCTGTTTGGTGAGTCAGTTTTTCCATTAAAGGAAGGATATACATTGATACCCTACATGCGAAGTAAAAATGCCATGACTTTCCAGTGTTTTACACCTTCCAAATGTGCAGTGAAGATGAGCAGGGAAAAGATCCTAAGGAAGCAGATTTTTAAAAAAGTTTAGTTGATAAATTGCCCAGCTGAGATGGTCTACAACCTGACCTAGCAGTCTGGTCCATTATTATGTTTGATTGCTTTGTATATGTAATCTGAGAATTTAGAGGAAACCTTACAAGTCTGCCACATCTGGTAGAAGGAGACTCGTGTTCTGCAAATCTGCTAAAATGGAAAAGAAAGAGGAGTGGTATAGCACAATAATGAAATACCTACAATGTTGAATGTTTATTTCTATCTAACACAGATTTTAAAGGAGAGGGCTAACAAAGCCAGGAACATTACTTCAAGGTAATGGTGACAAATAGTGCCATCAAAAAGAATGCTGTTACGTATTGAACCAAGTTTATTTGCTGATTGAAAACATCACTGGCTTCTTTGGAGAACAGACGCACAACCCCTCTCTTGTCCTCCAGTAAATACTCTCAAGGAGGACCTGGTCACAACCAAAGTAGGTCTGTTGTTTGGCCATTGTTACAGCTCCTGAACAGGCAGCTTGTAAACTCTATCTATGGGACTTGACACATGCTACATACAGTATTTACCTCACCAATGAATTATGATTCCCATTCTTGAGATGACTCTGAGCCTCTGGTATTGGCACTTCAGCATGTTCAAATACAAGAGATAATGCCTTGATTCCCCTTGTATCTTGAAAAACAAGAATGAAGTGGCAGTAAGGGAATCTAACCTCATTTCCATTCACTAGCAAATCCCAGATGATTAATCCCAGATGATTAATCACACCCATGAATCACACCCCTCTCTTTGTCTATAGACCTCTTACAGCTCCTGAATAGGCAGCTTGTAAACTCTATCTATGGGACTTGACACATGCTACATACAGTATTTACCTCACCAATGAATTATGATTCCCATTCTTGAGATGACTCTGAGCCTCTGGTATTGGCACTTCAGCATGTTCAAATACAAGAGATAATGCCTTGATTCCCCTTGTATCTTGAAAAACAAGAATGAAGTGGCAGTAAGGGAATCTAACCTCATTTCCATTCACTAGCAAATCCCAGATGATTAATCCCAGATGATTAATCACACCCATGAATCACACCCCTCTCTTTGTCACTCAGATCCTCCACCAGTACCTTATTAATAAAGTATATATTTTAAAGGGACTGAAGACAGATATGTATTCGCGAAGGCTTTCACTGCCGAGATCTAATGGTTGTTGTGGCCACAGAGACTGGTGAAACGTTAGGAAGAACAAACTTCAGAAGACGGCCGAAGAGCCCGAAAAACCCACAACAACCATGAAGACAGATACCTACTTTAATCAGACTACAGATGCATCTAAATTCAGTATTGTCTACACTGACTGCCAGAAAAGGCAGTAGTCCTTTCCTGTCCTACCAGAAGATGCCAGAGATTGAATCTGGGACCTTGTGCCTGAAAGATGTGCACTCTACACTGTCACTCATCCTTAAAAATACTTTGTGACAGACATGACAACAAATAAAAAACAAATCGCAATATTTGTAGGAAACCACTGATTCGTTGAATATCTGTTGCTGCGTATTCATCAATTCTGAAACACCACCCCCCCAATGAATATGAAAGGACAAATATTTACCTGTTTTTTTTATGCATCCCCTTAGGCAGAGAGGGAAGGCTAAGATGCTGGAATGACAGCTTCCGTTCTGGCAGCCTAGCCTTGCCTCTCTGCCTTTGCACCCACCAAACAGCTAATCGGTGGGCCTATAGGCAGAGAGGGAAGGCATAGGTTGCCAGAATGGAAGCTGCTGCCTCTGTCTGCAAAGACAGTAACGCCAGCAGTGAGGAGGCAGCAGCAAAGATGGCAGCAACGGCATCAGCAGAGGCAACAGGATAAGGTAGGGAGGCAATGGGAATAGTGGAAAGGGGGCAGGTGGGTCAGCGCTCTCTCTCTCTCTCTCTCCCTCTCCCTCTCTATCTTGTTAAAGATAGCTATGGGTAAAACATTAGTAATTATGTGGTTTGTCAATTTTGATGAACCACAAACCAAGACGAACCACCATTTTGGCAGTTTGTCCCCATTTCTACTTTGTGATCATGTTGATGGACAATCCTTCCTTCCCAAAGAGGGTGTGGGTGGGGTGAGGGAGAATAGCAAGAACAGGATTTCTCCATTCTTGACAGCTCTATCAGAAGATGATCATTAATCCTGAGTATTAGTGCAAGCCACTGGCCCTCATTAGTTTATTTCAACTGTAGACGGTTCCTAGCGCTGCTTCAAATCCAAGATTTCTTCATCACATTTCTTATTTAAGGTCTTGAAGTTCCTGGTAAAGGAGAAAGAGCCAGAGTATTGATATAATATCAAAATGTAACAATTAAATCATAGCTGTGAGAGAAAAAAAGAACAAATAATTTTAATGATGATGGGATGAAATTCAAATGAGAAAAAAACGCAAATGAAAAAGCAATCATGTATTATTTTTTCTCCTCCAACAGGCTGTCTCCCATATAATTCAACACAGAAAATGTGGCATACCCAGTTTTGCGACCAGTGTGTGCAGCTGATAGCAGGAAGAATAGCTTGCCTTTTGGAGTCATATAAATGAACAGGATTCTGACCAAGATTGTTCATATTTGCAAACTCAGGATGTTATATACAATGTTTAGGCCCATTTCACACTTAATGATATGAACATCTTCCATTTACTATGAACGTCTTCCCTATGCACTTTTAGATTAACAGAAATTAAATTATATCCATGTTCCATATCCAGGTTATGAAGTGTTCTCCCTCGGCAGGTCAGGTTGGCACACTTCCCCTGACAGCTGAAGACCCACATTTTCAGGCAGGCTTTTAACAATCATGAGTGAGTCACTGAATGCCATTTCTTAGTTGAGATAGTTTTTAATATTTCATATTTTTAAAAATAATTCAATGTATTTTAATCAATTTTTTAATTTAATGGCTTTTGATGTATAACTCAATGTGGTTTTAATTCTACTATTTTTAATACTGTGAGCCACCTTGCATCTCTTTATTGGGAGAAAGATGGTCTATAAATAAGACAAATAGACAAACAGACAAATAAATATGTATTCTGGTCCTTTTTATACATCTTGCTAAGAACGTCTTCTTTCCATTTGCTTCTCTACTTGTGAGTATGGCTAGTGGGCTATGTAATGTCAGAAATGGCCTTTTAAAACTATATGACAGCTTTATAACAACTAAAATATGTAATACCAATTGCAATTTTCAAAAGAGCTTTAACCTCAAGCAATATGAATGTTTAAAGAACTGCTTTAGGTGTGACTTGGGTTTTTTTAATGTGTCTGGTATAATCTGGGTTTTAGCAAAAAAAAAAAATTCTGCCTATTTGATAAACAGCTAAATTTTATTTCACCACTGGTGATTGAAAACAATGTATCACAAGGCAAATCTCTCTGGAAAAGATAATAATGCCAGAAAGATAGAAAGCAGTAGGGGAAAAAAAGAAGATCTAAGATGAGATCCATAAAGGAAGTACTACCCAATTACCTAATTCTGCAACTCAGGGTGATTAAGGATAAAACCTTTTGAAGGTGATTATCCATAGGTTCACTGTAAACTGGAAGCAACACATGGCACTTAACAAGAGCAATTAAAAAAGATCCACCAGCAGACCTGAGGGCAGCATGCCAATCTACACAGAGCTCTGTCTTCCAAGAGAGGGGAGTAGGCAGCAGGTTTACAAGGAACAACCGGAAGGCTACCATGGTATCATTTTGCCTCATGATATGGCTTACTCTGCAGAACCTCTTAGGAGAGTAGATAGTTCTGACAGCAGATACAGATAATATTGAGATAGTAAATGCTTACTGTTTACTGCACTGTTTCAGGTAAAGATACATCTGGTTTCAATATCAGTTAACAGCATCCACATCATTTCAAATTGTGTGCCTGGAATCCTATTACTTATGTCAACATAAGTGCAATGGCATAAATTACCAGTAGTTAAGGAATTGCTGCATGTGACAAGGAATGCAAGTACAGTGGTGTCTCGCTTAACGAGCGCACCGTATAACGATGAAATCGCATAGCGATCCGTTTTTTCGGATCGCTAATGCGATCACTCAACGTTTTTTTAACTGGTTTCAATATCAGTTAACAGCATCCACATCATTTCAAATTGTGTGCCTGGAATCCTATTACTTATGTCAACATAAGTGCAATGGCATAAATTACCAGTAGTTAAGGAACTGCTGCATGTGACGAGGAATGCAAGTATTGGCTCCATCAATGGTGGCAGTTTGCCACTACAGTTTATACTGCACCACTAAAGCTAGCATATATCAATGAAGGTTAATCCGGAACGGATTAACCTCGCTATGCGAGGCACCACTATTGGCTCCATCAATGGTGGCAATTTGCCACTACAGTTTATGCTGCACCACTAAAGCTAGCATATATCAATGATAGGATCTGAGCCAACAGTAGATAAAGAAACTATTCAAATAGTTGAGGGTGTGATCAGATGACAAAAAAGGTAGGCGTCTCAGTGCATTGGAAAGGGAAGGGATCTTCCTCAAAGCAATCCTTTCATTTGTCATCAAGTCACTCCAGCCTAGTCTCAAAAAATAGTAGAACTGGGTTGTGTTAGAGCCCTATTCCCTGTACATCTTGTGATCACCAGGAAATAGCTTGCAGTAGAGCTAGTGGTCCCTAACCTTTTCCAAACTGTGGACCGGTTGGAGGGATCTGTGGGGGGTCACCCCCTGCTCCCACAGGGGTTCAGCATGCTTGCAGGTGGGTGGGGTGCGCACTTGCACATGTGCAGATGTGCAGGGCATGCTTGCAGGTGGGTGGGGTGTGCTTGTGCAGGTGAGCGTGTGTGGGGGGAGTGCGTGCAGGGGGGCAGGACATCTGTCTCCATGGCCCAGTCCTGCAAATGCCACGGACCAGCACCGGGCCACAGATCAGGGGTTGGAGACTCCTGCACTAGACCATGCTGCAAATAGTTCAAAATGTGGGCTGTATGCCAGTGTGATTACACCCTGATATGTACAGTAGGACCCTCATATCCATGGGATCAGTATCCTCAGTTTCACACGTCTACAGTTTGAAAATATTAAAAGAAATAGGTAGAAATATGTATTTTCACAATGTATTTACCAGAACTAGCCACTAGAGGGAGGTAGTTCTGGTATTACATCATAAAAATAAGTATTTTTAGATTATTATTTTTAACCATTGTATATATAGTGTTTGCTATTATCCACAGCTTGGAATCAATTCCCCAAGGACAGAGGATCCTATTATATTTACTTCCAACAAAGCATTGGCAAGAATATTTCAAGGATTATTAGGATTTTTTTGTAGGTTTTTTGGGCTGTTTGACCGTACTCTGGTGGTTTTTCTTCCTAACATTTCACCAGTCTCTGTGGCCAGCATTTTCAGAGGACTCTGTCTGAGTGCTAACTCCTGTCCTCTGAAGATGCTGGCCACAGAGGCTGGTGAAACGTTAGGAAAAAAAACCTCCAGAACACAGCAAACAGCCCAAAAAACCTACAACAACCATCATATCCCAGCCATGAAAAGCCTTCGAGAATACATTATTAAGATTAGTGATAGGAAAGCACTGAGTAAAGTCCATCGTGAAGGACTAATCATGCTAAAGGCATACTTTCATTGTCTTTCGGTGGATATTGATGTTGCCTCACAAAAGCTGAGGTAAAGGCTGGTGTGTGAGTAGGTCTTTCTGGCAGTACTGGATGATCACTCTTCAATGTAAGAATGGATGAGAGACCTACATTTAAAAAAAAACAAGCAAAGAAACATTTGAAAATTGTGGAAAAGGTCAGAACTGTCAAAGCAAAAAGCATTAAGAAAGGCAGCTTATTTTTTAAAAATGCCCCAATCAACAAAATGCACAGAAGACAACTGATGTGAAGGTCTGTGAGGCAGAAAGCCATGGCATAATGGCTTATGCTGTATACTGTATATGTCTGAGTGTTGACGCTTGAGTACTAGATAGTTAGAGGCACTCAAGCATTGAGGACATCTGAAGAAAACTTCATAATAAAAGCTAATCATAAAACGAAGTGTATATCAGAAATACTGTAGAGAGAATGATGGGCTACATTGGGCAGGTAACTTATAGCCCATCATAACTTGATGAGCTCCAAATCCCGTTAGATGAAGCAAGCATGGCCAATGGCCAGGAATGATAGGAACTATAGTCCAGCATCTAGAAGACTAATGCTTCAGCACCCCACAACTACTTTGACAATCCCGATGGTAAATATCAAGAATATTTAACATATGTGATCGTTTTGGCACAAAGAAATCAGGGGGCCACGGTTCCTGTCATGCTGGCTGGCAGATTCTGGAAATTGTAAATTAAAGAAGTAATTTTGCCACGCTCTGCATATGGATAGCAGAGGACAGACAAGTTTTTGAAAAACTGTCAGAAGGAGAAATACAGAATGTCCGGACGTTGCTTATGCGGTTAGTGAGAAAATGAGCAGCAAATGGATAGATAACCATCATTCTCTAGGCACAGAACCTGAGGAAAAGCTGACCTGTATAAGCTGATGATGCTATTGATTTTTTCTCCAGATCGTCTTGAATCTTTAGGAGAACTCTTTCTTGCTGGAGAGCTTCTAGATATTTTGAATAAGTCCAGGAAAGCTGTAAAAACCATGTAAAATTGAAGGAAACACAATTTATTTATTTGCTTGATTGCTTGTTTGTTTGTTTGTTTATGCCCCTGCCTATTTCAAAGGAATTCAGGATGGACTATGGTAATTAAAACACCTTTAAGGCTATTTTAAAACACTTTAAAACGATTTAAAGCAAATCCACAGAATCAAGGAACATGACACAAAGCCAGAATCCTATTGCTTAGTTATGCTGGTGTAGACACAATGGTGTAAACTGCAGCAGGAAACGATACTAGTTAAAAAAACTGTTGCTTGCGTCCCTCATTGTGCACCAATTCATAGGAACAGTGCACAAAATGGATTGCAAACAGGGATTTGTTAACTATTAGCAATTTTTTTGCTATGATTTATGTCATTGTGCTGACAATGTAATTAATCAATGAGAATGACATCATCAGCTGTGGCAACTGCTGCCAATTAAACACTGTGATTTCAGGATATACACAACCATGTACACGTCCCAAATTGCAAAAAGATGCCTTCAATCAGCAACAATCTGCCACTGATGGTGACATTGTTCCTGTTGCTGGAACTGCACAAGATTTCAGCCGTTGTCTTTTTTAAAAAAGAAAATGTACAAGAGATAAATAAGAACATGATAGCCGTGCCAGCAAGACAGATAACAGAAATCAATTTATAGTTCATAGTTTTTTCCTGTAAACACTAAGTCATAGAGCACTATATGTCCCCAGAGCACTATATGTTCTACAAATTTCTGCTTTGTGATAAGGAACTGAACTGAAAGCAGAGTAAGCATTTATATAGATGAATTAGAGCAGATTGGATTTCTCCACAAAATCATGTATTACAAGAAAGGAGCTGACTACATCAAATAGCTGCTCTAGCCAATTCCACAACTTTACTAATATATATTTATTTATTAAGGTAACTGCCAAAATTAGAAATTAGATTAAGGATTTACTGATATATCCATACCTACTGCCTCGATATACAAATAAAGTTACTAGTCCTTATATACCACCACAACAGCATTAATCAGAAACTCCCGTTACAAAAAGTATTAACTATATATATCGTATCATTCAATCACCTGTCGGCCATATCCAGAAAAACTGGGTGTAGATGAAAGTTCACTTTTGCTTGTTCGTCTAGACTCAAGACCTGTACTTCCTGTCTTTGCAGACATAGCATATTTCTTCATTTGTGTCTAGCAATAAAAATAAACGTCAGTTTAAGTCGGGTTAAATACACCAATATGTCATGTTTCAAGGTATTTACAATACCATGCACTTTTATACTTAATTAATTCTTATCAGGTTGCTTAGATCAGTCAAGCATTGATGGTAATATTATCTATTTGGTCTGCTAGAGCTGTCACAAAAAGAGTCTTGGCTGCTGCCACTCAGCTATGAAAGGGTCTCCCCGTGGAACTGCCTGAGACTGAAATTTGTGTTGATTTCTGCAATTCTATGAACTGATGAGACTTCAGACAATAAGGAAACCAGTCTCTAATCTACACTTCATAGTTATGGTAGTTTGATACCGTTTCAAATGCCATGACTACAGAATCCTATGATGTGTATTGAACTATTTCATAGTCTCTGCTGATTTTTCCTACACACTAAGGATCTTGATCAGAGAATTCTGTGAATTTCAAGCAGACTCATAGAATAATAGTTTTTCACTGTCTAAATCTAAGATACTGCTTAGCTTCTCTTACCTTTTCTTCTGCTTCTCTTGCTCTTTTCATTTTTTGCAGCTTTTTTTCTCTTTTCTTGTCCAAAAGAGGCAAAATCTTCTCATCAGCTAAATTGCCTCGGAACTCACAAAATTGTGGCCAGAATTTAAAAAGAAGTGCAAAAATAGTCATCTGAAACAAGAAGGAAAGAAGGTAAATCTCATACTGTAATGCTGTATGGAAACCAAAAGAACTGCAGACAATTAGAGTATTTCATCATAATAATGAGGCAAATCCCCCCCCTTGTAACAAACAGTAGAAACCTCTGCTACCACCTATACTGTCTCCTAGTATTTTATTACAAACCTAGACATTTATTTATTCTCACCAATTTGTGTTTCTCGCTGATGAAAAAGCTTCCTTAACTACAGTTAGGAAAACCTTTCCTTCTTTTTAAAACATTGTCTTAAACATGTGCTTGCATTATTAAAACACTGATGGATGTACTAGTTTTGTTTCTAAAATGTCAGTTTAAAATTTGTTTTAAAATAATCCACATAAAAAATGTTGCTTTTAATCCAAGTGTTGTCCAGAATATTGCACCACACAGACAAAGGGGCTTCTTTTTAAACATTAAAAACAAGTGCGTTTTGCCTCCAGAGAAGTTTTAAGACCACATGAAGATCTTTGAGGGATTTTAAAATCGATACTATCTCTTTGCGTAGTCTGCTTTAAACTAGAGGGGAAAAACAATTTTGAAAGGAAGACAGAGATTCAAAGAATGACCTCAATTAAGGCATTAATGCCGTGAACCAATAAAATGAAGTATACTTCGAAAAGAGATTTTAGAGCTGAATTTCATTCTTTGGCTCTGGAAATTATCACAAGGGAAACAGAAAAGATTGAGTGGCTGATTTCATCTTATACCACACAGCATGCAGCTTTGGAAGGAGATGATTTTTATCAGGCCCAAAGCACAGAGGAATGGTTTAGAAAAGCAATGATCTGTGTACCATGCCCCAGTTGTGAGTCCAAATTTACCTTTTTTAAAAAATATATATCTTTTTTGTGTGTGAAAACTGCTTCTCTTTCAGAAACCTCTACAAATATTTTAAAGGAACAGTCAAGAGGTTCACTTCCTGGTTTGAGCTTCTTGGCCTCAGCTTTGTTATTACTGTTGTCCTGAGTGCTGATCAGTGGTGTAGTGGTAAATGTGGAGTGCTGATGTCCACTATGACAGTTCATATACCCAGTGCCCCCCATAAGGAGCGTTGAAAAAGACAGGCAGATGCATCGGCTCACAAACTATCAGACATTTTGCACTGCCATAGATATCGCTTACCACGGTATACTGTTTCTGATAAAATCTGTTCCACTCTCATATACTGGGAAGATGGCAGCTAACCTCAGATGGCACAGTGGAGCCTGAGGAAAGTGACAGATACAGCCACAGCCCCTGCTAATCAGGTCCTGGGATCACTCTGTGATTCCCGTTTCTACAACACCATTGGTGTGAACTGAAAAACCTCCAGCCAAGACGTTCTCACTACAGGCATCAACTTCAATGGGAAATGCAGAGTGCTAAACTCTGCTCACAAACCAAACCAACACTAATAACAAGCCATGATTTCAACTGGAGTGGGAAAACATGGGGAAAAACACCATACTAAAGGAGACAAGCTGATAGCATATGAGTAGCAAGAAAAACACACACATATACAAATCAGTGAAGAATCTTGTATAAGAGAACACATACTCTATCTGAAAGAGCCCTTAGGTTCTTCCCAGGCAAGTTTACTGAGGTAAATTCCAGTCAACTTGCCCCGTACTGTGTGTGAATTCATGGCAGTGATAACATCTGAACCTAGATCATCCAGATCCAAGACTTGTGTTCTATCCATTATTCATATGGAACTGTAAAAGCATCCTTGGTTATCTGGATAAATCTTCACCCTTTGACTCTAGCTTTTGCTTTGTTATATTTTTAACTTATATATGGGGCTTTGTAGCCGCTGTATCTTCCTCCCAATCTGCCAAAATTCAGTTGTCTTCCAGACCACTGGCCTGTTGTGCTTCTGGATGTTTCATAGATTTCATGTTGATAAATCTTTAGCAGCTGAAAGATAGCACTGGTGGACAACTGTTAAGTGGTACTATCTGGTAAGGAAATGGGGTGGGGAATTAGCAAAATCTCCCTTACAAGCTGAAGCATAAATGATGAAAGCCATCAATGCCCAACAGTACAGTTTTTATAAATTACTGTATTTGGTCAAGGCAACAGAATAAGCATAGATGTGGGTTGTCCTTGTTTGAATGAGGGAGAAATCAAGACTCTACAATTACACTGCTCATTCAAAGAAGATCTGATAAAGTCATAGTGCCCTTGTACATTTGCAAACTCTTTGGCTCCAATTTAAAGATCCCTGAGCTTCCACAGATACACAAGATGTACTAAATATTTCATACAAATGACAGCTCTTTATATTTTGCTTTGCACATCTCTCTGGTGGGTCCTCTAACTTTCCAGAGTAGCTTTTTTAGAATCACAAGAATTTAAAGACAGAAGAGGCCTCAGAGATATTCAAAGCTTTGGTTATGCCCTCCCCTGATAAACTAAACACAAAATTAATATTTTTTGTACTTGTGCCTCTCTGAACACATAAGGGCCCAGTTTTCTCCTGTGCTCAATTATCTTTTGGGCTTGCTCTTCAGGTATGTCAATTTGAATTGCTGGTGGAATGGCAGAATTGATGAAACAGTTGATGATCGTTGTGATCTTATTCTGGATCATGACATCATCACAGTGGGAATGGCACATATCCTGAAAAGAAAAGAATGGCACATATATACAAGGGAATATGTGTAAAGTCACAGTCAGTACATAAATTCTCTCTTTTTAAAAAAAATCTATTTTATTTATGTAGTTCTGTGAGTACCCAATGTAGTGCAGTGGACTATGGACTATGGACTATGTCACAGGAGAAATCATTTACAGTTCCCAAATCCTCTCATGGAAACTCATAGGGGGATAGAAACCACTTCTTAAATACCTCGACTACCTTGAAAACACTATTAGGGTTGCCATAAATCAGTTCTGACTTGACAGCACATAACATGTATTTCTATGTCTTTCTTTAAGTAAAGGGTGAAATCCTCTTAGTGTAGCTGCTGCTGTCATCCACAAGGAAGGTTAATCTTTAATTTAATATAATGTGAAAGTTCCCTTCTCGGGTCCCAAGGCTCCCAAGGTCTTTGAGAACCTTGGCTTTGTTTTGTTTTTGTGGGTGGAGGGAGCCTTTAATATCTAAAAATCACCACTGCTGGTCCTGCCACCAGGATCAGGACTGGTGGCAGTGATTTTTGGACATTAATGGTTCCCAATGGCTTCCCCAGGTCAACAGAGATCCCTAGGGAGCCTCAGAACCTGAGAAAAGGGGATAAGTTGAAGCAAACAAGGGTTCAAAAACATCTTTTTTCTTCCTAAGGGGAAGAGCAAGGCAATGTCTGCTCCCATTCTAAACAGGAAAGCCAGCCAGACTGCCAGATGAATTCAATGACAACTGGATAGAACTCTTACGTTATTCTGAAGGCAATGGGAAAGCACAGGTGAAGGGTGGGAAACAAGCAGCCCTTGGGGGCATTTTTTGAACCCTTAAGTACCACCACACCCGCAATCTATTTTTAAATAAAAGGGCTCAAAGATCCTCTTGTGCACTCTAGAGGGCAATTTGTCCATATCTTGAGGCTCCCCAGCACCTGTATCTCCCCGTATTCCACATTGTTTATTCATTTTTTAAAATCCACCTCAAGAGGGTGTGAGGGGGCTTTTTCATTCTAAAAAAAGATCTTCAAAAACTTCTTTGAACAGAGAGGGGGGGGGAAGGAAGAATGGGAAGTTCAGATGCAGAAGTGCCCTTGAATGAGGCACGCTTAGACGCTCCCGACTCCTGGCTTAGAGGACACAGGGCAGGCCAAGAGGCACACAATACTTGGGGGGGGGGGTCACCTCTCAGGTTCAATGGCTGGCAGGGACTGCCCAAGCTTTGTATAGTCATAAGGCTAGCCCTGAAGCAAACTTTGGAGAGGAATTAATATAGGAGGGAGGAAGAGCGAAAAGCGTGGTTGTGAGTTCAGGAACATTATGCCTGCACTGAGCATTACGAGACAAGGTCTCTGGCACCTTGTCAAATTCTTTCTTCTATTTAGCCACCAGGGCCACAGACAGCGTTGACTCTGCTGAGTTCCTGATATCAAAGTCCAAAGCAGAAACATCTTTATTTTATTCATCTAGCCTAAGAAATGATTTATCCTGACAAGCCTCAAGGAACCCAGAGGTCACCCATGGTTTCCCATTCCAAAAGAACACCATTGCTCTAAAGATAAATGTCACATTCTGTGAGGAACAGCATTATTTCCATTCCTTGATAGCCTTGTACCTTATATTTCTGCACCTCCTGCCAGAAGAGCACTCCATTCTCCAGTAAATCTCCTTTCAGTGACACAAAACGCTGAAACTGAAAGGCTGTGATGGGATTCAACAGGGCTTTGCGGAAAGTAATGATTTCCTGTGATGAAGAAACCCACTTATTGTCTGCATGCTGTCGAAAGGAAAAAGTGGGGGAGAGAAAGCACGCTGAGTAAACTCCATTTCAAAAACAAAAAAACCCAACACACAGTAACACAAGCATTAGTTAGGGTAAGCTGTCTGATGCTTATCTTTGCACTGACCCCAACATTCAGTAGTTTATTACACAGATCGGACACAATAGAACTTGGCAACCATTTTCTCTCTCCCACTCTTTTGTTTGATTTGGGCAATATTACTTTGGAAAGGACAAAAGAGGAAAGGAAATGACTAAGAATGATTTAGAACATATGACTCTGTACAATAAGTATGGAAACAGCAACCTCTGTTGATTATGGTGAGAAACACTTGAGAAGGACAGGGAGAGGGGCTATGAACAGCGAGGGAAGCGAAACAGTATGTGATCTTGTAGAAACAAATAAGAGATGGGAAGGAATAAGTACACCAGAGAGCTTAAAAACATAACACTGCCTTTGAAACAATCTTGCTAGCAAAAGCTGCTTCAAAATCCATCGCTATGACTGCTGAAAGAAGCTGAAAGCTAGATGTTTCTGGAATTAAGTTTTATCCATGGTCGTATGTGATTTAGCATTAGTAAGATACTTAGGGATCTTCACACTGTATACAGGAGCCCGGAAGGCAGAGGTGAACAAGAGAAAGCTCACATGGAAAAGGAAAAAAACAGAGAATCTAGCGATGAAAGGGGGAAGTAACTTCAGAAGCTGAAAGTCCAGTCTGGTGAGGCTCCTTGAACGTCAAGCAGCGCTTGTCACTGTGGCTCTCAAAAGAGGTTTGAAGGAAAAGGTCTCACAAATGACTGTGCCCTTGCAATTCCACTTGATCTCCAATAGCATCAACTTCTTCAGGATTGTCTTTTTAAAACGGGGTTGCTATTGGGACTAGAGGTTACCTCTCTTTGTCCCCTGGCTACCTCTACAGACAATTTATGCCCCATTTTCCCTAAAAAACCTCTTAATTGTCCACAATGACCCAAGCAGCATGGAACTGAGTAGTGGCAAATAAAGTAAACCGTTATCACATAGGAGTTGTAAGGAAGTATACAGAGAAGCAGAAATGACCCCTGAGGTTTTTATATATGAATAGCGTATTACTGTTTTTCCTTAGCGTATGTTATACATCAGTGACCTGGGCATTAGGGCAGCCAGATATCTTCGGGTATTGGCTGAACTCTTAGGAAACTGTTCTGCTCCCTGTTCACCAGGCAGAAACCGAAATCTCCAGGCAAGCAATGCTGGAGAAATAGAAACCGTGATTTTATTGTGAATGGTGGCTTTAATTCCTTGGTGACCATCTTCTCCTCACCCCCAACTGATGCCAGGACTCATTGGCTCAATGTGAATGCATCCATATGTGTGTTGTACAGAGAACATAGAGTGTGAGAATATGTGCTGGCACATCACCAGGGCCTATCCCCATGCTCAGGTTTTGATCATAAAATCTCAGGAAAAGGGGAGCTGCTAACTTGGCAACACTGGACACATAGTTTCACAACTCCATTTGGGCACTTTTGGACTAATGTTCACCTAGGCTTCCCACAGTGTATTTGCTAGAGGGTTCTAAAATTGCAGTACGAAAAAAGGTACTTGCTAGAAGGTTCTAAAATTGCAGTACATTGTTCTCTCAATGCTCATTGCTGCATTATATCTGTGCATTTTTTTAAAAAAAACAACCCAACATGCCATATACTTCATGTCACCGTATTAAGTTAAAGTGTATATAAGCTCCAAAACAGCCTGGCCTATTTTGTTGTCTCAGGCAAAGGATAAGATATTAACACTTCCTGCACTGCTCACAAGTTTACTTGCTGACTAGACTGGCAGTTGCATCTTTCTCTAACACTAGAGAGAGGAAAGAATCCTGCACTCAAGTTTGTAGTCCTGAGGGTTGGGATGGAGGCATATCTACCGCTAATACTGTATCTCACTGGCCTCCCCTGCCAGAGGAGGGACAGGACAACCATGGATCTCACCAGTATGATGGTGTGCATACTTATTGCCTGTAGGAGGGTTTGGAGCTAATTGTGGGAGGGTGTAGAGTTAATTATGTCAAATGAACATTATGTATTTACAATTACTACATCCTCACCCGACTTTTCATTCAACTGTGCTGGTTGCCCCCATTCTATTGAGGCCGATTCAACTCAAGATGTTTGGCAGTGGCCATATATTCACAACCCCCAAAGGCTAGCTTGAGGGGTACAAAAGCAAACTGCTCTCCGACTCCTTGACACATGTTGCATTTGCTGTCCAGGGTAGCTGCTTCATTCTGCCTAATGGTAGAGCTGAGCTTCCCTCGGGTGCTGTTTGTTGGTTGCTTCCTGCTGAAAGCATACTTACAATGCCTTATTCCAAGTTTCATTTCATGGAGCAACTTTCCCTGTTCTCTCTTTCAGGTCTTTCCTGCACCCTAGTGGTCCTACAAGGCTTTCCCTTGTCTCTTGCAGCTTCCCCTGAAGTAGGCTCCAGATCTGCTTGCCTCACCCTTGGCTGTCTTCTCTGAGGTACCCAGACCTGATTCTGCTAAGGCAGACCTACTCTGCCCTTCATCTAGGAAAGGAGGCTTATATCTCAGCTGGTTCCTGGCACTCGATAACTAGAAATATGGAGTCCAGACAAAAGGGGGGGGGAGAATCCCATTTCATGTATAAATGTATACAACATGTGTTATAAAGAGTTTGCTGTTCTCTGGGAGAAAAAGGAAGAAAAAGGCTTTAAAAATCCAGAGATGTCATGTTATAGTGCGTTTTAAGATGTTTAACAATTGATACGATCTTCACATTAGAATTCAGTTCTAAATGAAACAGATACTGTGAGATATGATTAATCCTGCTCACTTCACTGCATGCTTCAGATTCTTTTTTGGTGACTGCGTTTAATCACTCTCAGTAGTAAATTATCCTCCAGATGCTGAAGTGAACAGCTTGTCCCAATGTGTGCGCTGAATGCAAAGCACACAAAACATGCATGAAGGGTACCACTTTTAACTCCTACCCTAACAGCCTTCATCAGCAATTAATGTTATGGAAAATGTTGTTTTCCCCTAGGAAAAACACATTATGATGACAACAGTGGCAGTAGGGTCCAGAAGCCAACTGGGCTTTTTTTGGGGGGGTGGGGGAGAGGCCGATGTGGCTCTGTAGCACAACACATGGTTTACCACCAGAAGGTCCCAGTTTCAGTCCGTGTTATTGTAAGGCAGGATTAGGGAGGAATCTAGCCTGAAATCCTGGACAGCTACTGCCAATCAGTTGTCACAATAGTGGGCTAGATAGATGAAGGTCTTGACTTGGTATATGATAGCTTCTCATGTTCCTGTGCTTCCTCGGTTTTCTTACACATTCAAAAGCTTCCTGTTGCATCTCAAATTTGCTGGTGGTATATGAAACATAGCATGGTGATCTGGAGGCAAACCAAGGTCTGCTAACAGTACACCTCCCGCCTCAGCTATAAAGCAAAGATTACAGTCTTTGCTCAAGGGTTAATGTTCTGGCCTGCATGGAAAATCGTGTTCCTAGCTCTTTGGAATATATTTAAAAACATGCATCAGGCTCCTCTGAATTTGCCATGTTTATAGGAATATGCAAACCCTCCCAATTTCAATTATGTAGATTTCTTCAAATCCTGCCTGCATTTTCCACCTATTCTTATTTTCTACTGGTTTGTAAGATTGTTTATTTTTCATACTGAAATGTGTGCATCTTTCATGCACTTTTCCTAAAGTGTATGTTTATTTGCATGCATCACCTAATTTATCTATTCACTAAAGCATATCTGTATGTTATTTTTTTCAATGATATGAATTCAGCCATTTGCCTTTTAAAAAAATATACATTCTTTCATTATTCTTTGAAATGACCTGTAAACCTTACACATGGTGAGGTGAATGTCTTCTTACAGTGAGGCTCTCAAGATTGTCAAAGCCAACAAACCACTTGTTCTTTCCCATACATGCACAGTGTATAATGGTTTCTGCATATCACTTCCATATCTGAAAAATATATACATCTAAATAATATATAGTAGTAGAGACACCAGTTCTCCAAGTGCTGGTCTTATATAACCAAAATAGCACCACCCGTAACAGCAGAGTTGGGGAAAGGCTAAAGTTTGCAAAATGGTACAGAGAAAAAGGGGGAGAGCCCCTCTCTTCTAGGGTACAACTACATAGTAGGAAAAAATGTGAAGTCATCTGCTGTGAAGCTACACCCAAGACGTCAAATTTCCTCAGGTAAATTTGTTTTACCAGATTATAAAGGAGCCAGCAATGAGAGCAAAGGAAACTGACAATCTGCACTTGTTAGCATTTTGTTAAGGTGCCTTTACAGCAGCTGTACAGATTTGCAGGAGGCATAGCTATGGAGGAGTTACCATAATAAACTGCAGACAGGGGTTGTCTGCCAATTGCATCCTCTTTGCCTATTTCCTCCTCACTCACAAACACGCTCAAGACTTAATTTTTGTGAACTGAATAGGTTTTGCTAACTGATCACTATTGCCCATGTAAACTGAAAAGGCTGGTTTATATTATTATGCATGTTTTGAACAATGGAAACTCGTCTAAAAGTTTGAGCAAGATCTGTATCATTCAAAGACCTGGAAGCTCAGAATACTGTATAACTAAGCTCATTTGACAAAAAACATCTCTTGCCTTCCATGGTTCTGTTTTCTTCTCATGTCTCTGAATTAAGATATCTTCTGCAGCATCTCGTAGGTGTGGCTGAAAGGAATTAAGAAGAGAAAAAAGGAAATACAGACATTGTTGATAAGAACATGAACAATATTTTCTAGTTTTGTAACTAATATATACACTGCAGGATAATGTATTCTAGCTCTTTATCAAAATTAGGATGGCTTGCTTAGGCCCCCAAGAGGACAACTACAGTGTCCATTCAAGGTAAGAAAGTATTAAAATCTGGGTGGTTAAGATTGCCTATATTTAACATCTTAAAATAAGATGGAAATGTTGAAGCCCACACTGTGTCTTTTCTGAACTCTCTGGATCTGGAAATTTTCAGAGGCTAAGGATAGCAGCCGGAATGGACCACTGCTGAAATGTAAAGCAGCCCATATGTCCATCAATGCTCTTTCCAAAAGTCACAACTGTTCTTAGCCAAGAAATGCAATCGTATCTATTAGGATTTTCCTTTTTTTTTCTTCCCTAGCAATGTGCGAACAGCCGGGGTTCAATGGCATGCAAACCAATGAACTGAAGACTGCAAACTCACCAGTTTTTCCTCTCTGATGTGGCACCAGGCTCAGCGCATCTTCCCACCCAGTACACTCATTGTCCAATATAGCAAGTAATAATTCTTGCACACTGCCAGTCAAAGGGCTGGCTGATAGCCAGTCACTGTCTCTGCCTACGTAACTATTGTGCAGACGATGGGAAAAGAACCAGTCATGATAGACTAGGCAGCTCCAGATGGGGAGAGAATGAGGGAGGTACAAGAAACAGATAGAGTGGCGTGTCAGAAGGTCATACTCCTCTTCTTTGGAATGAGTTTCTACTAGGCTACTCAGCAACTCCCAGCTTCTATTGCATTCATGTTCTCCAGTGAGGGAGGGATTTCTAAGAAGGATGGAATTCTACAGCAAAAGCATAAATTCTCTGTGTTACCACACACTCCCCCAACTTCCATGTAGAACGCTTTCCAGATGTGAACCATGCTTTGGCTGCCTTGTATATCTTCAGTGGGTAACAGGAACACTAGGCAGATAGGGCGAATTAGAACCAAATGTATACATTAAATGCATACATTAAATGTGTTGCCAGGCCTCAATTTCTTTCTTATGCCATACTAAGCACATCAGGACCTGATAGAGACTGAGACTACTGAGGGCAGACAGGGAAACCTTCTCCCACTAAACCATGCTTTCCTCTTAAATCCCCCCACTATACAGGAAGTTAAAAAACCCATTGGTGCCAATGGCTCCAACGCTTTGCACAGGATGTGAGGGTTTAATTTAAATGGGAAGCAGCTGGAGAGAAAAAGGTTACCTGCCCACAGTCATCTGAATCCAGAAAGGATCTACACATATTACTTGTGCTTACTTTGGTAGAAGAAAGGAACTGAAGTTTAGCTGTATGTGACATATTTAATGGCACATGATGTTTGTTTCAGCCCTGCTATTTCACAGGCTTTGCACATCCCTCTGTTTGCACCAACAGTAAGAAAACGGACTACTATCTGTGTGTAGTCCATCACGGAAGCAAGCTGTGTGGCACCATGAAGAACAGCAATGTTGCGATGGGTGGATAACAATTACCTTTGGTTTCTTTCGTGGTTCTGACTCTTCGTGGGCATAAAATAAGGGCAGCCACTTCTTCTCCAGTCTCTCCTGAGCACGTTTTTGAACTTCCAACAGGACCACGGGGCTAACTTGTTCATGTAGCACCTGTCCCCAGCCTCCACCTAATTTCATTATCTTTTTTTAAAATAAAATGCAAACATTACAGACTGCAGAGACTTTGATCCAGAGTTTGGAAATATTCCTCTTTGGATTACAAGTTCCAGAATCCCTTGGCTCAGAGAATTCTGGGAGTTGTAGTCCAAAACAGGAAATTTCAGACATTCTGACAATAATAGAAGCAGCTGCAGCAGCAAACAAAGTATGCGGTAGAATAAAAATGGTTCTGAGCCTCATTCATTTCCTATAAAGAATAGCTAAAACCTGCCATGCAATGTTCAGTTAAAACATTACTTCTCCTGTCAAATTATTGTTTATACTGGTCATACCTAAGGTGAGTGTTGGCAGAAGGAAAATATATACGAGCAGTGTTCCCCGATCCAGAATTCTCTAAGTGTGCTAGACTACATCCCTATCATCCCCATCCAGCACAACAAGATGGGATAATGGAAGCTGAAATCTTAATACTGTATTTGGGTGGTTAAATTATATTTACCATTGTAAAATGAGATCAAAATCTCTAAACCTATGTTGCTATCTTTTCTGACTGTGCCAGATTGGGGAAGATTGTAATAGACACTTGTACCTGTCGCTTGGCAATTTTATATTAAAAGAACTTTAGACAGTTATTACACATGAAAGGAGGAAGTTAAAAATAAATCATTGGGTACGTCCAAATGAGGCATTTATTTTGCAATTGCCCTGCTTTGTTTGTGGGATTTCAAGTCAGTCCAGCCATCTCCCCATTTGCTAAATATGAAATATTGCTTAAAGTGAAGAAGATAAGGTCATTATTTTAACACTGCAATTGCAGGAGTCCATTAAGATCAGTCCAAAGAACTCAGAGGACAAAATAGATGGATGCTGGGCAATTGGTTAAGCAAAGGTTTAAAGCCATGTGTTTTGAAGCATCCTGCCACAAATAACTCCTTTCCTCATCAGCTAATTGGCCATGCTGCCCCTACATTTCTTATATATAGGTGCTGTATGTTGCTGGTATGCATTCAGTGCACACAAGATATCAACCAGGGATAATTCAACAGTAGTCCTACCTGGAGCAGCCTGATTTCAATAATTTGGATTTCAGTAAATTATGACTAACAAGCCCCACTCATTTTACATCCCTACGTTACGTAAGACTGATGTTGGATTTAACCCCAGGTCTGTTGAGCCTCAATGTTGTGTTGCTTGAACTCTTGTGCAGACTAAAATTCACATAGCAATCCCTTACAATTATACCCATTTTCAGATGTTAACCTACTCAGGAATAGGGCTAAATGTGTGTGGAGTGTGTGGATGTGAGGAGGCATAATAAATATTCCCACACATCTGGTAGCGTCTTAGACCTTCACAAGGCAAATGTAAATATCTATAGAAATATCTGTAAATGTAAATTTCTGTAGAGCTAATGCAGCTACAGAGCTGCCATGATAGATTTTATGCTGAATATATGACAGTGTAGGATATTGCCAGGTATATATGTAGGGTCATTTGGGGGGGGGGAACTGCTTACATGTGCACTCATGTGCCCATCAACCATTTAGGTCTAGATGTAAGCAAGTGAAGATTGGAACACAGTTTGTGTCTTATAGGAATGTGCTATGTGAACAATAAACAAATTCTCTTTGAAATAAGGTTGGTCATGATTTCTGATATTCTCATGAGTCCCAGATAAGCTTTTGAGGAACCTCCACTTTCCCAAGGAAAAGGTTAATACCACTAATTTAAGGAAATCTATTTGTACAGAGTAAATGAAGCAGAGCATGAAAATAACACATTGTAAATACTGTAACACCATTACCAGTACGATGTTTCTTCTTGGGGTAGTGAACGGACCAACATATTTCATAAAATTATGTACTGGTGATGGTGTTACTTCAGATGTACAACTAATTTTTACTTCTAAAACACTGTTCAGGGAGATAATTTGCGAGGGATTTTTGTCCATTATTTTAGTTTTAAAATAAACAAATATAAAAAGAAAGCAAAAAAATTAGACATTAGTAACATATTAGTCATACAGTAATATGTAATATGAGCCACGGGGGGGGGGAGGGTAACAAATTTTCTTTTACTCTTTTTGCAAAAAAAGTGTTCCAAACTCTGAGGTGGAAGCTTTAGGTAGGGCTGCTTCAGGGTAAGGTATATGTCCTGCCCTCTTCATGAGATGCTGATTGTGTGAGAAAGATCTATGCCATGTGGGTTTTATTTTTTGCATGCTGTATAGGACTGCATAAGGCAGCTACTTTTCTATTTGCCAGACATTACACTTAATTGAAAACATAGAACATTTCTTGTATCATAGGCTCTAACAAAAATAAACCTCTCCCAAATCAGTTTTAATTATTTTTAGAGCATTTTTGGAATACAATTTCCCAAAGTGGCATTAACCTTTAAAACTGCAACAGCAACAAAATTGAAATTCAAGAGACGGACACACAGTACGTTTTCAAGCATCCATAGATTCCAAGCACCAACCAACTAAAAATAAACTTAATAAAATGATCTATCAGCACTCATTACGAAAAAGAAACAGACTGAAATTACATCTCTATTTAAAAGATGCGCAGAAAAGAAGCTAATAATATTTTACAGGTGGGAATTCCAGAAGGGGCCAACACTGAAAAGAAGCTGTCTATTATACCTAGTTATCTAGCTACTATTAAGGGGGGGGGAATACAACCCCTGTTGCAAATCTTAATTATAGAATCATAAACCTGCCCATCATAGGGCATCGAGTTCCAAACCCCTACCAAAGTTAGTTCTCATGGTCAATGCACCATGAGAACTGATATCAGCATGACTAATACAACACAAGATCAGCAGCAACAGCATTTATAAACATTTTAGAAGCAGGTACCTGCTCCTGTTGCTCTTTTGTAGCTGGGCTGTTGGGTCCAAAGAAGTATTTCTTATTTAGGTATTTATTTTTTATTTCTTTAGCTTTTTCTTCTCGCTGTGGTTTATTTTTGTGAAGCATCCTCCTGAACTGCTCAATGTCTATCCAGCACATGAGGTCTGCACTATAAATAAGGCAAAGAGTTTTTCTGTGTTAAACATTCTCTACAGAAGTTTAATCAACTATGACTTTAACAATACCATATAGTTATGATCACACATGGGCTATAACTTTTTGCACATTTACTAGGGAATGAATCCAAGTCATATCAGAGGCATTTGCCTCTAATAAATATACAGTTGGACCATAAAGAAGGCTGACCGCCGAAGAATTTATGCTTTGAATTGAGGTGCTGGAGGAGGCTCTTGAGAGTCCCCTGGATGGCAAGGAGAACAAACCTATCTGTTCTGAAGGAAATCAACCCCGAGTGCTCACTGGAAGGACAGATCATGAAGCTGAGGCTCCAATACTTTGGCCATCTCATGAGGAGAGAAGATTCCCTGGAAAAGACCATGATGTTGGGAAAGTATAAGGGCAAAAAAGAAGGGGACGACAGAGGACGAGATGGTTGGACAGTGTCATTGAAGCGACCAACATGACTTTGACCAAATTCTGGGAGGCAGTGGAAGATAGGAGAGCCTGGCATGCTTTGGTCCATAGGGTCACAAAGAGTCAGACACGACTTAACAACTAAACAACAAAAAATATACAGTACAGTGGATTCCACCAGAGAAACCATCAGGTGAAGTAAACAATTCATTACATAAACCAGCAAGTATGAAGGAAGAATAGCATTGGCATGACAAAAATAACCAAGAGACTTGTAGTACTGAAGGATATATGACAGTATACACTTCTGTGGACTATAGAATCTACTTCATCAGATTTATAGTCCCAAGCTGGCAGTCACTTGACTTAGAGAAGTAGTAAGGAGTCTTTGGTCTTCCACACGTTTCTGTGTATAACTCTCATCAGCCCTGCCTAGTAATTCTAATGATGCTGACAGTGGAAATTGTATTCCCAAACCATACTATGAAGATTCCCAACTCCTTTATAGACAAGAAAAAAGGATAACTGGCAATGACATGAGAAGAAATGGAAATACAGAAAAGCATGGATTGTAACAAGTACACTAAAGCTTGAATACATGAAATATATATTCTTACATTCTTTACATACACATGTAAAATAATTACAGTGATTGTTCTCAAAGCAGTGTTGATGATCATGCATCTGGCATTATTGACCCACATGATTGAACCAAAGTCTCAATATGTGGAAACAGACATGATGTGAAGTTACTTCACACTGCCTCCACAACTATACTGGACCATAGTGCCCAAAGACAATAACAGCAGCAGCAGCAGCAACAACAACAACAACATCATGGGCAGTTCCAGTAATCAGATACCCAGCTGGAATAATGGACTGGACCCAAAATGAATTAGAAGAATTGGATAGAAAAACATGGAAATTAATGAACATGCATCATGTACTACATTCAAAAAGTGATGTGGACAGATTATAGTTACCGTGAAAAGGGGAGGCTATGGATTACTGCAAATACAGCAGGTAGTAGAGGAGGAAAAAGAAAGACTAAATTATTATATCAATACAAACAGAGAAAAATTACTTAAGGTGGTGAAAACTGATAATATTTTGAAAACAACAGAAACAAAGGCTCAATATAAGAAACAACAATTTGAAAATAAATTAAACAGTTGGAAAAATAAACCACTACATAGACAACACCTGAGAAATATTAATGGAAAGCACGATAATAATTCAGTATGGGACATGGCTAAAACTGGAGACCATTAGGAAAGAAACCAAAGGCTTGATTTTTGCTGCATAAGAACAAACTTTAGGTTATGTTACTTCACAAAGCATCATCGGCTATATAAGCAACATTGTTGAGACCAACCTGCTTGCAAGTGCACTCCAAATGGAAGGGTAACAATCACCTTTTGGTGGAAGACAGTCAAGAGAAATACATGACCCACAAAATGATCCCTTATAATGCTACATGGAGTACTATGACACAACTCTTGGATTAGATGGGTTCTTGGCAACTCTAGTGCACAACCTGAAAAATGCAGCCCTAGGAAAAGTCAGGTAACAGAAAGGAAAGAGAAAGAGATTTTGGACTGAATGCTATGGGTAGGTAGCACACTAGAATATATTGGATCACCCCAGCATACCTCTTATATTTATTTTCTCTGTTTTAATACTAGATAAATCAACAAAGAGAAAGCCCATCTGCAAATATGAAACTCACCCACTACCTCTGCTGACATTACTGAGAAAGACCTGATGAGCAGATCCAGATGAAACAGACAGACCCCCTTGCATGCCCTGGAGCAGAAGAGAGCCTCTGGACTAAAACACAAACTCCCCTGTGCCAGATCCACACCCCTACAATCAAACCCTGTTCCTGTGACCTATCAATCCTACAACGTCTCATCCAGAATCATTCTCAACTGACACTGGAAGTTCAACACATCCAGAAGGTACTACATATTTGATGGGGGCTTATATTGGATCTTTGAAATATTATCTCTTTGATAGAATACAAGCATTCTAGGGTTCACTTCGTGTGTGTGTGTGTGTGTGTGTGTGTGTGTGTGTGTGTGTATTTTCATGACAATGGCACACTCCAATGTAACAGAAATACCTTGAAGACTGTTGTTCAAGAAAGAATCGGAATTGCTCCATTTCCAGTCTATTGTGCAACAATTCAGCAATTCTGTATGGCACAACTTCTTCAGAGAGGACTTGACTTGGGTATTCTGTAGCTTTAGCAGAATCTGAACGCTCTGAGATTTTGTCTGCTCCAACAGCCCCAACCTAACAAAATAATGATTCAGTACAATCTCAATAATCTCATAACTCCTTTTTGCTAATCTCTCTAATTACTCTCTTTTCTTCTTTTTTCTGTCCATGGACAGCTTACACTTGGGACCAAAGCAATTAACGCTTGAGCTGCATGTACCAAGATCTGGGAGAGATAATGGCATTCTGCCAAGGGTAAATGTTGCACACAGTCATAGAGGAAAACAACAAGAGACATTGCAGATATGGCTGATTTGTGCAGCAAGCTACATCATGTGATCTGTTTATTACAGCCCTCAAGCTGCACAGCCGTTTGTTGGTATGTAATGGGCTTCCATGTTTGGACTACAATTTCTCAAATATGTTGTCCCACCAGAAAAGGAAAAAGGGGTCCTCTAGAAATGATATGCACCACATTTTGTTTTGTTTCCTTTTGTTCGTTCTGCATCATACTCATTGATGCTTCTAGTTATTCCCACATCCAAATACATCTCCAAGTCTCTGATTTCCCCTGTGTTTTCCACCATCCCTCCCACCACTTTGCTACCCAGTACCTTTCCCTAGTTCGGGGCATCTTCACTTCACTACTCCCAATTTTTGACGATGCAACACTGGAGCATTTTTAAAGCACTGATGTAACAAAAGCTTCAGCTCAGGATACTCCCCATTGTATACATCATTCCATATAGGAAGCATCACAGGGAACAACAAGAAGTTGTAGAAACTTGTGGGCGGGGGGGAGAGAGAAGGTACAAAGGAAAGTAAGAGGAACGTGATCAGAATGTTGAGGAATTCTCCAGTAAGGGGTCAGTGCACAACTAGGTGAAACAAATCATGTGTCCAGAAGACACGAAAGTCTTAACCTCCCGACACTAGATAAAAATAGCTTGTTTATGTTAATAGGTGCTTGTCTTACCTCACCCTTCTTGGAAATGTTCTCTTCATGCAAAGCATGCAGCTTTTTGAAGTACACTGAGTCCAGCTGTCGGGTTTCTTCCACCAGCTCCACCTAATAAACACAATACGTTAGGTCATCGACTCAGTGCATGATATAGAAAGAAAAACGAAAGGGGCAGGGGAGGCCTGCTGCCAGAGACAATGGATAGAAGAAAACGTGTTTGTCAATAGCAGGACAGCTGTTTAGAAGGCATGTCTACAGATGTTGTGCTCCCTGAAGTGGATGATTGAAAGAGAAGATTTACTGGAATAGCTAAAGCAAAAATGCCCCTTTAGAGGGAGAAAGCTGGCTAGAGAGCTCAGTGGTTTAGGTGGGAGTTCAATTCCCCACTGGGCCAGCCTGTGAAGCATAGGGAAAGCTGCACAGTCCCAAGGTGCCCCCAGAAGAAGGGAATGGCCAACCACTTCTGAATGTTCTCTACTGAGAAAACCCTGAAAAGAGTCACCATAAGTCAGAGTATACTTAATGGCACCTGATGATGATGATGATAGGAAGAAACGCCTTCCACTCAAGGTTACTTCTTCACATATAACATAGTTAAGCTTTATACTGTAATCAGCTTCCAGAGGAAATATCTACAGCCACCAACTGGGATAGTTTCAAAAGGAATTGGACAAATTCACAAGGAATGAGGCTATAAATAGCCATAGTCATGATGGCTATACCTCTAGTATCAGAGACCACATGCCCAGCTGCCAAGGAAGATATGCCAGTACATGGTACTGAACTGTTGTCCTCCTTGTGGCCTTCTCAGAGGGAACCAGTTGACCACTGAGAACAAAACTGCTGGACAGGATAATGCACATGGTTTGATCCACAGCAGTTCTTTCATTGCCAAATTACCTTCCCATAAATATCTCTGTCTTGTTGCACCATACTCATCCATGGAACCAAGAGAAGAGTCAAGATGTATTCTTCTGATGGATCAAAAAGGTCTTCAAACGGTGGCTCAATTTTCTGATAAATCTCATGTTTTACAGTCTGTTCTAGTCCAATATCCATACTGGCAGAAGGAGCAATGTAGTTTGCATACAGGAACTATTTCAAGTACAAAGAGAAATCATCAATTGCAGCTTAGCAAGTTTCCATTCTAACTGGCACAACAGATAATTTTTTCTAAGAATAAAAAAATACTGAAGACGCTTTTATGATATCTTGAATTTGTGCAATATTAAACTGTAAATCTTCTATTGTTATTCTGACATGCAATGATCCAAGATATTGTCTCTATTCCAGCTCCCTCCCTCCCCTTCTTTACTCATCTTGTTGGTTCAAAATCTGTGTTTTTCTCCCCAAACAAGATAGAACGTGTTATGATGTTAAGACTGATTTATACATACTGTATTAATTGACATGTGTGTGTCAATGAGCAATTACAAAAAGTACACCTTACCACTGCAAATATAGGCCTAAATCCAACTGCTAGGCTAAATTAGTAGTCACTACAAATCAGTTGCTAAATTGTGGACCAACACTTACATAAATCCTACTGATTTAACAGGTTGACTCTAGTTAGTAGTAGTAATCAGATTTAGATTGCAGTTTTCTCCAGCAGAGACACATGATACATTCAGGACAAATCTGCATGTTCAACAGAATGAGTTGGCAGAAGCATTTCAAATTCCATGCGCAGTGGGGGAATCAGTGGTAGCGTATGCTAGTTGGTTACTTGCACCTTTTTTTCTTTTTTCTTTTTAGAGAGGGAACGTAAAAAATGCCAATGTTCATCTGCAGTCTCATGTGGTAAAGTCCATTCTACCATGTCTGCTACCTCGTACTCCTGCTTGGATAACTCTTAGCTATGAGGATCTAACAGAGTATAGAGTCCATGCCTGAGGGGTAAATTCTGGATTTATTGTAAAAACACTGTGGTAGTTAACATTGCATTTCAGTACTCAGTTACCTGTACCTCCCATTGATCTCAATGGAACTAGCTGCTGCATAGCCATGTATAATATTGCAGTGTCAGTCATAAATGTACTGTTATGCTCACTCTATTTCTCTGACTGGTGACTTACGGCAATTTGTTGTTTTATAATAACCTGCATTTATTTGCAATATATTGCTAGGACATAGATGGAGACAAAGCTTAAATTCCCCCAATAAATAGCCAAGTCCACTAGTCCATATCAAACCTCTGCACAGTACTACAAAATGCTAATACTTTACAGTAGAGGTAGGCAATAAATGGCGCACAAACTGCATGTGTCCCACAGCCATTTTTTTGCAACAGCATCTGAAAAACCCATCCAATGGGCATGGCCAGAGGATGCTGGGAGATGTTATCCAGAGAAATTAAAAAAAAAAAACATTTCCCTATTTCTGGAATAGCCATTGGATCAGATCAGAGACACAGATCCTTCATGTTTCCCAGTCATTGATACCTGAAGGCATAAGATCTCTAAAACAGGAGGGAATACACAGCCTGTCATTATCAGTGGCCACCAGTAGTCAAATCTTCCATGGATTTCTCCAACTAACTGTTTCCTAAGCTAGGGGATGTGACCTCCAAGGGTGTCACAAATTATTTTCTGAGGGGTCATGGGTCACCTTATTGGTATTGTAACCTTGTTAAATAATTTCTTCCTTGACCTTTAATAGTGTGATATTAAAGTTAGTACAGTATGTTATGCGTATGTAAAATCAAGCCCTCTAGGAGAGAAAGAAGCCTCTACTTTATGAAAAGGGATGATTTTATCCCATTAAAATGCCTTTTTATGCATATGTGGGGATGGGGGGGGTCACAGGTTACTTGGCTATTATAAAAGGGGGTTGAGAGTTGAAAAAGGTTGGGAACCGCTGCTTTAAATCCCACTTTTAAAACTTTCCAGCTGCTATCCGAAGACTTCCGGTAGCAAATTCCACATTACAACTATGAGTTGCAGGAAAAAGCACTCCCTTTTATCTGTTCTCAATCTCCCACCATTCAACTTCTGTTAATGACGCCAGATTCTAGTACTATGCAACAGGGACCACCACCCCCAAAATCTACTTTTTCCACAGCATGCATAATTTTATATACCCCCCCTCACTCGCCCCATTGTATTGCCCCTTGCTTTTCCCAGGCTGAAAAACAATGAACATTATAACTTTTCCTTACAGGGAGTTTCAATCCCCTTGAACATTTCTATATTTAACTTCTGTTGCAAGGATCATGTTGAACATACAAGGGCAACAATTCTCTGTTCAGGCTTTTCTTTCTTTCTTTTTTTCTCGGCAGTGAAATCTCTCCATTCACTGTTATTTCATTTCCCAGCCTTTACATGTTTACCAGAATCTTGCCCCCCCCCCGGGGGGGGGAACTCTTCCAAATGGCCTTTGGAAAAGCTAGAACTCCAAACAATTTAAATATGATACTGTCCGTTACATGAAAAAATATCTTTTAACTGGGTGTCTATAAATGCCTGAAAAGTTCAGACAAAAGTCACAGCATATATAACAGCATATCAGACTTCATCTATTTAGTTATTTCTTTTTTTTTCCTTCAGTAAAAGAAGAAGGATGTATTTTCCTATATTGCCCCTATATATTTCTCTGTACATAAAATGTATGAAAGTTAGAGATGGACCTAAAGCAAATTCCAGATGTGGACTCTGCTCAGACTCTGCTTCTTTATATAATTTATAAAAGCAAAAGCTGGAGATAGTAAATCTAGCCCATCACTTCCCAAATCAGGTAAGTATTAATGTATAAGATCCCTGAACTTAGAGAAGCACTACAATTTTTGTTGTCTTGATTTAGTAAAAAACACAGTAGTCTTCAGGTCTGTGTTACTAGATTACAAAGCATCATGGTCCAATCAGAATGAAGTAATCCCTTTGAACTGGATGCCAAAATTAGGGACATGTTTTGCCATAGAATGTCAGAAAGCAATGGCCTATAATTAAGGCACACAGAGTTAGTTTATTTCATCTGCATTATTCTCAAACAACCTAATTCCCTTATATGGAACCATGGTAACTCTTTTTAGTGGAATTGTCTCTGGTATAAAAAACAGTATATTCCCCATAACAGCCTCCTATTTTTCTATCTCTAAACAGCATATTTTCCAAGAGCCAACTTCCACATGTGTTTGTCGTTTTCCTTTCGAATTCATTTTGCACTTCACTATATGCATTTTCAGAGGAAAAAAACCCACACACATTCCTTTTCACAATACATACACACAGTGACCCGCCCCTGAAATCTGTTGCCATGTTGCATGTACAGCAGAAAGCCTGGATGGAAATAAACAGAAATATATCAGAAAAATAAGAAGTGTAGGAAGCAAATTTAGTACAGTACTAGGTTTCAGTGGCCTAATCAGCATATGCAAATTTTAAAAAAGATAAGAAAGAATTGTGGAATTAGAAGCTGTGCAAACCCCAAAGAATAAACTTTTTTCCTCAGAGCTAATTTTTTTTTAGTCAAAATCCTAGAGAAAGGTAAGGTATCAGCAGAATTGCATGAATCCTGAGTTTTGCAAATGCACAGAGAAAGTTATGGGGTGATAAGCTGAGCATACAGTTTGCTATTTGGTTCACTTTTGGTGTGGTTTGGTTCACCCTATTTTCTGGCAACCACATGTGTCTTAAGATAGTGATTAATCCTGCACCTTTCATGAGCTCTTCTGCTTCTTTTTGGCATAGCACTAGGGTTGCAGTTTATTTGATGCATTTCGGAGCACTGGTTGCTCAATTTACTCCCAAACTGAACTATGGGTGGCATTCTCTTCAGTGACAACCCTCTGACGTATGCAGTGTGTTGTGACAGTAGAAAGAACAACAAAGAAACCTTCTTCTTTATTTCCCTCATCTAACAATTTTTAAGAATATTCTCCTAAGTGATGCAGCGCTATTTCAGATATAAGGGAGTACCTATGCTAGGTTGATATATTGTGGTAGCACTATGCTACATTAAACAAAACAAAAAGTTGTCACAACCTCGACAACTGTCACAAAAATCGAAAGGGGGAGAAATTGGACAAGTGTCATATTGCTGCCTGGATCCTTCTCATGGGAAAATAAACATGTGTGAATGGAAGGACTACTCCAGTGCAAGATAAAACAGATCACACAGAATATAAGAGCCTTTTAAATTCCCCTGTACAGACATACCTTTAGAAACTCAAAAAAAAAAAAAATAGACTGATGAGGATTGACCATGTTTAGTTGCTGCAGAATGTAGGGTATGCCTCAGAGATGGCACAAAGCATGCAAAGGGAATCTGGAAGTTGAGTCATGGCAACTGGACTTCTTTGTTAGGTTGAAATGTTGTACTAGTCATCAGACTGAAGAGGCTACTTGGATGAGTAGCGAAACATTTCAACCTAGTAAGAAAGAAGTCCAGTTGTCATGACTCAGCTTCCAGATAACTTCACCTGGATGACTGAGAATCTTCTCAGATACATACAAGGAGAACATTATGAATGAAGGCATATATGAGAATAAGAAAAAGAGCCATTCATACTCCAAAATTTTGTTACAGGTCTGACTTCATTTCTACAACTACAGAGTAGCTACAGAATCCCACTGGATTCTGCTGGTGACTTCTGTTTTTGCCTCTGTGAAGTTAATATTGTTGTTTATTTGCACGATAAACTTGCTCAAGTCTTAGGTTTCAAGGATCGTAGTAGCATAAAAACAAACATATGAAACACAGATGCAATATATAACAATAGAAGAACAATAGAAGAAATTCTTTTTTGTATTTTTTATTTTCATTATACCACACTTTTCTGCAGTGAAGAGTTTCAGGGCTGTTAGGATTTAGTTTCCTTAGAAAAAGATAACAGAAGATGTAATGACATTCATTCTCTCTCTCTCTCTCTCTCTCTCTCTCTCACACACACACCACCATCAGCTACAGACTTATGTGTCTGCCCTGGTATTTTCCTGACAGTTAACACTGTTAGTTACAAATATGTACAGTATATGCATAAGCATGCATGTATGTATGAACACAGACACAAAGGTTCTTAATAGTTTTAATACATTGTTTCCTTGCTTTATTATTGCTTTATCATTTTTAATGATGAGTTTTATACAGTATTATGTTCTGATAGGTCTAAGGACTGTAAATAAAGAATTGTTTGATATTACGTTCCTACTGAAGAAGCATTCTGAGATTCTTGAAAACCAAAAAGTGATTTTTTTTTGAAGAAATAAATAATAGAGCTGGATTCTACCATCAATACAATTTATTGTTTAATAAGAAAACTGCAGAAGTACCTGCAACACGGTACAGTAACACTTGGGTAAAAACAGTAACAGAGCAACAAAAATATACTATCCAAATCTCATCTGCTCATGGGCATGATCAAAACAAAACATTACACAATTTTTGTGCCACTTGTGCCATTGATGAGGGTGGATTTTGGAGAAGCAGAATGACCATAAGCAGCTTCCTTTCTTGATCGGACGCAGCTTGAGTTTCACTGTGTTCCAGTAAAAATTAAAATCAACAGAAAACCATGCAGCCATAAAAAACAAACTCAAGAATGATACCAAATGTTGGAGCACATGTGTTGATTTGTAATGTTATATTTGGGCTGTTAGTTATGCTAATGGAACAGTTTCGCATACTGCATTTTGATGTATCTGCTTTTAATGATGATGCGGATGTAGCTTTTTTGCAATGTCCTACTTACACTCTTGTGTGCAATGTTCTGCTGTCACCACCAGGCCCAGCCTGGTAATAAGATTAAGAAGGAGAAAAAGCTTAAGAATACTCATACTCACTTCTGCTCACTAGAAGTCCTGTTGGCCTCCACTACAGTAGATATATGTAAATCCCACTGATTCAGTAAGTTTACTCTAACTGGGACAGGTTTTGGCTTAAAGTCTTAATTTAAGGGTAAGACCATATTTGTTTATTTAAAATATTTTTACCCCACCTTTCTCCTTCAAATAGGATTGCAACCTAGGAGAAAAGCATGTATAGACAACAAGTGTCAAAGACCATGAATCTCTTTCCATATTAAATATGACCTTTGGCTAAGTGTGTCAACCAATACTGAAATAAAAAAAAAAATCTTTATTTTTAACATTTTGTTCAAAGGCTGAGTACTTTAGTTGATAAAGGAATTAGGGGAAAAAAATTCTTCTGTAAATCTTTTAGTGATTCTTAGCCAAAATAGCTGTATAGAATTTTATGATAAAGAGGCTGCTGGTGTCTGAATACCTGACACTGGGGACAAACAGCAAGATTAGGTTGTCTATTTCAGTGGTTCTTAACTTTTGTTACTCGGATGCTTTTGAACTGCAACTCCCAGAAACCCCAGTCAGGACAGCTGGTGGTGAAGGCTTCTGGGAGTTGCAGTCCAAAACTCCTGAGTAACCCAAGGTTAAGAACCAGTGGTCTATTTCATCCCCTGCTCAAAGGCATCTGGATGGCCCTGTTAAAAAGAGAATACAGTACTGGACTTGATAAATCATGTTCTCAAGCATGGTCATTATTAAAAAAAATTATGTTCATTTTATGTTCAAAACACCACTACAGTTCTAGAAGAGTCAGAATCTTGGCACCGTTGGAGTTTTATTTACAACCTTACATGCTGTCTGAGGTTTCAGAGGCTGTGAGGGACTTTTCTGGACTGGTGTGATTGTCTATTTATCCAGCACTAACCAAGGAGCTGGACTTGATGATCCATAGGATCTCTTCCAGCTCTGCAGTTCTAAAATGATGATGATGATTGTTATTAATCATTACTTCCAGTTTTTGAAATTCAAAGAGAACTGCACCCCTCTGCTGAGTGTTCTATCCCTCTCTTTTGTCAGTTGGTGGCATCTATTCGTTGCTTTTGATCGATTCAGCTGGTGTGCAATAAAGAAAGCGGTATACACAATTTCTCTAAATTTCAAGCAACTAAAACTCCCAGATGCTTTCACCACCAACTGTGCTAGCCAGGATTTCTGGGCATTGTAGTCCAAGAACATCTGGGGACTCAAGATTGGGAAGCACTACTTTAAGGGACACATCCTTGCCATTTAGAACTGTACCTAAAAGCAGGGCTCATGTAGCTTTCCGTGAGAGAATCTCACCTGGCAATGCATATTCCACCAGTTCTTGGCCAGTGCTCCAGGATCTAACTTTGCCACAACACCCTGCTTTTAAAATTTGTTCATACATGATCTGGAGTGGGGGAAGGTGAACTGTGAGAGAACAAATCTGCATATGACATCAAGTATTTGGAATAGTTAAAACCAAGAAACAGTAACAACAAAAACCCTCCAGAAGAACATCTTCAAACAGGAAAGTGATTCAAAAATGACAAATGCAATTAAGTGTAAGCAGATGAGAAGCAATGTACACCAATCTCATCTGGTTATGTTAATGATTCCTTTATGAGCCTGCCCAGGTCTTAAGATCATCAGGGGAGGCCATTCTCTTGGTCCCTCCACCTGCACAGGTGTATTTCATGGGGACAAGGGACAGAGCCTTCTTTGTCACTGGAACATCCTATAAGAGGTCAGGCTCTTTGCTGTCCTGCTGCAGGAAGGCAATGACTTTTCTCTTCAGGCAGGGATTTTTTTAATGGCTTGTTGTGCCTTCGTGATTTCAATGGCTTTTGGTGCTGACCTAGTTTACCATTTTTTGTGTGGTATTTGTTTGATCCTTTAAAAATATTTGTATACTCACTGTTTTTAGTTTTTAAATATTGTCTTTTAATGATGTAAAAGCCACCGTGGGTCCTCTTGAAGGAGAAAAGTGGGGTAAAAATATTTTAAATAAATAATAATGTTGAGTGAGGATATTTTTAATACACTGTATTTATCATTGGCAATACTGTTAGAAACCACAGCATTAACAGAGAAAATGGCATATAACAATTTGGTAAACACAGTTGCTTGCAAGTATCCCTTTTTATTGTTGGCTACTTTAGAAAGTGCTCTTTACAGCAGGGGTCCCCAACCCCCGGTCAGCGTACTGGTGCCTGTCCGTGGCCTGGGTCGGACTGGGCCATGGACACAAATCTCCCACCCCCACATGCACTCCTGCCCCCTGCGCAGCCCATTTGCACACACGTGCAAGTGTGTGCAAGTGCCCCCACCCCTCTGTAAGTGTGCACAAGTGCTCCTGAGCAACCCTTGCTCCTTCCACATGCACTCCTGCCCCCTGCACAGCCCATTTGCACACACGTGCAAGTGTGCACAAGTGCCCCCACCCCTCTGCAAGTGTGCGCAAGTGCTCCTGAGCAACCCTTGCTCCTTCGCGCATGTGCACAAGCACAGGGGATGCCCCACTTTCCTCAACCAGTCCGTGGAGTTAAAAAGGTTGGCGACCACTGCTTTACAGACTTGACTTCCCCAGCCTGGCACTTTCCAAATGCTTACAAATGTCACAACATGGTTGTATTTGATTCACTCAACTTTTCAAACACCATGGAACACTAAAGAGATAATGGCATGAAATTTGAAAAAAAAAATCCTTCTCAAAATGGCTCTAAATATAGATGATTTTAAAAATAACATTTAAAAATTACTAAAATATGTTACTCATAGAAACTAGTAAAATGTGTTACCCAACAAACTGGAGCAAGTTCAGAGGAAGTCGACAAGGGCGTTCAGGGGGCTGGAAACCAAGCCTTATGACAAAAGACTGAAAGAACTGGGCGTGTTTAGCTTTCAGAAAAGAAGACTGAAGGGAGATATGATAACATTTTTCAAATACATGAAAGGTAGTCATACAAAGGAGGGGCAGGATCTATTCTCGATCTTCCCAGAATGCAGGACACTTAATAATGGGCTCAAGCTACAGGAAGTCAGATTTAGGCCGAGGAAAAACTTCTTAATTGTTAGAGCAATATGTCAATGAAACCCATTACCTCAGGAGGTGGTGAGCAGTCCAACGCTGGAAGTATTCAAGAGAAAGTTGGATAACCATCTGTCAGATCTGTTTTGATTTGGATTCCTGCACTGAGGAGGTGGGGGCAGACACGATAGTCTTATAGGCCCCTTCCAACTCAATTATGCTATGATTCAATGATTCCACCAAACTGTCTAATGCCAGTACCACTGATTACATCATTATTTCCACCTGTGGGGGGATGTTCGTATTTGTATACAAATACAAATACCCCAATCTCTAAACACAACTTCAAAGCAGTCTTCCTTGGGGTCAGAGAGACTTGTGGAATTGTCTTATTTATTACTTACTTGAGCTTGCTTGCATAGTTTCAAAGGATGGAGGGTTTCTTGATAGAAAAGTTGATGATAATCCTGCAGGTCAAACCAAAAGTATGCACTGTTCTTCCATAGCTAGAGACAGAAAGAAGATACTACTATTGAATTTTTGCACCTCTTCCAAAATGTTCAAAGTTCTAATGTTACAAACCACTCAGCATCTAGGAGTCAACATAAATCACGCTTAATTTAGTGTAGTGGCTGACAGAAGGCAAACATATGTAAAACCACTGCCGTGGTAATACACGCTACACCTTTTAATCTGTCCTTTGTACATAACTAGCTATTAAAATTGTTATTGTTATAGTTAACATTAAATGATCAGACACATTTGAATGGAATTAAACTAAGAGTTCATACTGTTCATCTAAAATTTAAGCCATGTTTTGACATTATTTTTAAAGCAAATCCTAAGATCACAAAATGTTTTTAACTTGAGCTATATACTGCTGCATAACTCAGTGATTTAGGTATCTAGCTGCAGAATCAGAAGCTGGGAATTCAATACCCCACTCTGCCTCCTTGATAGGAGCTGGACTAAGCGATCCATAGGGTCCTTCCAGCTCTGCAGTTCTATGATGATGATGATAATAACTATTTGTTACCATCTTTATCATACACCTTTCTGCCATTCCTCACTACAACTTGGTGCTGCTACACAGAGCAAAGTATGTCCAGATAGGCAAAATCACATCACAAACCTAACACCTTAACCGTTCCTCTCCTTTTAAAAAAACACAAATATTTTAAACTTTGAAAGCTTAAATAAGCATCAGGGCCTGCAGCTTAGACACTTGCATTTGAATATTTCTGCCAGTCATGATAGAGACAGACGTAAAATACGATCACAAAGACTGGAGTGCTTATGAAATTATGAAAAGATTCTTCCAGTCAATCTACAGTTAGCTAGTCGAGTTTTGAGCCTTTGATTCCAAACAACCTACTGATATCTATGGAGGACAGTCCTATACCAAGGTCTCTCCCCTATGAAAAATAAGTCTAGGTAAAAGACACAAGAGAGTAGAGCAAGTGCCTGTCTAGAAAGCAGATGCACAGTTTACATGTTTTATTATTTATTAAAATATTTATATCCAAAGATCTTGGAGGAGGGTTCAATCAATTAAGACCCATCTTACAACTGTTTTCAAAACAATTTAAACTGCTAAAAATAATTCAACAGAATTAAAACAGAATCCGCAATCCAAAAAACCCAAACCAAATTTGGGGATAGTTTTTTAAAAAAATAGCAATGAAGAGGAATAGTGGAAGTTGCTATCCAAAAACATTTGGAGGGCTGCAGCTGCCACCCACATGAATTAACTTGGTGACAAAACAGGGCCAATATCAACGACAACTGGACCTCCAATTCAGTATTCCTCAGTGTTATGAGTTGTATTGCATTGCTATTTAACATGCAGTAATGATTCTTGCATTTCCGTCTATATATAAAAACAAATGCATTTCATATGGTCCACATGTCTGATACAGGAGGCGATGGTGTAATAACTGATATAACACAAGGAGTTGAATGTCTAGAGACAGGAGGAGACAGGGCAGAGGGAGAAAAGGAGAGGGGGCCAAAGAGAGAGTAGGAGGGGTGGAGGTTTTCCTGATGACAGAGGGGGGAAAAGGGAGGAAAAAGAAGAACTGAGGATTGGATGAGTGGTTTAGTTTAAAGGAGGAAGACAGAAAAGATGAAGGGGGACCTTACGTATTTAACATGCCAGAAAGAGGAGTTATAAAAGGAGGAAGAGGTGGTGCGTTTGGGGGTGGATGTGGAGGTAAAGGGATAGAAATCCAACTGGAAGGGTTGGATTCCTTAGAACGGATGGTTTTGGTTTACCCACGAGGACAAGGTCCTTGGAGGAAGTTGCTTCACCCAAGACCAATTCCACCGGCTCAGAAACCTCAAGAAGGAGATTGGGTCCACCACCCTTCCTGTGGGACCATCTGCACGGCAAAGAGTGGTTCGTTGAGGAAGCAGACCGATCAAGAGAGATTTGGGCTGTCCCCGCAGTAAAGGGTGGAGAGTTGCATTATGGACTGTCTTTATCTTGGACTGAGTTCCTGTTAGAAGTTGGCCCTATTGGCCCTACAGAAGTAATTGGTGATTCTCCTTCTATCTTTGTTAATAAAAACTTAAATGAGAAAATACATGACTCCCATGGTTATTCCCGCCAAAAAGGAGGAACTGCTTAACTTTTCTACCAAACCCAATCACATTCCCATCCAGCCTATCTACTCCAGAATTCAGTCTTTCACTAGCAGGCATCCAGCAGACATATGGAGTTACAACTCTCAACTCCTCTGCCCAGCAAAATGGGGGTGATGACAATCCCCACAATTCTCACCATTGGCTATGCTAGTTATAGTTGATGTAAACTGTAGACCTAAAACATCTGGGGAATCACAATTATTCATCCTGGGCTGAAGATGGAGTAATGGCCTTCTTAATTCAGAAGGCAGCAGCTTCATGATTTCATATTTTAATCATATAGGAATGCAGAAACTTTTCAGAAATGACTTCTTTAGAGTGTCCTTCTACCAATCATCTCTTTCAGTTTCAACTCCCAGCCTGACATCTCAGTTGTGAGAGACAGGGGTTCATAAACTGTAAACTGTAAAGCCCATGGCCACCAGATGTTTTTGATCACAACTCCCATCACCTTGACAACTAGCATATGCAGTGGGATGGGAATAATGGGAGTTTAGTCCAACACTGAGCCACCTTAGATCCTTGCATGGGGCAGAAGGTATATTGTTAAATAATTCAAGTGGACCCTAGGTAGGGAGGGCTAGAGTAAGTTCATAGTTCAGAAAAATTACCGTACTTTTGCATCACAGTCCCAGAACTCACCAGCCAGCATGACAACTTTATACAGCATAGAGGCTTGGAGATGCTGAGAACTGCAGTTGGGACAAAAACAAACAAACAAACAAACAAACAAACAAAAAACCTCCTAACTTTTCCAAACACTGTTATTCAGCTTGGGAATGAAAACTCAGGTTCAAAATCCATGTTAACTCTTGGTTCAGTGGGGCAAAACCATTGTTTTTTAAACTAGCCTTCTTCACCCAGGTGGGCCAGTGACTATAAAACACTGCTCCAAACTCCTAGGAGAAAGGGGCAGGGGAATCAGTCAACTCAACACATCTATTGGTAAAGAAATCTACATACTTTATTTCCGGACTTCTCGCAGAATTCTGTGAAAATGTAGCCTGCTCTGTTTTCTGTGTTAAGGGACTGCAACATTCTCTCCATTTTGGAACTTCCTAGTTCAAAAACCTCTGGGGATGTTTTACCCTGGTTAACAGAAAGCACAATTTAGCATGACATGCTACTTCATTTCATCTTGAATTAAATGGCTGTGAAACTGCTCACTCTCCTCTTTCAAACCAAGAAGCAAGAAAGCAGTCAGGCAAACCGGATAGGTTGTCTCACCTGATTTCCTAGCCCAAGGTTCTTAGACAATGTTATATTGGCTGTAATCTCTCACATTGTTACACTTGCCCTTGTACCACCCTTCCTCTATTTTATTCCTAATTCCCATCAGAGTTTGGAGGCAATACAATTGTTTTGTGGACTGTAATTTGTACTTATTTATATTTGTAGATCAGATATCGTTCAGATATTTCAAGTTTTGATCTACAAAAGAAATATGTAAAAAAAAAAAATCTAGCCCCATGACAATTTCATTTGATCCCTGGCAGCCCTATCAAATTTTAATCAAGGCATGCCCACAGTTGAATTTTTGAGGGGAAAAAATAAATGTTTGAAAGTGTACAAATAGAAATGCCTCACTGTTTAATGCTCCATCACTCTCGTTTTAACCTTGCACATAATATAGAGGGTATGCAAATATATCTGTCTGTGTAGCACTGATATATTAAGACCATAACTTTATTATGCTGGCCAAGGGTGCAACTATGGCTAATCTAAGACTACAAGTGGAACTTTCAGATTTTTTTCACTACTGCTCCCAGAATCTGCCTGGAGTTCTTCTAGTCAGATTTCTAATACTTGTAGATTAAAAAACTAGAGAAATGGATGTGAGTAGCTAAGCTCCACAGGAGCTGCAAAGGATCAAGGAATTATGGTCTTTACAGAGTGCTTCTCAAAAACTACTAGTCTCCTAACACCTTGTAGCTTCATGGAACTTAGCCGCTTTGAGCCATTTCCCTGTTCTTTAACCTAATAGCTGTTGTTCCAGAGAGAGAAAGACTTGCCGATGCACAGGTGTGTGTTCTGAAATGCCTTTGAATACTTTGATTTTTTTGCTATAGCTACCAGATTTCAAGTTAGAAGAATTTCTTCCAAATTCTGGGAGCACTAGTGAAAAAAAAAATCAGAAAATCCTATGCCTCTCCAAGACATTTTCTCATCTGAAACAGAGCTACAAATAGCACTCTCACATATACTCCCCAGTAAAGGTGTATAGTATAGTACTGTATATAACTAGCCAATTTATTTTGTCATGTGAAGTACCAAACCCCAAGTTCCCTCTCCCCTCGTAATCAGTAAATACAATAACAACCAAATAACTATTTATTGCCCTCTCATGACATATTCACTCTGCTTAATGGTAGGACTGGCCATGAGTGCAAGACTTTGGAGGCCTTAATTATCCTGCGAACTGACCTCTGAATTACAAAAGGAATTCGATGTTCTTCTATTATGTCCAAAATCCCCTTCCTAAGGTAGCCATCTGATCATGGGGCTTAGTGGGGTATAGTGAAATTTATGCACAACAATATGCTTCTAAATCCCACTATGTGAAGAAAAAGGTTGGTTGTCTTTGACTTAATAGTAGTCAAATTTGATTTCAGCAACAAAGTGGACTCTGAGACATGTATCCTGAGACCAAACAAGAAGAAAGCCCACTCCCACGCAGCATGGGATATACTGCTTTATGTCATAAAACTATTTCCATCAGATTCGGGAATTCCAAATGGTACTCACCGGGATTACTTCTGCATAGGTGTATTTTCTATCTAGGTGTGGTTTCAGATAATCCATTTTGTCAGTAAATTCTGTCTGGTGAGTCACATTGCTACACACTGTTGCTGGTCTACACCAATGAAGAAGAAACAGGTTCCAAAGATGCTTGAGGATAATCCAAGTTATGTGGGTTATTGTTGTGTTTTTTTACAAAGGAGACACAATTAACTCCAATGGATTTGAAATCAGGATCACAGTCAATGTGTATTAACCTAGTGACTTTTACCAAACTTAAAGCATAATAATATGGATTCTTACATTGCTGTAAAAGGCGGGTTTTCTTCACAAAGATCACTGCTTGCACAATTTCACAATCCCAAGTTACTATACTTGCAGGAGTTTCCATTCAGCAGAAGTTCAATAGGACAATAGCAAGTGCTTTTACTTTAAGTATTCCAAGGCAATGAGGAAATGTATTTGGTCACGCCCAGTTTTAACCTTCTGCTAAATCTTGCTCACCCTTCCTTTTCCCTTCAAAGTTCCCTGCTGGCAGCAGCAGATAAAGAACACAGGTCATATGACTAGTGGCAAAGCAGAAAAAAAAGGATTTGCATCAAAAGCATCCTCTCTTTGTGTCTTACAACATTAATGAGCATAAGGTTCATATTGGAATGAGGACACAACCATTTTCTGTGATGTTTGTTTATGACGGGATTGCCAGGCTTCAGGATACTAAGACTCAGGCAATTGCTATGCTTCTCTAGCTAGACAGGGAAATCTCCAGGGGAGCAGGGCTGGAGGAGCGGAAAGTTGTGGAGTTGGTTTGTGTGGGTGTGGTGTAAGGTGCCTTTAAAGTAATCCATTTATAGACATGGAGACACCAGTGCTTACTGGCTAGCATGAAGATGTTTGTTTAGTGTAGAGCCTAGAAAACCTTTCCATGTGTCATAAATGTTATAGGTAACACCATGCAAGATGTGAGCCCTAGCAGGAATAGCATGAACCATAGGAGCTACTGGGCCCATTCTGGTGCCTTCTCAGCCACCAAAAAGTGTCCTTTCCTTGGCTTGGGGTTGCCTCATTACTTAGTTAGGCTGCTTTCTTCTGGATTGTGGGTCTATTTCCCTGAGTGCCTCTCACTGTCTTGGACTACTGGGACAGTCTGAAACATCTCTGGTGCCAAAGATTCCCTATCCTTTCTGTTTAACTGGCTGCTCTTGAATGTTTTGAGAAAGAGGGAAAGCAGAGAAAGAATATATATTTACTTCCCCTGTGTCAGCTTTCATTTACTTCAGTCTTAAGACAGAGACCAGGACAAAATACTAACAAAAGTTGATGATTCCTTTAAATAATCACGAATGTGAAATTTTTAGTACTTACCGTTTTCTACAGACATCCGATAAACCGATGAAGGCATCCGGATCTTCCTGAACAGCACTTTGACTCCGGGGTAAAACGGCTGATAGCAGCCTGGGAGGCCTCTGGGAATGTAATTCTAACAGAGCTGCTTTTGACAGAGGTGAGGGTGATCCTATTTCTCCTCTCTAGTGAAAATAAAATATGGGGGGGGGGCAGAAAACCTCTTAAAATAATTGTTGCATTATCATGTTCCATTTACTGCATAACTGTGTATCTATTTTTCCATGTTCTAGGTCTCAGACCCATTTATGTACATACACCTATGCTATTATGTCATATCAGTTTTAAGTATTTCTAGTTGAAATAATAACCCAGGTGTGACAAACCCAGACCTACTGGGATATGTCACACAGTTACACTAAGCTGCCACCAACCATTCCCTATAAGAAGTCACACAGACCAGGGATGGATTTTTGAACAATAAAAAGAATAAGGTTTATTTAAAATACACACAGGGAAAAATAAACAATCAGGTGAATAAAATAAAGTAACGTGGCTTATTCTCACTCATACACACATACAGTTTGGTTCACACAGAACCCTTAACTTGAAGCACAGACCCTGAACCTATCAGTTCTGGCTAACCAACAGACACCTGAACCTATCAGGTTGGTACTCTGACACACAGTAGTACCCTGTCTGACACACAGACTCCCACAACAGCTTCTTCTTCCCAGCTGCTGCTTCGTCACAACCCAGTGTCTCTCAGCATCTCCCTTCCACCACACAGGCATCACATATTTATACAGTACAGCCCCTCCTCCTGATGTCCCGCCTTCCACTCCCCATAGGATGGAACTTTCCCTCCAAACCCATGACAGACAGGTAACATCAGTGCTGTATGTAACACCAGGTTCCAGATTTGTGGGAGAGGGGCTTGGCAAGCTGTTTTAAGTGGTCCTCTGGGCCCAATTTTCAGACCTACTCAAAGGGAGATGTAAGAAGCATCAGCTGTTGCCTCCCCTTGCTTGCGGATAGAACAAGCAGCAGCAATAACAAGAAGGATTGTACCCTCAGGTCGGCCCTTCTCCCTGTTGTATTTTTGTTGACAAGCTAAGACCTTTGGTTTGGAGGCAAGTTCTTACTAAGGGATTTGAGCAGCCAAGTAAGAAGTCTTTCTATGAGATGCTGCATGCCCTATATACAAGTGTTTTTAACTTGTTTTAAAATTAGTCTTAATTTTAATGTATTGTATGTCTGATTGTTTTTCAGTGTTACCACATATGACTTACTATGTTTTAGCTACAACTGCTTTTTAAGCATTTTGGAGCTGCCTCACATCCCTTTGCCAGGAACAATAAAATGTAATAAATAATAAGTAAACAACAAGTAGCAACATGGCAAGGAGCCTTCTTAGGTTGCCACTGGGCTCTCTGCTGAAATCTCAACAGAGGCCCAACAATGTGGACCCCTGGCTCAGACATACAAAATAAGTGACATTGGTAAACATAGAGGTTTTATCACTCAGTGATTCAGGCCTGAACTAGATGTTACAGATAACCCGTCATTAGGATATTCCTTAAGTCCTGACTGTGTGTGACTCCCACAGCAAGCACTATTTTTACCCCTGTAATTTGCAAATTAGCTTGCTTTATTTTGTGGCTCTTCTTCATAAGTATATTATTCATTTTCTTACACACAGTAGACTGTCTGAATTACATTTCTGATTACAACTCTAAAGATGTTCAGGCTCTCAGTTGTATGTTGGGAACTGCTTCAACTGAGGACTATCACAATTTATTTATTTATTTCTGTTCACGTCGGAAGCACCAAAGTACAATGAATAAATGACGGGGCTTTGCCTGTCAACAAACATAGAACAAAGAGGGGGGCAATCTGGAAGTCAAATCCTTCTTGTTGTTGCTGCTTGTTGATCTATCTTGTCTAAATGAGCAGGCAAGAAGGTGAAGCGACAGCTGGGAACATCAAGAGCATTTGGGGGCACCTAACATCCAATCTTCCATGGTATATGTCGAAGGACATAGAATGCATTGACACAGGTGTGAAGTTGCCTGCTCTTCTCTGCATTCACATTTTTTAAAAAAACCCAACCCTTTTTTTAGTACTTATCCCAACTTGACTCTGAAGCCTATTAAATGACTTCCAAGCAACCTAATTCTACATGTGACTGGAGGCGAGACTTTCCTGGCATTCCATCCATTTTAAGAAGTGAATAGTTCTTTCTTTCCATATTATAGTCCCAACATTCTCTGCTGTTTCTTCAAGACTAAAGATGTTCTTTTATAAAAACTGCTCTTTAATTTTAATACAGGAGGTGCCTGATTGTAGCCAAAAAGTGGATATGCATTTGATGTAGATGCTTTGTGTCTTTCACTGTCTTTCGCTGCTTCCTGTCTCTATATGTCACTGGATGAAATGCCTTCTAGAGAGGACTGATTTTATCTACAGAGGTTGACTTCAGGTATCCAGCAGTAATGATTCTACAGTTTTTACTGAGCAAAATTATGTTGCATAAATTTATACTAGCATAACATGGATCAGGAACCAGGAATATTTAATTTAAACTGATGGAAAAGTTCCTATCTCCCCATTTCAGGTTCTGAAGTTCCCTAAGGCTCATATTTGCCATAGGGAAGCCTTTGGGAGCCTCAGGATATGGGCAGGGGACCTTTAATAGAAAAAAAAAATCACTGCTGGATTGCTGCCACCAAGATTGGGGGTGCTGCCAGTTATCTGACAGCATATTTTGACTATTAAAGGCTCCTTGCCACTGCTGCTAAATAAATCAAATATAATCTCATAATAAAAAGCTATCATGCACGCTTGTATCTATGATGGCTAAAAAAAATACCGGAATAATGTACAAAGATGGTGACAAGGACATGGGCCAATACATATAATTCTATGAATTATTTAAATATGCAGAAATAATACTATTCCTTATCCAGCTGTAGCATGTTTAAATACTACTGCATGGAAAGTTCCCACAAATGTAGAAGCTATATAAAAAAAGTTAGTTAAAAGTTAGTTGTTTGGTTTTCCCTGTGCATGAAGATTCTTTTATTGGAAAGCATTTGAATTCATGGTCCCCTCAGCTGCAGTTCAGAGTGGGACAACTCTGAAAGAGCATTTGCAATATGATGAAAATGAAAAATGAAATTCCCCTTTTATCTGTTGCAGTTACCTTATTGGTCTGGCTGTAAAGCTGGAACAGATTCAAAGCAATACACAGATAATGTGAATTGGCAAAATGCATATTCCACAAGCAATAAGGTAACTGCAAGGATTTGGCATAAAAAAGTTGTTGTTGTGTAAAACCAAAGTCACAAAATGAAAAAATGTACAAAAGTGTTTGTAATCTTATGGAGTAGCTTTTTTTTTTTAAAACAAATTGTCCATTCTCATCTGAAAGAATGAAATAAGTGAAGACTTACACCATGATGCAGAGGCCCACAAGTTGCATCTCATACCACAGGGTAATCATCCCACAGGGTATTCCTTCAACTGTTGCTGCCTTTCTTCTTTTGATCTGCTCTACACAACTATGGTTTATAATGGTTAATGTCACATACCCTTTCATAAGGAGATTTCCTCAAAAATACGTGTCTGACCACTTATGGTTAATGTCACATACTAGGGCTCAAGTGAAACTAGGATTACCCTGGTTAACCTCCTTTCATAAGGTGATTTCCTCAAAAATACGTGTCTGACCACTCAGCCTTGCAAACTGAGTCACGTTTTACCTTCCCATGGCCTATTACTAAACAAGTACATTTAAGATACAGAGAAGAGCACTATCACATCCTTGAGTCATTACCTTTTTTAAAAAAATGTAGAAATGTATCATGTAGTTTGGCATTTAACTTTAACAGCCGTACCTGTTGATGTGAATGTGCTATTTTTGGCATGCAGGACTTAGCTCTCAATGGCAGAAGTGACACCATCTGTGGGAAAGGATCCACATCCATCCGTGGTTTCTGCTGTCGAGAATGCCAGATTTTCAGCTTTGCAGCTGTGGCCTGTATGGCAGCTGTATGAATAACACAAAACCTGGGACCCCTGAGAGGTGGAAAAATTAAGGCTTAAAAATTGACAATTTAACCCTAGACTGCACACAGCAATAAATAATTGGGAATGAGCAAGAGGAGTGTTGACCCCTGCTAGATTGCTTCTGCTTGGATCCTCTTGCCAGTGGAGGTAGCTCTCCCTGTGAGCAGCAGACCAGCAAGGGACATTGATTTCCAGCTGTTTTATTCCTAGTTGTTTAGTGTCACACCTGAATAGTGGTACAGCAATAACTTTGGAAGTGCAGATGCGCATCATTATAGTCCCCATAGTTAGCCTTTTCCTGCCACCCCCAAGTAGAGTCCAAAATGCAGTTTGCTAGATAAGTCCATATCAACAAATAAAAAGCAGGTCTTTTGTAAACTTACTGACTCTTAATTGCCCATTCAAGATGAAACCACTCTCAAATACAGTACTTCCCATTACAACAGAGGTGCTTTGTAACAATATACTGTTTCTAAGAACTGCAATTAAGCTCAAAGGGAACAAGGAAGACTCAGGATGTGGCAGATTCTCTTTGCTACTCAGACAGTCTTGGGGCTTTGACCACGTGAACCCTGGTTTAACTGTACCACTCCACCTGAATGGCTGAGCAGACACGTGTAAGACTATGTTGTATAGAATTAGTATCATGTCCTATACTCTATCTGAACAGTTTGATAAACGCACATTTATAAAACCAACTTTTTTCACTCTTCCCCCCACTCTGTTGAGAACTGGAATATGTGAAAAACCTTGCTCACAATTTGTGATATGGGGTGTGAGCAATCTAAGTTGCCTGTAGATTGAATATTTATGTTATTTGTCCAATGGATTTTACTTTTATCCAATTGATACACAGACCAGACTTGCACAGGCATCTTGTAACCACCTTCACAGTATCAGAACAACTTTTACAAAAGTGTCAGCCTTTACAGTAACAGGTTACTCTTTCCTTCCCCATCCAGTCATAATAATAGATCATAAGATGTAACCAGAATTTAATAGAATGACTACGTAATCCATCCTCTCACCAGTAGAGAAGCAAAGGTTTCACTACTTCCGACTGAATGCGCTGTAGGTTACGTGTGTTCCACTGGTCTCCATCCTCCAAGTTCAGTTTATGTAAAACTTCAGAGGTGAGGAAATAATCTCCATTGCTGGCTAGGTATATTTTTTTCATTCTATCAAGCTGTCTTGAATGAAAGAAAACATTCACACACAATATGCACAAACACACACTAGTGAACAATTCACTGAGAATCCATTCCACGCAATCAAAAACCTTGTAACTGAAATTCTGTTGAGTAATGTATGCTTGCAGAAGGGTGATGATGTCATCAGCAGGAGTGATTTTCACTAATTAAAAACCTCTTACTTCTCTCCAGTGAACTTTGTCACGCCTATGTAAACCCTCTTTCCTTTTTTTGGGATAAGAGGAAGAAATCTTTAACTATTGAAAATCTCCCCCTGGTGGTATTGTCACCTGGCAGTGGCAATTTTTGGCAATCAAAGACTCCCTTCTTCCATCCCACAGCTTCCATACAATGAAAGAGATTACAAGAGAATGAACTGTGGGACAGAAGTAGCAAACTCTCTGTTACTGCTTATTGCTCCCTGCTGGTGATATCAACATCCTTCCACAAGCTTAAGATTTCAAATATTATTTGCACACAACATTTTCTAATAAAAGTCCATTAAAAAAAGGTAAATCAATCCTAAACACAACATTGTACATTGTACATTGTAACTAATAAATTAGGCATGGTTCGTATTTGGGAATCACGTCTCACTTCATATGCAGCACCCTCTATCCAGACAAGATGCTTGCTGAAAACTAATTATAGTACTACTCTTTCCGGATGTTAAAATCTCACTTCCAGAGAATAGCTTGGATACATTTTCAGAGTAGTCAAAGCAAAGAGAAATATTATGCTTTAGAAGTCAACTTTTCATCGAACAGTTCTCATTAGCACATCCACTGATAACGTAAATTTCTCATTTACACAAAGGACTAGATCCAATTGCTAGTCTCAACTTGAGCAGACCCACTAAATTAATAACTGAATGGAAAGTCAATGTTTATAAAGGCCCTTTGATTCAACAGGTCTCACTTTAGTTGGGATTAGTCACTGGATTTAGGTCATGAACTGATTGTTTAACTCCAGTAGGCAATTTTAGCAAGCCTGAGGACAAAACCTTCAGCAGCAGCACAAACTAAAAATGGCCAAAAATAGGTGGCAAAACCACCACTCTTGGAGTTTTCTAGAAGCAGAAAAGGTAATTTTCCCCCTTCAATCTTCTTTTGCACTAGGGGCCAGTGAATGACTTTAGGAGGCCACGGGGATGTGCAAAAATGTCCCTAGGTTGCATACATTGTTTACACTCCGTTTAATTTTTTTAATCTAAGAATTTCCTTTCAATCCCTTTGCGGCCAAAAAAAACCCCAGTCCAATACCTTCGTTAGTTACAGTTAGTTAGTTACACATGCTCCCTGTGTACACAGAGGGCAGCAGGATTATATTTGCTCTGTTTGTGGCCACATAGGAATTGTGAGAGAAAAGATGGTGCTGTGTGTGGCAGGGAAGTAGGAGAGTGGGTGTGGGGGAGAGATTGAAAATTTCTGTCTAGCCTTCTAATCTGGTATCTTCTAGATGTGCTGAACTACAGCTCCAATCATTCTCAGACAGCAGGCAGAAAAGATAGGAGTTAGGTAAAGGTAAAGGTTTCCCTTGACATTTAATCCAGTTGTGTCCGCCTCTAGGGCACAGTGCTCATCCCCGTCTCCAAGCCATACAGCTAGCGTTTGTCCGAAGACAGTTACCATGGTCACATGGCCAGCACGACTAGACATGGAACGCCATTTGCCTTCCCACCGAGGTGGTACCTATTTATCTACTTGCATTTAAATGCTTTTGAACTGCTAGGTTGGCAGGAGCTGGGACAAGCGACGGGAGCTCACTCTGTTGCGTGGATTCGATCTTTTGACTGCTGATCTTCTGACCTTGACAGCACAGAGGCTTCTGCCATTTAATCTGCAGTGCCACCACGTTCCCTGACAAGATAGGACTTACTTGTCAACAAATCTTGGCGAAAGCTTCAAATCCATTCCTACATGCCAGTCAGATTAAATGGTCTTTGGATACCAATATGTTATAAGGAAGGTTTAGTAAAAGGTTTAGCCGCCTAGAGTGGTCTTATAGGCCAGATGGGCAGGGTATAAATCAAATAGATAGATAGATAGATAGATAGATAGATAGATAGATAGATAGATAGATAGATAGATAGATAGATAGATAGATAGATAGATAGCACTGTGCATCACATCTCCTTTTATCTGCTGCAGTACTGTCACAAATATACCACAGTAGAACACAATACAGGGGAACATCTCAAGGCAAAGAGAAAGCAACTGATAAATAAACGTAACTAAAACAACAATTCACAGCTTAATCAGTCCAGGATCACCTTCAGAACAGTATAAACTGTGCTTGGCATTAAAAACAGGAAATACCTTTTTTTCCTTTTAGGATCTCTCAGGACCTTCAGTCTTTCAATGTCCATCCAGAGCCACCAGTATCTTTCCCCCAAAGTTCCTCTGATGAACCTCTTGAACCTTTCAAACTCATGTCTGTTACCAATATCATACATCTTGTGGCCCATACACCAGGCAGCCCTGGCTTCAGAATTATCCTTCTCGGATTTCACACTGATTTCACTCCCCCTTTCCATTATATCATCACCAGGGATTGGAGGTTGTTGTGGGAGCGGCTCCATGAAAGGTTGAACATTTTCTATCTCGCATATAAACACTCTTGACACTCTGCTGAAGTTGACATCAGTTGGGTCGGCTTCAGGAGGCTCCCCAGTGAGTACTGCAATAGAGTTCTTCAGGATATACTGCGCATAAGCTAATGAAAACTCATCCACAGTTCGAAAATATGCCAGTTCTTGATACTGAGCAAGGTCTCCACTCATTTCCACTTGAGGAACAGAATCCCAGCTCTGCTCTAAATATGCTCTTAAAATGGTGTGTGAAGGAGTATCAGGAACTGACAAAGAATTGCCTTCATCTATACTTCTCCTGACTGCTGCCCGCTGAGGAAGACGGAAATCAGTTTGACTATGCTTCCTCTTAATCCTAGAATCCAGTTCTGCATTAAAATGAGAGAAGGTCATTTCCTCAAAGACCCGAAAGATACCAAGACATTAACATATTGTTTGATTATACAAAAATCACACCCACACTCCCATATACCCCCCACACCCACACACACCACAGCTCCTCTGTGCCTTTGTATAACCTAGTGCTTGACTATGGGCCACAGAATAATCATTAGTGGCTGGAATTTGTGTCACATCCCACCTGCTTTTTCAGTTTGGATGGGGATCAGCAGAATTTCCATTTGGATCTTTTTGAAGAAGTTGCAGTGAGGTTTCTCACAACCCATTTATATAGGATCAGCAGACCAATGATGATTAAAAATACTAGTTCTCTAGTGCCTCTCCATGTATTTGCTGAGTTATTGTTCTGCTTGCCCTTCACATTGGAAAATAAACTACTGTATATGTTACAGCATGATTTGGGAAGTATTTGGGGATGGTAAGGACCCCCTCCCAATCTTATCTGGAAGATCGTAATCAGAGGATGGGGCCATGTTCTCTGGCCAGGGCTCTCCTTGGAACTTTTTCACCAGCAGTTTAGACATGTGCCTGGTCCACATGCAGGGAAGATGAGCAAAATAAAACTGGGTCTCCTAGGATGGCACTTTATGAACTAGTTGCATCCTGCCACCTGCAAATTTCACAACTCAGTGTGTTACAGGGATGCTGTGTCTGAATCACAAGTTCAAGTCTGGGTCTTGGTATGAAGTCCCAAGACCCCAATCCCAAGTCTCTATCAAAAACAAGGGGTTTTTTTTTTCAGAAAAAAGGGAGCAGGTGGATGAGGTCTGAATCCAAATCACTGGAGAGAGAAAACCCGAGCCAAGTCACCAATGCAACTTAAGTCCGACTTGACAGTGAGGCCTGTGACCAAGTAGCCATCCCTGGTGTGTTCTGCTCTCTCTGTGTCTTTCCTAGGGAGGAGTGAAGCCAGGAAAACTCAACCAGCACTTCACTGTCAACACTTTGCTCCCCCTTTCCTTCTCACAACAGGGAAGATGAGAAAGGAAGAAAGCCAGGCCACTGGGGTCAAAATACATGTTATATTTATACTGATTTTGCAAAGGTGCTTGCCCAAGTGCAGAAAACGTCAGCATGGTTTGGTGTTGTTAGAAGGTAAACACAGGCTTAGTTTGCAAATCTGATTGCTGAAAAAGGTATCTCGCAGAAATCCCACCATGGGAGTGAAAACAGGTTTATTGTTGGGAATACGCATTTTCCTTAATATCTTGTTTCAACCTTAGCTGAAAGTTTGGGAGCCTTTTAAGTTGCAAGATTTCTCCAATATTCAGAAACGCAGCTCATTTTGTTTTCCCATGTGGGAAGTGGAGAAGGAAATACAGACATCTCCTCAACTGCAGATTCCTCATTCCTCTCCCAGGTCTCTCCTGTCACAGAGCATGGACAGAGTTCCTACTCCAGTCCTCTGAAGATGCCGGCCACAGAGACTGGTAAAATGTCAGGAAGAACAACCTTCAGAACATGGACAAAGAGCCCGAAAAACCCACAACAACCATCTCTCCTGGAGGATAGGGAGAGGAAGACGTAAACAGGAAATCTCTATGACAGTGGTTCCCAACCTGGGGTAACCTATGTTTTCTTGGACTGCAACCCCCAGAAGCCTTCATCACTAGCTGTGCTTCCCAGGGTTTCTGCAAGTTGCAGTCTAAGAACACCTGGTTCTTACCCTAAGTTAGGAACCACTACTCTGTGGGGTACATCAGATATTACAATGGACCAGATCAGGTCTGGGGAACCAGATGTTCCCCTCCCTTGTATTTCAAGTAGGCCTGCAGTATTCTACCTTCACAAACAGATTGATGTTGTAAAAGGATTTCTTTTAGAGTTAAATTACTCAAGATGGACAAGGTCTGCATTTAGAAACAGTGGTCCGTTAATTGGCATAAGACACCTCTTTATCCCAGGAAGAACTTTCACCTCCACATTTTGAACATTAGGCTTGCTTTGTTTTGCGTTTTGACAGCAGGAAGTAATCATTGGCATGTCTTGAGGCTCCAGGGAATCCCATTGGTGGATGACCTATTAGCTCCTAAATGGAGGTTATACATATTTTGTCATCTGACCCTCAAACATCTTCCTTCCACTAATAAAAATAGAGTGTGAAAATCTTCATTCTTCTTTCTTTGGAATCTAATCTGCATTTGGAGAGCATTACACTATAAACGTCACTTACCTAAGTGACTACTATAAATATCTGCATTGAGAATAGTAGAAGAAATGTTAGGCACCACTTCTTGGGACCTGAAATCTAAAAGAAATTAAATCAAACATCAAAATAGTCAGAAATCTATCCTTAAAAGTACTACGAATAAACTATTTTTTCAGTCTTTGCAAATGTTCAGAATAATGTATATCATTGTTTGTAGACAAATTATGCTTTTGCTCCTTCCCTACAGTTTATGCTCTTGCGGTAATTCTGCTGGCATAATTGACTTTTAGGAACCCATCCTCTATATCATTGTTTGTAGATAAATTATGCTTTTGCTCCTTCCCGACAGTTTATGCTCTTGCGGTAATTCTGTTGGCATAATTGACTTTTAGGAACCCATCCTGCCTCAACAATTTTGCGGTTCTATTTAATTTGACTTACCTCTTCTTATTCTCTCTCTCTCTCTCTCTCTCTCTCACACACACACACACACACACACACACACACACACACACACACACACACATATACAGATACATACATACATATATATACACACACACATATACAAATACATACATATATACATATACATATATATATAGATACATGCATCCATACATATATATACACACGCACGCACGCGCGCACGCACGCACGCACGCACACATACATACATACATACATACATAGATACATACACACACACACACACACACGCACACACACACACACACACACACATATATACAAATTAAATAGAATCACAAAATTGTTGAGGCAGGATGGGTTCCTAAAAGTCAATTATGCCAACAGTTTGCCAAAATAGGATATCCACAGCTGAAAAATCCCTAATAGATGGCCTTCCGACATTTGTTTAAAAACCTTAATTGAAGTAGGGCTTGCCACACCATTTTCTCGTGTAGCCCAGTTAATTCTTGAACAGGTGTTTTTGTTAGGATAAATTCTTTCTTTTAATTTGAATCAATTTGTTATATAAAAAATAAATTGATTCAAATTAAAAGGAATTGATTCAAATTATAAAATATGTAAATAAAAGCCATTGTCCACATGTTGTGTGGTTGCATGTATGTAAGCACTGGAATCTCCCTGTACTAACCCCAGTACCTGCTGAAATTTGGTCTTTGTCTGGCAGTTTAAAGCAGTCAGGATTTTGGCCTTTGCTTTTTTACTTCATCAGGCACATCCAGTGAAATTTGGGTATCCTATGGTCCAAACTGGTGGGCAAGACGTGGTGATGGCAATTCCTGACTAGAAGGGTTGGTGTTTACTTAGTAAGGTGAGCCATTCCTGGCTGCTGATCACATTAGGGATCTGGATTCTCCCAAGGCTTTGTAACAGTAATTCCTCATACTGTAGGTTAGATGCAGAATTTGGTTCTAAGCAGAATGTGTTTATGTTACCTTTTTGGCCTGCAGCTCCCAGAATCCCCCATGAAACACGGCCACTCTCCATGCTTCCTGAGAGCTGCAGTCCAAAAAACGTAATTTCCCTATCTCTGGTCCGAAGGTGTTTCTCACCAAATCACTTCTTCAGAGCCATATTAATTCTATTGGGCTAAATGTATGCCATTAGTATCCTACAGCCTGCTGAAGAGTCAAGCTTTTATCTTCTCCTGCCTAAATTCTATTCAAATGCACATTGTCTATGCCTACTGAAACTAACATTAAAACTTAGTAGTACAATATAGAATCCTTAAGTGTTTAACTACTAACATAATAGCATTGCATTTTATGTGATATAGAGGCAGTTCTGGAGTCACCTTCTGACATAATGGAAACAGTACCTAAATATGAAGACGACACCTTTGAAGGCTCAAAAGAAAAACGAACATGGGATGATGACAGAGGGCGGGTAATAGAATCTGTAGTGATCATATTCTGGCTTTGCTTTGCTAGAGTGAACCAATCCTGTGTCTGGGTGACAGTAGCCTATTAAATAAAACATTAAATAGTGTCAGTTTCTGTCAATTCAAACCTCTGGTCCTTTTCAACTTGTTGGAGCTATAGTTCTGGGAGAAATAAATCTTAATTTCTTTGAAACTTCATTCCTTTGTGATTAACTACAATGACCAGTCTATACAACAACAGGGGAGGCTGGCCACATTAGAAAGAGAATAGAGCTTCTGTTTCTTTGTCACACAAATTATCTGCATTAAAATTCCCTCTTCCATACAGGGAAGTAAAGGATACCTCTCCTCTTGTTTATGTGGCTGCCCACTGTAGAATTCAACAGAACAATACAATTTATAACCATCATATGTACAACATACTGTATAAGCAAGTGTAGTCATCAAAATACATTATGCTCCAGTTAAATCGTTAAAAAGTGCCCTTGAGTTATTATACGAGGTTTGTTGCCTTCTTATGTGTGCAACTGCTCAGAGCAGTGGATTTTCACTAGGTTAAAGGTATAACAATACAGACATTAAATTAATTAATAATAAGGTAACAGCTATGGCTTTTATCAGACAAAACATTCCAATCCCCATAGCTTAAATATAATTATATCAGTCTTTTAAACTACAACCCAACCTATCATGTGCATCACCGACAGGCATTCAGTATTCTTAATCTTGTTTATAGTTCATACAATTTTGCTCTTCCAGGACATGTCTTTAATATGTTTATGACATTAAAGAATCCAACCTTTATCAGTGTGTCGCCTTGGAGTCTAACAGAGTTATTCATGCATACCATCAGCAACAACAAAACCTAGCAACATATCCTAGTGTCTTCAGATTTAACCACCACCACCACCACCACAACAAAATCAGTGTAAGCTTTCAAAAACTACAATCAATTTCTTCAGAAATATGAAGCCACATGGGTTTGAAGAACAGACACATTGTGCCCCAAGTATTTGGAAAAAGTGGATTGCAAACTCAATCTTGAAGGGGCCACAATACTTTTTTCTTTTTCTTTTGTTGAAATAGACAAACATAGCTACCTCTTTGGGTCATACCTATGGTGTAACTGACTGAATATCCAAGAGACCAGGAGAAAGAAGAGAACTGTATTCTATATAAACATCCAATAGAAAATCAGTATGGTACAGATGCTAGAGCAGTGGGGTGAGAAAATTCCCCCTCCAGTCTATTGTAGTTGTTCCCAACTTTGGATCCTTAGTTGTTCTTAGACTACAACTCCCAGGAATCCTAGCCAGCATTGTTAGTGGTGCTGGGAGTTTTAATCCCAAACATCTGGGGATCCAAAGTTGGGAACTACTGTTCTATTGGGAGCCCAAAACAGCAGGGAAGTTAACTTCAACTTTACCATTAGTCCCTCCAGACCCATGAAACTTGGGGACAGAATGGAGAAGGAAATCTCTGGAAGGCTTATAGTATATCACAGAAGGGTAACTAAGGCTTTGTTAGACATATCAGGGGACTTGCAGGAGGACCCATAACATTACTATTAACATTACTATTCCACCCCCAATTTGTATTCTTCTAATTATATCAAATATGAAGATTTTAAAAAGATGAATCTGCTCATAATCTGACAGTCAATGTTCTATAGTGGTTACCATACTGAATTTGGAGCCACCCTCTAACCCTGAACTATCCCACAAGGGCTGTTGTGAGGATAAAAGCTGGAAAGAACAATGTTTTTACTTCCTTGTGCTCACTGAGGGAAAGGTAAGATATAAACAAAACAAAATTTAAGATTAATTGTCTGAAGCCATAAATTGCACCTTATTAAGGTTGCCTGTGAATTCACCACAGGTAGTGGAACTCAAGTTGTCTGCGTGGGTGAGACCAAAGTTGGAAAATAGCCTTTCCTTTCTTTTTGCCACTTTTGTTTTTCACACATTCCTTCGCTCCCTTCCTCTTGTTCTTCTTCAGTCTTTCATCTACTGCTGCATAAGCCAGTGGTTCCCAACCTTGGGTCCCCAGACATTTTGGACCACAACTCCCAGAAGCCTTCACCACTGTGCTGACAAGGGCTTGTGGGAATTGCAGTCCAACATCTAGGGACACAAGATTGGGAACCACAGGTATATGGTATGAAAATCGCAGAGCAGTAGGCCTCGGAGGTTTTTTCTTCCTGCTGTCATATCCCTTTTATGTAGAAATTAGGCTTAGAAGGAAAGACACATGGATAAATTGGAGCTTTTTTTGTAAGCAGAATTTCCTTGCATGGCTGAGAAGGTGAGCCAAAGGGCGGAATTCAAAGGCGCATAGGAATACAGGGAGCTGCTTTCTTCTGATGAAGACTCCTGGTCCATCAGGGCCACTGCTGTCAATTCCAACTGGCAGCAGCCCTCTTTTGTTTCAAACAAGATTCTTTCCAAGCCCTACCTGGAAATCCCTGGTGATCTTCCATCCAAATACTAAACAGGCCCAACCCGGCTTAGCTTCTGAAATCAAATGAGACTGCTGTATTCCACATGATACAATTCATAACTAACCTCTCAGCTAACAGTTCCCTCACTCATGGGATACAATGCCAAACAGGAAGATGTGTTTAAGTCCCCACTCAGCCTTGAAGTTTACTAAATAACCTTGTGACGGTGACTAGGTCTCTTATCCTTGTCTATCTTCTTAGACACTGGATAGACCTTGGACCATTTTACATTGGACAAATGGGACATTCTCTATGCAAAAGAATAAACTGACAGAAAATCGATATGAGAAAAAACAGCAGGCAGAAGCCAGTGGAAGAATGTTTCTGTCTCACTGGACACTGTGTCGCTGATCTTGAGGTGACCACTATGGAACAAAAGAACTTCAAGGATGAATTCCAAAGGGAAACAGCTGAACAAGAATATATTAAAACATTCAACTCAATGGTCTAAGTACAGGCAGGGGTTTCTCATCTTGTTATATGTATTAATCAGCTCATCAATGCAGATCTATTAATATGCTACTACTGTTTCATTCTGTCCTATCTTCATTCCGAAAGCAATGTCCATATAAATCTATAAAACTATGGCCCATATTCTTCCATTATACTGGAATCTTTCCCACCACAGGAGTGTTAAGCTGCTTATCTATGCTTGAATGCTATCTGTTATGCACCACTCTCCTGTAAATGACTCTGAACAACCACCCTACATATCATTCCCAATGACTATTGACTGACCATAATGCCAGACCATTACAGTTTATCTTTTCTCCTCCCAAAAAGTCTATAAATGTCTCTCTACTGAGGTTATATTCTATGCATGTGAAGAAGTGGGCTGCAGTCCACAAAAGCTGGTGGCAAATAAATGTGTAAATCTTAAAGGTGCCACATGCCTGTGTTATTTTTGATGCAATAGGCAAACATGGTTATCTCCTCAAAAGAAAAACCTTATTTTCATAGGGTTTCTGTGAGGATAAAGGAAGGGAAAGCTATATGAGCTGATTCGATGGTTGAAAGAAGAAAAATATAACGCTAAGACTTATAACTCCATATTTTATGACAAAACCCATTATTTAAATTATAGAGTTCCTTTTACCTGGCCCAGAGAGACATAGAACTTTTTCATAATCAAATCATCTTCATTTTCTTCAAAGGGTTCTATTGGTGGTGGACTTTTTGTGAACCAAGGGTAATATTTTTTGTCTACAACAAAATTGACACCGGTTTTGCTCCACTCTACCTGTGATATCAGTTTAGCCAACCTACAGAAAGGTGACAAATGTAGAATCACTTAAAGTTCCCAATTTAATGTTAACCAAAAAAAAACACTGATTTGTTACATTTTTAAATAAATCATTATGTAAAGACATCATTAATATGTTGTTCATGTTGTCTAGTCCCACCCATTGTCAGAAATGTTTTAAAGAACATTGCATGAGTCAGGTGTCCTCTCAGGATGCAATCCAAAAGCCCCCTATTTCTTTAAAAAAAGAATTCCACAATCTAACACCATCTAGAATGGACAACAGGAGTCTACTACATACTCGGTTGGAGAAGATTGTTTCAGCAGCTCCACTATGCTAAAGGAGAATTAAACAATGACTGTTTTAACTTCACTCCCATCTAATAGGACAAAAACTGCTACTTTGGCCTTCTAGCAGGATAAAGAAAGAAGCTGAAAAATCAGGATGTGGGGAGAAGCTCAGTAGGAGAACTGTTTTTGAACCTACTTGTACATCTCCATTTGAATGAACCTGTTAAAAGAGGCAGAAGGATGCTTTATGATTACAGCTTGTGAAAACTAGTAAGTTAGGGTTGTTACATTGAATCATAACCCATCCATCCCTTCTTCTGATCTTTAAAGACCCATAAAACAAAAGAACAGCCTCTGTCACTTCACAAAATTTGTGTAAGAATGTCATTTGAGCAATTCTGGTTAATTGGTCCTAAAAATTTCTCATTTTCATTCTCTTCTCTTATTAAGAGCACCACCCTCTTAACAAGGTGAGGTGAATAATTTTGTAGCTCCTTGTCCTCCCATGGGTGAATAAATTAAGTGAGGATTTACATTGGTAGCTGAAGTTGATCAGTCCGGAGATAGGCTGATAGAAAACCAAAGCTCAACAGCAGCAAACATCCCACACAGCCTGAACTAAATGACAGGTTGCTCGGGCAGATTTATCCTATCCGAGGCCAGAGGGGCCACTCAGGATCCCTGATCCCTTCTCAGATGAAAGCTGCCGAACATCATAAAACTCTTGAGTAGTAGAATCAATGCTACATAGGTCCAGCCAGTGTGTTGCCCTCTCCTTCATCACTGCTGATGCAGAAATAAACAGGGTATCTGAATCCTGCTGCCAGAGTCTCTGTTTAAAAATCCTTTCAGACTTAAACTGCAGCAGAATTTTTACTATTCATAGTAAAACATATAACTCATTTTCCCTCTCCAATTAGGAGATGCTCAAAGTAGTTTAAGGGAACATTAATACAGTGGTGCCTCGCAAGACAATTGCCTCGTGGCGCGAAAAACCCACAAGACGATTGGTTTTCGCAATCCCGATGGTGCTTCGCAAAACGGTTTTTTCTATGACCATGCTTTGAAAGACTTCCCCGAATGCTTCGCAAGACGAGACCGATGCTTCGCAAGACGAATAGATTTCATTCATCTTGTGAGGTTCCTATAGGGAACCTTGCAAGACGATTTTTTCACAAGACGGTGATTTTCACGGAACAAATTAAAATCGTCTTGCGAGGCACCACTGTAATTAAAAACTAAAAGCATAAATGGTGAATATGTCACTCTAAAAACACAATTAAAAGGAAAAACATGAAATTACATGAAATTATCTAGAAGCATGAGCTTATTTGTTTCAATCCCCTTATATATTATTTACTTATTAAATTTGCATCCGATTTTTGCCGAGAAAGGCAGTCAAGACAGCTAACAATAAAAGTCAAATGAATGCAAATTCACTTAAAGCATAAAAACAAGTTAAAGACATAATTTAAACCACATCACTACAAAACAATTGTAAAACAAAATAAATCAATGTTTTGCCATAAAACCCTTCCATATTCCTTTCAGTCTTCCACAGACCCATCTATGGACGATGGCTTTATGAGAGAAAAATTATATTTCTTTCAGTTAGTTGAAAGTGATGAAGTACTGCTTGCAGTAGATGCATACATTTATATTCATGATCCATTTCGCATGAGAGGATTAAACTGGTGTTGGTCTCATTCTTAATAACCACTCTTAAAAATCATCCAAATACAAATAAGATCTGGAGATACCTTTCAAGCCAAGAGTGGGAAACACGCATTCAATAGGCCTCACATACATACCCCTCTCATTTTTGCAAACCACGAGTTCCCAAGCTAGAATTTTTTAAAGAAAAATTGATAATTTCACCTGCATTGTAAACCCCAAAATAACCCAAATTGGGTTTTACAAAACTGCACTTCTAGCCACTTATTAGACATTCAGCCACTTCAGTTTGCATTCTAGGGAACAGTATGTTCCTCAAGCAGAAAAACTGCCCCCTCAGCCCTCAGGCTTTGAGTACCCTTGCCTCAAGCAATGGTCTTCCCAAAAAGCTTTCCTTCTCTCACATACATTTCCTATTCCTAGCCTACCACAGTACTAGAATTAAGACCAACCATGGTTAACTCTTAACCAAGACATGCAACTAGGGAGGGAAATCTGTTCCAAATACCCCATTTAAACTGGACTTTACTATCATTAAAGAAGTTTAAAACTAGTGCAGACATTAACCATAGTCTAGTCAGGGTTAGAGGGAAGGATGTTCCAAAGCTTGAAGCAACAGGTGAGAAGGTGTACAACATATTCACTCCATTCCCTTTAAAGAAATGGGCCAGATTGGTTACTGAGTATTGTTTACCTGCAGGGAATACAAGAATGCACCAATCATATGCTAACGGACAGTAGACAGAGATGTGCTCTTTTGTCTATGTGGTTTTTCTTTTTCATTTCAACTCCCAGAATTCAAATTTTGTGAGTTTCAATCCACAAACATGTACCTATAGACACCTACATTTTTTTTCACCTGGAGATGGCCTACCCCCAAAGCTGAGTGGCCTTCTATGGCCTTTCCTTTCAGTTGTCAATGTGAAAAACAGGAAGTTGTGATGATGCTTCCTGAGAGTCTTAGTCTCATTACCCATTTGGCTGTATAGGGGGCACTTCCTGAAGAACTAGGACTCCCAGGAAGCACTGCATCAATCTCATTTGCCCCTCAACATTAGCAACAAAAAGCAGAGGTGGCTTTCTCCAGGTGAGCAAAATGTAGGCATCTATAAGTATGTGTTTGATGGCTGAAACTCCCAGATATTTGTCTGGGAGCTTGTCATGTTAAAATATGTCTTCTGTTGTTTACTGATAATAGCTTCTGGGAAGCCAGAGGAAGAAAAGAGAAAGCACATTTCTAAGAGCAGGCTAGTTTATGGGTGCAGCGCAAGGCTATACAGCACACAACTGCTTTTACTTCAAGCAAGGGCTTGGGAGTCTCCCACTGCGTGCAGTCCACGTAACTCAGCAAATGCCTCTTTTTGTCTAATAGAAGAGCCATCCCTGCAGAGGAAACAGCCTATGAAAGGAAATACTCCAATCTCTTAATTGTGGTTGTGTGCTTGCAATCAATTTGTCTTCAACAACCAAACTTAGTTTAAGAAACATATTACGCTGCAGTAATGTGTCTAGTTCAGAAATGACAAAGAAATGCAGACTAGATTAGACAAAGTGCATTACCATGAGAATGCTGTGGAAGGATTCCATTGATCAAATGCATGCACATCAGTAAAATTCCATGATGAATATATGTGAAACACAATGTAAAGGCAATAAATTATTATTGCTCATAAAAATTACAAGGTATAGCAAGAGACTATAAAAACAGAATCCATTTCATTATTCACAAGAGTCATTACAATTACGTAAGCTAGGTTTAAAGTATCCGGAAATTACGGTATGTTTTGTCAGGAGTAACGTGCAATGTTAAACCTTACATTAGAAGTTGCAGTACCTGTATTCAAAGTAACAATCACTCTCTAAAAACGCTGGCAATCTTTCCTTTTTAATCCACTCAATGGCCTGTTCTCGGTCCAAACACTAGCAAAAGAAAATTTATGTAAATTTTATTTCAGTTCAAGTTGTATTTTATACGTATACAAACACCTTTGTTTATAGTATGAGCCACTGATATACAAATACAGTTTCTAAGAATTGTGATGTTCACTGGAAGTGTTCTTGGACTGTAAGAAGATAAATTGGCTGGCTGGATAGCTCAGTGAGTTAAGCAAATGGCTGTGGAGCCCGTTTGAGAGATTAATTCTCCACAATGCATCGCAGAAGCCAGCTCATATAGCCTTGGGCAAGCTGCACAGTCCCACGGCGGCCCAAGAAGAAGGGACTAGTAAGCCATTTCTGAATACACTGTACTTAGAAAACCCTGAAAAGGTGTCCATAAGTCAAAATGTATTTGATGGTGTGCACTTAATTCAATTAATTAAGACGATCAATAATGGTGGAAAACCTTTTATGAAAGGCAGCTTCTTTACCATCACCAGTTTCCTCTTATAAAGGTAGGCAACACATGTCCGAAATTTGGTTTGACAGTATCCGTCCTGAATGGCAACAAATTTGTTCCAAAGTGTGAAATCCAAGAACTATGACTACTTGGAAACATTAATTTCTTTTTGTAGAGTTATGTGAGAACTGTGTTCCCTGGTATCTAAGAGCATCTGCAGAGGAGACGGAAAAGCTTTCCACTAGAAACATGTCTAAAAATACAGAATGCTGGAATTGGCCATAGATGTTATAATATATTTTGTAGGGGCAAAGGGAAGCTATTCTTGTCATGTTAAAATATGCCTTCCATTGTTTACTGATAATAGCTTCTGGGAACACGAAATATTTCTTCTTTATTTTGGCCTCTTTAGATACAAGAGTTGAAACAAATTCCAACCTTTTTGTTTGCAGCAAACAATTCCAACCTTTTTGTTTGGACAAAATCTGAGCAGCATAAATTGGTACCTAGTGCAACTCAGATTGGGCACAAAGGGTTTCTTAAATTAAAAACTTCTTCCCTTTCTGAGTCTCCCTCTGGCTCCCTTTTGCCCTGGGAAGCCTTTGGAACATGTGGGAGAGCTGAGCCCTTAAACATAAAAAGTCATCACGGGACAGCCACCAGGAGGAACGGGACTGCTACCACCAATCCACCAGTGATTTCTTATTTTTAAAGGCTCCACCCACCCTCCCAAAGGCTCCCCCAGGGCAAAAGACAGCCCAAGGGAGCCTGAAAACCTTAAAAAGGGAATATAAAGCTTTTAATTAAGTGAAATATTTCCACCACGTGATCTGAGTTAGATCAAGTGCAAAATTGTGAAACAAGATTTTGCCCATTGAGTGAACAGATCTAATCCAGTTGGGACTACCAATAAGATATCGGCCTTATACAGTACATACATATTGCTAACAGAACAAAGAGGCTGAAAAAACACATATTCTTACCATTGTTTTGTAATTTAGATCAAAATCTACAATTTGTGGTAGAGGAGGAGGACTGCTGTCTTTAGAAAGCGGGGTTTCTGACCTTGCTGGCTTTGTAACATCATAAATAGGTTTCCTTGGTTTCTGTTCATACAGCATCTTTCTGAGCTGGTTTTCCATACGTTGTGGAGTGTCGGTAGCCACTTCAAAAATTCCAAAATCGGGGTTAAATTTAATCGATTCTGCAAAAATCTACAACGACAAAAATTATATTTCAAAATAATGTAACTATAGCCAAGTCATTATAGCGTTACATTTTGCAAATTATTAAATGTATCAGAATGCTACTGCTGAGGGCCAAACAAGACATTGCTTGCATATCATTAGAAGAAGATATTCCTTAAATGCTGAAAGGTTTGATTATCACAGCAGGAACTTTTCACACTTCAAGCAGTTTGCAAAACCAGCTTGTTTTGTTTTGCGACTGGTCACAAGGTTGTGAGCCCATGCTTTATTTAATGAGCATGATTCTTCCGTTACATTGAAGCATATCTCTGGAACACTCCCACATTTCAGTCTCTCTGTGATATATAGTCTGACCCTGAACCTCAGTCCACTGCATCTTTTTTCACTGAATCACCAACCTGAAAATTAATCCATCCTTCTAGAGCAAGGGTCTTCAAATTATAGCCCGCTGACCACATCTGGCCCACCTTGCCTTTTTATCCAGCCTGGTGGGCAGGCAGGTGAGAGTAGGCAGACGGGCAGGAGTGTGGGCGGGAAGGCGGGAGTGTGGGCGGGTGTGTGGGCTTGCATGCATGCGTGCAGGAGTGTATGCAGGACTGAGTGTACATATGTGTGCACGCCTTCCTTCAGCCCTCAAAACTGTGCAGGATATATGATGTGGCCCTCCCTCCGAAACATTTGGAGACCCCTGTTCTAGAGAGTATTAATAAAGTTGTAGAAATGTTTTGGAGAACCTTGAATCCTGAATTATTTTAAAGGCTTACTATGCATAAAAAATCAAAATTGTGTCTGCCTCCTCCCAGCTAATGAGTCCCACCTACAATAGTAATCTATGACCCACTTCCAGCATGGGACAGCATACAGAGCATTCCTTCCAACTTAATATTCAAATGCTTCATGCATATGTGATTCCAACATTTAAAAACAACCAAAAACACCTGAATGTCTTAAGCCATGTATGAATATAGATTTTTCACTCCATAGTATCCACTATTTATTTAAAGAGAAGGGAATAAATGCTATTAAAACAATTCCAAATTGTTGAAGCTTTGTTAGCTTCTATTAACATACAATTGAAGCAAATGAAACAGATGAGTTTTGCAATCTGAAACCATTAGAACAGGCACCAGATAATTTTAACGGTGCTACATTTACATAGAAAACTAACCAAGGATAATATTAATTAATCATTTGTGTCTATTTTTAATTTGATGTCTAGCAATGGAGCTCAAGGACCCATTTCCCTATATTCCACTTGACTAAACAGAAAACATCTGGCTCCTTTAATGTAGTAAAATGGATGCCAATAAAAATGTTTTCAATATAAGCTGTATTATCATTTTGGATGCTTGGCCACCAATCATTTATAAGGTATATGCAGGAATGGAATGAAGGAACCAACTGCCTATGCTAGTATGCTGAGTGCCAAACTACTATGTTAATCAAATGCATTCACTACCTTTGTCTGAAATGGGTTGCACAGATGCATAGCAGTTCTATGTGGCACAGGAGGACTCACATTTAACATTTCAGACCACTGTAGGTGTTACAGTTTTGAGATTTTTGTTAAATTAATAGTTCAACCCTTTTCTCATTCACTGGCCCTTACAGTCTCAATAACTCCCTTTGAGACATTTGTAATAGAAAGAATAACAATTATTTTCTTTACTTACAGTTCTGAACAGATCAAAGAGCAAACTGACAAACATGACTGCTTTGAACAACGGACTTCAACAGACTCAAGAAGGGGAAAGAGCAACACAGAGCAGAGAGGCAGGCTCTCTTTGAAATCAGAGTCGAGGAAGGAATGATCACAGCCAGACTTGATAAAGGTAGCCTGTTAGGTTGAAATAACTCCAACAGTAGGTACACTGCCAAGGGTGCACACAGTCCTGCTGATTGTTGACCATTCAAAGACCAAATCCAGCTCAATCCCACCTGCAGATGTAATCTACATTGAAAGAGATAACTAATGATCAGTGAGAAAAGATGCAGGGAAATATTTACAAGTACGTAGTAGTATGGGCATAGGCCATTTGATATAGGAGCCTCTGTATGATGTGACTGGAGTAAGACTATCAACAGACAATTTTCCATGTCCATGTGGAAGTTTGCATTTTTTAAAAAATTCCCTTTTTGAGAGATAGTCTTATAGTATGTCTAGATGGACCATTAGACTGTCTATCTCTATGTTGTCAAAACTGATTAGTTTTCCCAGCCTTCTTAGAGACATCAGGCAACATTACCTTTTTGAACTATTCTTGTTGGCAGGGCAGAAAGACAGAGGTAATTACATCATTCAAAAATAATAATGTCCCTTGGAATTGCAAGCTATGAAGGGGAAGGAGTTAGACCACTTATTCCATTCGTCCAAATCTCCTCCATCTTAGGAGCATGATGGGTGACAGGAAAGAATTTTGAACCTGAAGAACCATGGCCTCTCGCTCTCCACATTCCAGCATCCCCATGCCACACTTCTTTCTCCCATCTCCATGGTTAGCATCCTGACCTATGTAGAGGAGCAACCATGTAAACATCAGTAGTAACTGGAAGGGTCTGGAAGGGAGAATCTGAACCTGTGTCTTTCCATTCAAGGTTGGGGCTTTGTCTCTGACCTTTGGGGTGATGTGGGAGTTCCCATCACCCCTGTGGTCTCAGGGACTCATCCCTGGGAATAAAGAATAGTTCTTGAGGTGGGTAGCAGGTTTTCTCTTGTTATTTTTGGACAATCTGCTGCAAATCATCCAGAAATCTACCAGGAGACCTGGATCTACCTGTTGCCCACTCTAGTGTACCTGATGACTGTACCAACAGAACCCCTGTGTGTAGGTTCTTTTTGCCTAAATCTATCACGTTCCATCTTTAGCTTCTCTTCAAGTACAAGTTTCTTGGGATCAAATGACGCTGGAAACTGCATGCACTCCTTTTATTTAACCTATTGCCTATATACTAATGCATATATTTGGGTCTTGTTTCTAGGCAACAGCTGCAAAAGCACAACAAAGATAAAAAGCCGAACTGTAATGGTGCTTTAACAGAGGTGTCACATTCTTGCTGAATAACTGAATAACCTGTGCGATGAGCTGTAGCAAAGCAAAACTGGAAATATAAAATTTTCACATTAACTGTATTAGTGTTGGGGAGAGAAAATTCTCCTGAGAAAGTCAAAATATGATGAGGTCAGGATTTCTCAACAGGCATTTTTCATTTTGTTGCTTTGACATGCCTTGCAGCATTGTTCTCTTGACCTAGAAAACCACACTGCAGTTTCCTGCATGAGATAATTATTACACCGTCAGCATTCTCTCAGTGGACCTTTTTCCATGAAATTTCCATGGTCAACTGATGTGCTCACACGCCAGAAATGTGACTTAGAATACATAATGACATAGAAGCAAGCAGGAAGGCTAGGCAACCACAATATTTGCTCCTCATTACAAATGCAGATGTTACATTACCCTGTACAATCTTGCAGACCAGTTCTTCATGGTACTCACATTGGCTGACATCCTACTGGTGTTTGTTTTAGGTTTGCATAATACGCTGCAGCTATTTGCAGCTAACCGACAAGGACAGGAGTAGCAATCTGTGCTCTGGTGCAGTTTGTTTGGGAGTTGAGTATTTATAGCTGTGGGATCAGCTTTTGTCTGAAAAACCCACAACAAGAGCCTGAAAAACCCACAACACCAATAGCATTTTGGCCAATAAGTTTCTGACAAAAAATTTAGACTGACATACTTACTGGGAGACTTAAGAATTCATTAAAGAAGTCTACAAGTATATCGTCAGTGGCTAAATAATCTTCCTGTGAGGACAAAAAAGAACGAAACCATATTAGAGGATAGAATAGGCATGGTTATTTATTTCTAAACCAGATTGGTGATCTGCATTACGCCAACAGCATCAACTTCCCTTTCCTGCTAAAGGACCTAAGGAGTAAAGTTTCTCTCCCTCTCTAATAATACTCTAGCCCAGGGACATCCATTAAAGCTGAATGGTGAGAGTCTGGACAGTTTTAAAAAAGCACTTCTACACGGAAAATTTTATTAAACTTTAGAGTCGATTAGTAAAAGATGCAGTGAAACGGAATCCACCGCAACAAAATGTAGTGATGGTCAGATTGTCAGTGCTGTCAATGGAGCAAATACTCCCGGACCTACCAGCTCACTGCTGTTACCACACATATTCACAGCATCTGTGCTTGTTTTGTTTGCTTTAACTTTTAATACCATAAGTGTATAGACAATTGTATGTTTAACAGAATAAAAATGTCTGACATCAGGCTGATAGAGCACATCCACAAGCATTGCCCCAGGTGCCTGGAAGGATGGGCTTTTTTTTTTCTGTTGATTTGAACTGTTCTGAACTAGACCATATATATATATATGCCCAAACACACAAGGATAATCGTTGTTAGATGTACTGGGTTGTTTCAGTATATCCTGTCCACATGCATCTTGAATTGTCACTCAGTGTGTCATTCCTGACCCTTATTGCTTTCCTCTTGTGTGTGTTTTCTTTGCCCAAATTCCACCCAGCATACCCTTCTCCCTCAATTTCCCCTTTTCCATCATCCATCCACATCACTTTCATAACTGCAACATCACCAAACCTTCCAGTTTTTATTTATCTACTTAACTTTAATGCATTACAATATTCACTCATCTTCCTACTACTCATTCATTCCCCAGCTTTTGTGCCATAGTGGTTGACTGATGTGTAAATGTCTTTTTATTATTGCTCTTGCCAGTGTCTTTTCACTAAACGTTATTCTACAGCTAATTCTGTACGACTAGCAGTATGCTACTTTGGATTTGTCCATTTTGTATGGTGGAGAAGACAAAAGTGTGACATTTTGATATTCTGAAACATCGGATCATCTTTTATTATAAGGTGCTTGTACACCCCAACACAAACAAACAGAAAGAAAAGGCAGAGACAGCTGATATTTGGTGCTATTACAAAACATTAATTAGAATGGGGAAGTGTTCCTGCTTCTGACTGATTTTCAATTCTTCTGGTGAACTGGAAGAAGTAAAACAGAAGAAAAAGTAAAATGTCTGTATGCAAACAAAACAGGTGGGAATAATGCTGATTTCTGAACTGATGCAGAGATGATCTGTGGAAAAACACTCAGAAGGAAACACCTTACAAGACACACCCACAAACAACATGGATCAATATGGTACTATGGTAGATCATGCACTAGTGTAACAGTAAAAATACATGACAGAGCTCAGCCACACAAGAATTGTGAATCAGAGTTCATCCTTACAAGAGCTACATACAAATCAGAACAACGAAAAAGAAAACATACACCATAGGAAGGCAAGTGATGTAAAAGAAACCCTACGATGTAGCACTGTCCTGTTCTGACATAGTTGTCAGCATTGTGAACAATAGGAAGAGTACCAATGTCACTGGTGCAAATAAGGTTCAAGAAATGCTTGTGTAGGCAAGTGCTCACAAATAATTTTTGTGCTGCATAGGTTTGGCATGTTATACAATCCAAAATATGAAATATGGTAGGAATGCAGAAAGCTGCTTATATTTTTTCAAATTAATCATTTATGCACTTCTTTTCTATATCATCAGTCTCAGAAAACTTACTCCTGCCAACAAAGAGGGGGATACTTTTGGAACTGCTCCAAAGCCCCAACCACTTTAACCATCAGCAACTAAAAACTTGCGGCTTTAGAGAGGCTTTTGGAGAATCAGCAGCTGACTCAGATGGAGAAGCCTTTTAAAGTTTTTAAAACTGATTAAAAATATTTATATTATATATCACACTATATTTTGTTTTAATAGTATGTTTTAATTAATTTTAGTATGTTAATAGTATGTTTTAATTAATTTTAATTAATTAGTATGACACACACCTTAGTTATTTCCTATCTGAATTACTGCAGCAGACTTTACATGGGGCTGCCTTTGAAGAGTGTTCAAAAAAATTTTAACTGGTTCAAAATGCTGCAGCCTGACTGCTGGTTGCAGGGATGATGTGACTTTCATTTTACAAAAGCTACACTGCCTGCCAGTCTGCTTGCAGGCCAAATTCAAAGTGCTGGCTATGACTATAAAGTCCTATATGGCTTGGGTTCAGGCTATCTGAAGGAGTGCTTCATCTCATATGCTTATTAATGAGCTCAGTGAGTTGGGAATCTGATACCCCACTACACCTCCTGGGAGAAGAACTAGCCTGTATAGTCTTGGGCAAGCTGCACAGTCCCAGAGCAATTATAAGCTACTTCTAGCCGCCTAGAGTGGTCCTTGTGTGTCCAGATAGGCGGGATATAAATAAAATAAATAAATAAATAAATAAATTCTGAGTACTTTATACCTAGAAAGAACAAATAACAAGGGCTACAGAGGTAGGACATTTTGGTGACCACTCATTCATAGGGTCACAATAAGTCAGACCCAACTTGACAGCACATAACAACAGTGTATCAACACAAATAGGTGGAGTAATTGTTTGTAAATAATCTTAGTATTTTCTTTCTGAGTCCTGAGTCCCAGCCAACAGTACAAGCAACAAAACTGGAAACGTTACTCAGACGTTCTGACAACAGGGAGATGAACACAAAAGGATGGACTTAGTGAACTTGCCCATCCTTGTTCTTCTGTGATGCCATGGATATTCTGATAAATAGATGAGGAAGCTGACTCTTATATAGAGACATACCACACACTGTTATTTAAAGCAATATATGAAAAGCATTAGACTTGGTGTTGTCAGTGCAATGTTTCTGGTATAAGTACAAGCTATGCCTATTCAAATTGTGTTAAAATGTATCAAGAATTTGGCATAAATCAATAGTGTACTTTCTTAGAGATGCTAAAATATATACAAAAAAGGGGGAAATGTGAACACAAAAATGTGCACAATAAAAAGGGGTCCACTTATAAAATCTAGAAATGGTAAAATGAACACCATGCAAAACAAATGGGTGCCTAATATCAAAAGAACAAGAGGAGGAGGATACTTACAAATTCATCTTCTCTTATACATGGAGGTACTGCATGGTAAAAAAATGAACAGAATAACATGTGAATCAGACAAAGCATTTACATTAGTTCCTAGTAGTCCTATCAAGAATTGTTTCAGAAACTGATGCACAGAACTTAAACTGAATGATCAAGATAAACAATAAATATTCATGTGTTATTTTAAAATTAGATTTTTTTAGAAGAAGCTTTTGGAAAATTATGGCTATGTTTGCTACTGGTGAATAGGAACCTATCAGGGACGTATAAATATTTGAAAGGTTGAGTAATGGCATCCAAAGATGCAATCATAATGCATCTGATGACATAGGCTTTCTCTGAGAAAGGTTATATGATAATTATTTTAGTAGCCTTTCAAGTACCCTACAAAACTCTTAATGGTTGTTGCTGCAAAATAACAACAACCCTGCATTATTGTGCTTGGTTTCCAAGAAGTAAAGTATATCAAACTCAACAGGACTAAGTTAAGTATTATTGAATGGTTCCTCCTTTCCTCCAATGAGGTTGAAGAGCAGACACAGCTTTCGATCTCTACACTTTATTGCCACAAGAACCCAATGAGAGAAAATAAACGATGGTCAAATCCAGATGGGGAAGCTGGAGTGGTTTGGTTTGCACTTTAAATGTTCTTATCTTTAGTGTGATCTATTTTATCTTGCACTTGAGTGATCCTTACATTTGCACTGCAGATGTAAGAAGGGTTCAGACAGATCTCTGAGTCACTCAACTTGTCCCCCTTGTGATTCTCCCCCTATCCTGGCCTGTTCCCGTCCTTTTGTCAGCCACCAGCTCTGTGACTTCCACATTTTTATTTATTTTTAAATTCTCCCAGTGACAGAGATACATGTATGTACTGCAGGGCACCTCTAGAATATCTAGAACTGTACTGCATCAGTTAGGGAATTTTTAAAAGTTAGAGAAGATGAAAATAGAGGAAAGGCTTTCTCTGTCATCCATTTTAATGTCACAACCCAGTATATGTGTCACAGGGTTGTTATCACAGAGAATGCTACTCACCGCTCTGTTTGAGACCAGATTAATCAACCGCACAGGCTACAGAATAGGTTAATCAACCTATTCTGTAAATCATGTCAAATAAATTGTAGTCTATCTGAATGTCCCCTGTAACTGGGCCAAGGCCACTCAGTGAATTCTATGTTTCACTGGGCATTTGAACCTGGATATCCTAATCCCCAGCCCAGCTCTAAGAATAGACACATAAAGCATTGCACTGTGACATACAAACACCGGAATCATGGGGTTACTCTGGGAAGAAAACAGTAGTCTGTGTATACCCAGAGGCATTTAGCATTTCTTTAGAATGTTCCATGGCTTCATTCTATCTGAAGATGAGCCCAATCTACCTATCTTAAGCTATATTTCTACAATGAGGCACTCTATAATGCCTATGTTTCTACAAATACTAAGTGTGTTTTAGTTTCAAAATATGTTGAAAATAATAAATATTTAAATAACCAAGCTGGTTGACTGGCTTTGTTGTTTTCCACAAGCAATGATTAAATCACGTTTCGATTATCCTGCACCTGTCATGCAGCTGAAAAACCAACTTTGTCAGAATAGATATTCAATTAAATAGTTTTTCTACAAGTGACACTAACAACACAATCCTATCTGTGTCTACTGAGAATTAAGCCCCACTAAACTAAATGCGCTAGCTGGATAATTCAATGGCTTAGGCTACTATTCTAGCTGCACAGCCAGAGGCCGGGAGTCCAGTTCTCCCCACTGTGCTTCCCAGAAGAGCCAACCTATGTGGCCTTGGGCAAGCTGGGCTATTGTCAGCCACTGACAAGGCTCTCTCCTCGCTGAATGTGCCTGTGTACAAGCTGTGAAATGGAGGAAAGGGTTTATCTGAAGATCTTAAAACTGAAGGAAGAGATACAGTTATTCAAGTCGCCTGGACCCAAGCCTGGCCAACAGCTAGTGAACAGAGTACAGTATTAGGCTGCTTGGCTATAGAAACTTATACCCGGAGGGGGCAATAGTGAGCTACTCCTTGAAAGCCCCACATACGTTAAAGTTCTATTGGGGTCGCCCTGAGCCAGAAGCGTCTTGATGGCATATTAACACGCCAAGCTGCATCCACCCTGCATTCACACGTGACGCGTCTCAGCTCAGAGAGCCTTGGCGAGCACCGTTTTTGCACATAACTTTCCGTGCAGGTGTGGGGCCGGGTTTTGCTTTTCATCTGGCTCGGTTCCCATTTCTCTCCCCCGGGATGACGACCAGCAAAAAGAGAAAAGGCTCCTCTGCGCCTTCCACCGCCTGGGCTCCGCTACATACCGGTGGTAAGCCTCTTCTCTCGCATGGTGAAGATGCTCGCACTGGTTCGGTGGCGTCCGTGAACCCTGGCCCCGAGGCCTGACTTAAAGCCTCATTTTCTTCGGGGAGGGGGGAAGCAAGCGGGAAGGCGGGGAGGGCCTCGGCGACGAGCCTAAATCCCAGCGTCGGGTGTCCACGAATAGAGAGCCTTGCTCGCTCTCGCTCTCTCTCTCTCTTTGCCTGAGTTCCTGTGGTCTTCCTGCGAAGCGGGGCTGGGTTGCTATGGAGCCCCTGCAGACAATGCCCCAAGTGGACGGCCTTTCGCGACTCCACGAGCAAACATTTGCCTTCTCCTTGCCGGCGGAGGGTTGGGTGCTTTGTCGCCGTGCCCAGCCAGCCCTCAGAGAGGCTGAGGGCGCGCGGGTGGCGGCGACCAAGAGCTCGTTTAAGGTGGCGGCGGAAATCTCCCCTTCACGTTCGGTAGGGGGAGGCCGGCGGAGAGGGTTCCGTCGAGCAACCCTTGCCTTGGCTTTCGGCGTCTAAAAGGGGGGCGGGTGGTCCGGGCTCAGCGGGCGAAAGCGGCGGCACCCTCTCCAGGCGCGCCGCTACGGCCCCCCTTGACAGTAGCTGGCAGGGTTTCGCCGCCTCTCGCCCGTTCAGCGGCCCAGGCGCTTTGCGGTTCCCGCCACGCTCGGCCTGAATGACTTGATTGCCTATAAGAAGCGGGGAAAGGACTACGATTTCTTCCAACCGAGGCAGGCGCTATTATGATGCACTGCCTGACAGCCCCTTAAGGCTGCCTTGGTGACGATTACACGGCGCGGGGTTCTTATCTACGCTTGCCTGTCAGGCCTCGCTCCAGCCCACGCTCTCTTTGAGGTAAAGGACAAATCCTTCAGCTTCAGACGAATCTCCATGGCGCACAACGTTACCATGGACCCCTCTCAGATTCTTATTATCATTATTATTACAGTATTTTGGATGCCCAGCAACTCCTGCTGCCTGATGCAGAACACCTTGATTTGAAGAGAGCAAATGCCTCTCTTCAAATCAAGGTGGGCAATACGCAAGACCAACTGGTTATATTGGTACCTGAAACAGGATATCTTAGAAGGACATTCTCCTGTGCCTGGGATTTAAAATGCAATAACAACAAATTACAATTTGCTGTTTTTTTCGTGACAACTCATGCTGTCTAAGGCAATAGCTTTAATGTATTTTCGGATGGTTGTTGTGGTTTTTTTGGCCTCTTTGGCCGTGTTCTGAAGGTTGTTCTTCCTAATGTTTTGCCAGTCTCTGTGGCCGGCATCTTCAGAGGACAGGAGTCAGAACCCAGAGCACAGGCACAGTTCTGAGTCCTGTCCTCTGAAGATGCTGGCCACATCTCTGAACATGACCGTGTCCAGAGGGTGGTGCTGGGGGACAGTTGCTCTTCCCCATGGCGCTTATGTCATGGGGTTCCTCAGGGCTCGATACTGTCCCCCATGCTGTTTAACATTTACATGGAACCACTGGGAGAGGTCATCAGGAGGTTTGGGCTGGAGAGTCAGCAGTATGCTGACGACACTCAGCTCTCCTCTCGTTTTCAACCAATCCAGGTGAGACGGTTTCTGTGCTGAACTCGTATCTGGACCTGATAATGGACTGGATGAGGGTTAATAAACTGAAACTCTATCCAGACAAGACGGAAGCGCTATTAGTGGGTGCTTCACCGGACAGGTTGGAGGGCCATTTCCCTGCCCTGAGTGGGGTTACACTCCACCTAAGGGACAGGGTCCGCAGCCTGGGGTGCTCCTGCACCCCAGTCTAACGCTGGAAGCCCAGGTGGACTCGGTGACCAGAGGCGCCTTCCTTTAGCTGTGGAAATTATATCAACTACAGCCCCACCTGGACGAGCAGAGTCTCATGACAGTTACACATGCACTGGTAACATCTCGTATAGATTATTGCAATGCGCTCTATGTGGATCTGCCTTTGAAGGCAGTCCGGCGACTGCAACTGGTCCAGAATTGAGCTGCGCTGCCTGTGAATGGTGCGGCCGCTAGGGGACAGGAATAGGAAGGAAGGAGGCTGATCTGACAGCAAAGTCACAAAACATGCATAGTCAAATTCTTAATATAAAATAGAGATTGAGGGAAACACCAGAGCCATTCAGATTTGTGTCTAGCAGCTAATATAATGGTTTTCATAGAATAATGGAGTTGGAAGGGGCCTATAAGATCACTGAGTCCAACCCCCTGCTCAATGCAGGAATTCAAATTATAGTGTATCTGACAGATGGCTGTCTAATTTTCTCTTGAATGCCTCAGAGTGCCTTCTGAGATGATTGGTTCCATTGTTGTACTGCTTTATCATTTAGGAAGTTTTTGCTGAGATTCAACTGAAATCTGGCTTCCTCTCTTCTGCACTCTGTGATGAATGAAAACAGATCCTGCCCTTCCTCTATATGGCTATCAAGTATTTGAAAATTACTATCATACCTCTCCTTAGTCTTATTTTCTCAAGACTAAACATGATCAATTCTTTCAGTCTTTCCTAATAGGGCTCGGTTTCCAGTCCCCTCATCATCCTTGTTCCTCTCCTCTGAACTTGTTCCAGTTTTTCCATGTTCTTCTTAAAATGTGGTATCCAAAACTGGACACAGTACTCAAGATCAGACCTAACCAGTGCTGAATAGAGGGGAACTAGTCCTTTGTGGGATTTTTGAAACTACATTTCTATTAATGCATCATAAAATAGCCTTTGCCCTTTTTTTGCAGCCACACTGCACTGTTGGCTCATATTCAGCTTGTGCTCTACAATTCTAATATCCTTTTCACAATATTATTCCCCCATCCTGTAACTGCATTTGTTTTCCCCCACCCCAGCTATAGAACTTTGCACTTATCCCTTTTAAATTTAATTCTTGAATTTTGTTTCTGTCTTCTAGGTATTAGCTATTCCACCCAATGTTGTGTCATCTGCAAATTTGATAAGCATTCCCTGAACCTCTACATCCAATTAATTTATAAGCATGTTGAAGAGCATCAGATCCAGGACTAAGCCTTGTGATATCCTTCTTGTTACCTCCTCTCAGTTTAAGAAGCCATTGATAATCACTCTCTAAGTATGATTCTGCAACCATTTATGTATCCATATGACATTTGTTCTATCCCGCCCATACCTAGTTAGCTTGCTAACCAGAATATCATGGGGCACTTTGTCAAAAGCATTGCAGATGCCAAGGTACATTACATCTACAGCATTTCCACTGTCTACTAGGGAAAGATTAGTCTGGCAGGATTTGTTCTTGACAAATTCATGTTGCTTTCTGTTATTACGAGTGCAGTACTTCATTGTTTTCAAGGTGCTTGCAAAGTGTCCGCTTTATAATCTGCTCCAGAATTTTCTTTTGGATTGATGTCAGGATGACTGGTCTTCAGTTCCCACATTCCTCCTATTTTCCCCTTTTAAAGATAAGGACAGCATTAGCCCACCCCCAGTCATTCAATACTTCACCAACCTTCACTTCACCCTCCATCGCTCTACCACAGGGAAGTTACCCAATGAGAAAATGAGATAAGATTAGTCTGGAGAGCAGTTGTTCTTGACAAATTAATGTGTGTGGGTTTTTTCCCCATTTTAAAAGACTATGTTTTGAATTCTAGTGCAGAAAAATGACTGTGAATGTGTGAGTCTCCCTATGCAGCATGCATTTTTAAAATGCCCCCTCTTAATAATCATGTTATACACTAAAAATGGTACTTTTACCTTAGAGGCTCTAGTATGATGGACAGTTAAGATTTAAAATATAGCTACAGAAGAGGGATGACATCGTGGGATTTTTTTTCATGTATTTTCCTTTATTTACTCAAATACTATACTGTATATGGAAATCTGTGTGGCTTTAAAGAAAATTTGTAGTACATTTCGTACTCCTGCACACTTGTTCTAATTGTAGGCTTCTCATAGGCAGCTAGTGGGACTGTGCAAATAGAATAGCGGATCTTAGTATTTGGTTTGATTCAACATGGCTTTTTACTTCTTATGAGAAATTAGGAGTTTCATAGTGTTCCAAGGCTGTCACACTAGAAGTCTAAATTCCAAATCTATGTTCCTGTTTATGTTCTTTTTCTAGTTTTGCATGTGGATTGGTGTCTGACATTTACTTTCTTAAGCCATGCAGTTTCCTGTTTTTGCAGTGAGATTTGTGGACACCTCAGAATTATTTCTGCAGTAGCTGCAATTTCTAACTCTGTAAGGAAAAGAAATTGAGTGATGCATGTGTGTAAGATTACACTTTATTTTTAAAGCAGAGGCCAACAGTGCAAACCTATGCATGTTTTCTCATTGTGTTGAACGGCACTTGTTCCCTCAAAAGGAAAGGAAAAATAATCTTCCCAACTTGACTGGGCTGGGATCCAATTTACAAGTTTACCCGTCCATTCTCTGTATCTATGGAGAGTATTAGTTGGAATTGCTCGACAAGAATAAACAATATTGGGCTTCTAAATGTTGAAAATGCCTGCTTTACATTCAAACAGCCAGACAATTAAAAATCAAGCCAATGACAACTATTTTGGATCCAAATATAACTGTAGTAGAGTTTAAATAACACCATCTGGATAAAGCTACCTCAGTTTGAATAGCTAATTCACTAGTTATGTGACTGCCTCTCACATTGTAACTATGCAGATTTGCTGTATAGTGCCTTACAAATGCAGTGAAACTGGCAAAGAAATCTTCTTTGCTAACACAATAAACATATATATATACTTATTCATTTATTTAAAATATTTTACCCTGCCTTTATCCTCAAAAAGGACTCAAGGTGACTTACATCATTAAAATATAATAATTAAAGCTAAAAAATTAGTATACAGAGGCAGCTTACAGCATCGCTTGACCAAAGTTAGTTGTTATTCAATAGCTCTAACATTGGATTAACAGAGAAACTATTACACTAAGGGATATATTACACAGATTTTGAAGGTCTGGTCCATGAATGTCCGTGCTTAGACTATCCTGATCCTAAAATTTCTAGGAAAGTGCAGAATAGAAATGTGTCCTCTGTTATATAAACAACTGCTATGATGATGATGATGTTGTTGTTATGTGCCGTCAAGTCACCTCTGACTTCTGGAAACCCTATGAATGAATGATTTCCAAAGTATCCTGTTTCAACTGTTGTAAATTCAAGTCTACGGCTTCCTTCCTGAAGACAATCCATTTCTTATTTGGTCTTCCTCTTTTCCTGTTGCCTTGAACTTTCCAGAGAATCTTGCCTTATCATGATCTGCCCAAAGTAAGATCACCACAGTTTTATCATTTTTCCCTCCAGAGATACCGTAGTTTAGTATTTGTTTCAACACATTGAGTATCACTTTGCTTACATGGGAAGTTAAAGCAATAGTCCTAAAATTACTGCACTCCTTTGCATCTGCTTTCTTGTAGATAGGAATGTATATTGAATGTTTCTAGTTTGTTGGCCATTGTTTTGTTTTCCAATTTATTTGGTATATTTTTGTTAGAATTTTGACAAATTTGGTCTCTCTGTGGCTTGAAATAGTTCTATTGGTATCCCATCTACCCCTGGCAATTTACAGGCACTCCTCATTTAAAAACCTATCTGTTTAATGATTGCTTGGATTTACGACCATCATAAATGCATGCTTGGGTCTTCGCCACACCCCTTCTCAATAGTATGTGATTTATTACTCCTTTAAAAAGTATTATTGCTCCTTGCTTATCAAGCAGCTTGCTTAACAACCTAGTTGTAGGAACAGAACTCCGTCATTAAGCGGAAGTGCCTGTATTTCTTCCCAGTGTTTGCAGAACAGCTTTCACTTCACTTTCTTGAATTGCAGGTTCTTCATGGTAGGTTTCCTCTTCAAA